ATATATATATATATATATATATATATATATATATATATATATAACTAAACCTCTTATATTCGTACAATGCATATGAGGGGTAGTCAAGTGCCGCTCCCGAACCCCTTATATCTTAGCCCACCCTAATTATTAATGCTGGCTCCGTCACTGCATGTTATAGTCTTAAGTAGAACGTACGGATTATCATTAAGTTTTTGTTCCTATTTTGAATTAGCTAATAAAGAAATATAAAAATAAAGAAAATTCATGAATAGGTTCAGATCAAAACTAAATAATCCATTTTTCTTTAATTTATTTTTCTTTCCATTCTCAAGACTCATTCAACCACTCAATTTTTACAAACCCTCGAAAGTCAACAGTCAAACCCCAACACCCTTTGAACATATACTACATGGAATAAATCAATTCTCACCTTTTTCATTGTTTACATGCAATATATATATAGTCCAAACTCAAACCTCTCACTTCATTCACCATTAATTTTCCATTAATTATCACATTAATTCATACATAATTTCATCAAATTTCAAACAAAAAAAAAAAAAAGCTAAAAAAAAAATTGCTAAATTTCCAGATCACAAAATTAAATATGTGGTCTGCAAAAGTAATCTTTAGCATTGCAGCACTAGTTTTGCTCCTAAGCGTAAAATCGTACGAGGCCACTCGACTTCTTGATGAAGAAGCAGAGCAGTTATGGATGACGAGAAGCCAAAATATTTTGCTACCGACTTTGCAGCGGGGCCGCCCTGTAAGGCCGCCTTCACCAAATGGTTGCACGTGGGTCCCGGGGAGCGGCGGAAGGCCGTGCACCACCACCATCACCGGCCGGAACTTTGCCGGCCGCCACACAATAACTCCTCCGCCGCCCAGTGATGCATATCCAGAGCAAATGTTTCGGTTTGGTGTCGCTGCGGACAGTAAATGAAGCCGAAAATACGGCGCAATTGACAATTCTTTTTTACTTCCCTTGAAAACCTTAACAAGTTACTATTTACTAATGACACATTTTTTATTTTTTTTATTTTTTTTTTTAAATATGGAATTGATGTTTGAACACCATGTTGTAATATTTGTATAGAGTTAGTTGTACGTATTTGAATGCAAGTTTGAAGGTTGATGAGGTTTTAAGAAGAATTAAAATCTATATTAATATGATTCTTATGGCCTCATATTTATAGGTACCCTAATGTTTATTTAATTTTTGTAAATACTGGTATTTCTGCCCGAGCAATGCACGGGATAATATTTTAAAATTGAAAAAATAATAATTATTTATATATGTGACAATTACAATTGTAAATAAGAAAGATTGTGCTTACTTTGTAATAGTTCAGAGCTGGATTTTTCATTTATTATTATTAATATCTAATATTTCATTTATTATTATTAATGTCTAATACAAATATGTTAAAATTTCTAAAATTAAATTTCTCTAATTTTAGGAAAGATTGTATCGATATAGGATACCTTCTTTGGCCATTCTGATCATGTATGGGATTTTATAAGAAAAAATAATTAGGAAAAAAAATCGCCATGAAAAATATATCGATATAACGTAAATATTTCATTGCAATGTAATTAGAGAAAAATAGCTAAAAAATGAAAAAATGAGGTTGAAAGAATTCCATATTAATTGCAATATAATTTAATTTCATTCCAAAGAATGACGTGAATTGACTTTTTCATTAATTAATTTACAAAAAAGGTCCATATAATTTATGAAATTATATTTTTCCCCCTTAAAGATGAATTTCCGTTCCTACCCTTTCAGTACACAGCAGCGAGACAAATAAGAGGCAATTCCGTCATTTCATAAGAGTAAGAGAAAACAGGATGACCAAAATACCCTCAGAGTTTCTTGTAGCTTTGTCTTTGTGTTTTGGGGTTGGGATATAACTCTGATACCCTCGCCTCTGCCCCTCAAAGTTTCGCAGTTTTCCTTTACCCTCTCCTTTTTCAGGTATTTTCAATTCTCTCCTTCTCTCTCTTCTCTCTCTCTCTCTCTCTCTCTCTCTCTCTCTCTCTCTCTCCTCTATTGCCCGCCGAAAATCAAATTCCGTGACTGTGTGTGTTGTTGTGTCTGTTTTGATCTGTTTGTAAACCCTAATTTTTGTTCTTTGTTTGATTGACTGTTTGATTTCAAAATTGTTTCCTTCTCTTTTCTCTATGCGTTTCCGTTTCTTAATTTAACTGACTCAAATCCGATTTCGATGTATCCGAGGCTGTTCGGAATTTTACTCACCGGATTGGGATCAGGGTTTTTTTTTTATTTATTTTTAATCATTGGAAGTGTTGGTTAATGGTAATTATGCTTGTTTGATTGATTAGGACTCTGGTTTAGTTTACTGCCATGTTTAATTGTAACTGATTTATTGTACTCTTTTCAAAGATGCAGGCTTTTGGTGTGATTCACATTGCTTTACCCTTCGATTATATTTTAGTGTGCAAATTGTTTTGTGTTTCGGTACAGTGCCTATGTTCATGTGGTTGATTTGTTTTGATTACTTGAGCCATGTGCAGAAGAAAATAGTAGTTACGAGATTATATTATAAGCTAATGTCGAATTTTTGGAGCTTAATAATATTTCTCGATTTTGATTGGCAACTGATAGGTTGAGAAGAGGACGAAAGCGTTGAAGATTAAAGAATTCTGCCGGCTTGGTGTCACCGATGGTGAAACAAGATTTTGTAATAGGTCAGACGCGAGATATGCCATTGGCTCAGGACTCGCACTTCGGCCTCGAGCACAGTCATAACGCCCCCCATTCAACAGTGTCGTTCGTTCCCCCCTTTGGCGCACAACCACGAGCCCGATATTAACTTAAGGTCGTTGGATGATAGTGAGTTAGGTTTAGAACACGATATTAATCACGAGGATTATTTTTTAGCTCCGCCCATTGACAATGAGCTGGATATCCCACATGTCCAAGACGGCGAATATCACAACGAGTATGATCAAGGCAGTGACCACGAGAATAAGTACGAGTTGGATGATCAAAAAACATTAGATGTTGAAAGTATCGAAACAAAAATCAACGAGGATGATAGTGTCACGGATAGACAACTGTCTCTTGCCTCACAAAGTAATGAATTGGGTTTTGTCGAAAATAATAATCTTTCTTTAACGGAGCATGGTGAAGTCGACAGCAATTTGGAGCTCAGTGCTCATCAGAACCCCGATATGGTTTCCTCGCATCTCTCTGTTCTGCAGCCTGGTTATGTGATAACTTCTCCTATTGTCCAATCTCGAACGGTAATTCCTGCTCCAGTGCAAGAATTGACAGTCGGGCAAGAATTTCCCGATGTGAAGAGCTGCCGTAGAGCACTGCGTGACATGGCTATTGCCCTGCATTTCGAGATACAGACGGTGAAATCCGACAAGACTCGTTTTACCGCCAAATGTGCTAGCGATGGATGCCCGTGGCGAATTCATGCTGCTAAACTTCCAGGTGTGCCTACTTTCACCATTAGGACCATCCATTCGGAGCACAACTGTGGCGGGATAGCCCATCTTGGCCACCAGCAAGCCTCCGTCCAGTGGGTTGCTAGTTCTGTTGAGCAACGCCTTAGAGAGAACCCACACTGCAAACCGAAAGAGATACTAGAGGAGATTCATCGTGTGCATGGTATAACTTTGTCGTACAAGCAAGCTTGGAGAGGGAAGGAGCGGTTCATGGCTTCGTTTCGTGGCTCGTTCGAAGAAGATTATCGTCTTCTGCCGCAGTACTGCAACCAGATCAGAAGAACAAATCCAGGGAGTATGGCGTCTGTTTGTGTCAATCCAGTTGACAATAGTTTCCTCCGTTTATTTATTTCCTATCAAGCGTCGATATATGGATTTCTTAATGCTTGTCGGCCGCTTATTGGACTCAATAGGACTGTTTTAAAAAACAAGTACCTTGGAGCACTGCTTTTCGCAACAGGGTTCGATGGAGATGGTGAACTCTTCCCTCTAGCATTCGGTGTTGTGGATGAAGAAAACGATGAAACATGGATGTGGTTTCTCTCCCAGCTGCACAACCTTCTCGAAACCAACACAGGAAACATGCCGAGGCTCACGATATTATCCGATAGGCGAAAGTGCATCGTCGATGCGGTGGAGTCGAACTTCCCCACCGCTTTCCACGGGCTGTGCATGCTCCATTTAAGCGAAAACTTCCGGAAGGAGTTCAACAGCATCTCCCTCTGCAACCTCCTCTGGGAAGCTGCAAACGCACCCACGGAATCCGAATTCTCCGCGAAAATCTGCCAGATCGCAGAGACTTCGCAGGACGCAGCATACTGGCTCCAGCAGCAGTTCGAGCCCCGTCTGTGGGCCAGCTCGTACTTCGAGGGGACCCGCTTTGGTACCCTAACAGCCGATGTCGTGGGGTCGCTGAATTCTTGGATTCTAGAAGCTTCAGGAATGCCGATTGTCCAGATGATGGAGTCGGTCCGCCGCCAGCTGATGACGTGGTTCAACGAGCGGCGGGAGGCCAGCATGCAGTGGAACTCGGTGCTGGTCCCGTCGGCGGAGCAGCGGGTGGCGGAGGCGGTGGAATGTTCTAGAATGTTCCAGGTTACGCGGGCGAACGATATGGAGTTTAATGTGATAACGGGCAAGGGGAACCAGGTGGTGGACATTCGGAGGTGGTTGTGCTCGTGCAGGGGGTGGCAGCTCTACGGGGTGCCGTGCTCGCACGCGGCGGCGGCGCTGATTTTTTGCAAGCAGAACGTGCATCGGTTTGCGGAAGGGTGTTTTACGGTGGCGACTTACCGGAAGACGTACTCTCAGACGATACATCCTATTCCTGATAGGACCGTGTGGCATGAGATGTGTGGTGGTGGTGGAGAGGAAGAAGAAGAGATTGTTGTTGTGAACCCGCCAAAGTCTTTGAGGCCGCCGGGGCAGCCTAGGAAGAGACGGGCGGCGCAGAGTGGGGACCGGAGCGGTGGTCAGGCGGCGAAGAGGGTTGTGCATTGTAGCCGGTGTTATCAGACTGGACATTTTAGGACAACTTGTGCTACGCCTATTTAGATTAGAATGAATAGGGCTTGTCATTGATTATATAGCGTGCAAATTCTTTTTTCTTATTTTATTATTTTTTTTTTCCTGGAAGCAAGTATGTGCTATTTGGGAAGGGAAATTTTTTGAGTATTTGAGTGTGTGTTTTTTTCTCAATTTTTATTTAAATTGATTAAGTTTCCGCACTCTCCTGTTTGGATAATTACAATCACCCCATTCAACTGTATATTGTCTTACACATCCATTCTCGTAGTGTTAAATTTACATACTAAATGAGGAAGTTTTTGTAAGAAAATACGAAGTTGAGAGGGGTGGTTGTAATTACTCAAACAAGAAATATTTTTTCCTCATAATTTTGTCGTAATTACTCAAACAAGAAATATTTTTTTCTTCATAATTTTGCCTTATTTCATGGGTTGCCGTAATTTGCCCAAATTTATTGAATTGTTTTTTGAAAGAGAAACTATGAGCATTTATTAGGCATAACATGCCAAGTTCAAGGGTACATATGAACCCTTCAGACAAGCTAAGTATGAAGCAAAGTGAGTAAGTTGATTACAATGGCGTTTAACAAAAGAAAACGAGCAACTATGAAAAGATTTGACAGTAGTTTTAGTTTCATCTATAAGAGCACCATAGGATGTGAGAGAATGGTCTTCGTCTTGAAGGGCTCCGATGATATTCAAGTAATCCCCTTCCATAATAACGGCTGGCCAACCACGACGAGATGCTTTAGGATCGCTTTAAGGGCAGCGTGAGCTTCCCCTTCGACTGGACGAGTCATACCCAGTATCTTTTCCACGCTCCACCATATCATCTGCCCCAATGAATTCCTAGCCACCATAGCTGTCGAATAGAAATTGCGGCCCGGCGGAATCGCAACATCATAATTAACCTTAACGACCCATGTGGAGGAGGCTGTCAAGCTATGGGATTCAGCCGTTCCTTTAAGGGAAGGGTAGGAGATCGTGCCCCGTTAAACATGATCAAATAACTTTTGCACCAAGGCACTAACTAATCAACTTTGAATCCGGATTCTCCATGGAAGATATTATTCCGCTGATCCCATAGCTTCCAGCACACAACCACCGCAAGTAAGAAATCGTTATTGCTCCAACTCATTTTCAGAAATTGTAGCCATGTCCAGAAGGATGAAAACTCACCATTCAGCTTCAAGTTGAAAGGTGAACCCAACCATAGCTGCAATACACTTCGGCAGCCAAGGACCACATGCAAGTTATCCCTTTGTGGCTTTTCATTGTTTATTTCTCATTGCATTAATCTATTATCTATCATTAACATTGAAAATTAATTAATGTTGAAAGAGTCCTAATATAAGCCAAAGCCAACTTCTGGCTTTTCATCGTTTCTTACTAATTTCATTAACCTATCATTAATGTTGGGGTTAAGTTAGAACAAAAATAATTAAATTTGAAACCATCAAGTGACACTTGTCACTTGAAAAGAAACGGAGGGAGTACTATATAAGAAACGGAGACGAAAAAAAGATTAGCTACGAACGAACACCAGAGATTATCCAAACCATAATGAACTACAGTCATGCAATGCTTCCAACACAACTACCTTGTTTTAGGCCCTTCTATTACAACACCACAGCAAGTAAGTTAACATCTTACAATCAACATTGATAAGCGCAATAACGACTTTCTACAGTTAAAAAAGAAAAAAAGTCGAAAATCTCTTAGTAGCCATAACCAGCTCCATTATAGTCCCCGGGAGGAGCATATCCAGTTTGACCAGCCGCGTTAGATGGGGGAGAAGTATAGACCGGACCATGAGATGCATACGGATTATAACCTTGGTTTTGTTGCGCGTTTTGTGCACTGCTTACAGCATCCGCTATTGAATTCTGCATATCATCATCATCATCCAATCAAAAGTAAGACGCAATAACAGATTGGAAATGCTGAAGAATGCAAATACTAGCTCAAAAAGTATCGAGCATATGCCTATGCAAATTCAAACTTCTTACACAATATAATAGAATGTAAAATAAAGATGTTCTACAAAGACGAGAAAACTAAAACAAAAAGTAGCTGGCAGTAAATTATTAAAGAGGGTAATCGGGATTACCTGTATCAACTGTTGAGCTGCTTGGACTTGAGACGAAGAGCCATTTATTTCAACAGTCATCTCCCCGGGAATGCCTCTCGTTTCCTGTATGGCAATAGTAGCACCACTAGCACGACGAATGTAGCTAATGTTTGCACCATTAATACCAATAACAGCATCTGCGTACGATAGCTGAATTTGCATGTTCTGTGTCACCTACAGAATATCAAAACGAAACGAGAGCATCAAGACCTATTAAAGATGATTAATTAAAAAAAAAAAAAAAAAAGAGAGAGATGGTAAATGAAGCGAATTCTACCTTCCCAATCACTGCTTGCTGTGACTGCATATTAGTTGTACGAGCTCCCATCGGCATGTCCCTGCCAAAATTAGTTGGCCCTCGAGACTGATTTTCATAAGGAGGCATATTATCTGCAGGAGGATAGTAATTATCATATTGGCGTGGATGAGGCTGCATGGGTGGTGGATGGTTGGATGCATAACCGTGTCCTTCAGGATTCATAGGAAAAGATGGCGGAGGAGGTCCCCAAGAATGGGGTGGAGGCATATTCTGGTTTGCTCGAACATTTGAATTTTTCATCTGCGCTTCGAATACTCCAACGACGCTTCGATCTACTAGAAATTTCCTAAGATGGGTAGCAATTAATTCAACTCCTTTGCACAAACCTTCAGGCTCCCCCTGTATCTCGACTACACTATCATCTGGTAGAGCAAACACGGGCAAGTGCTCTGCAATAAGATTTAATCCAAACAATCAGTAAGACCAGAAACAGCAATTTTGACAAATCATGGATCATGTGAATTATCGACAATATGAACTCCAAAAAATTCATCAAAAGTTCCCGTGCTTCAAATGGTCAAGATATCCATAAACCATAGTAATAAACTAGTGGCCAAGAAAGCAAGAAATCAACATACTGATAATATCACGCATGGACCATAACCATACAGATAAAAGTCTCGAAGCAACATACAGGCACAAGTACAACTCAAAATTAAGAAGTAAGTAACCTTCTCCAAGAACTCGAACCGTGCAATGTGAATCATCTTGAATAGACTTTATAGTGGCACCCTGCTTCCCGATCAAGCTGCCAGCTTGGGAAGCTGCCACCAGAAGTCTGGTGCAACTTGTTCCACCTGATCGTGCATTCGCTGGATCTGACTCTAAATCAAGGATGTGTTTATGGATCTTCAAAAGCCCATCCAAGGCAGGTGGCATCTGAAGATCTGGTTCCTCCTTCGCAGACACCATTACCTGATAAAATGGTGAAATATAGATATCCATAAAGCAGTTTTGATGATGCTACACTTTTCCCCAAGTAATTTTTTAATTATATGACTGTCAAAACACGAAAAGAACAGTAAATTTGAGTGACACCCTCCTATCAGAACTAAGGACATTCTAAATGTCTATGCATGCCTGGACTACATTAGTTTACTAGCAGAAGAGTTTATCTGTTGAACTCTAATATGCACGAGACATCAACATTTTTTTTAAATGCCCTAGCATTATATATTACCGATCTAGCACTGTAGCATAGCTTAAGCTAATACAGACCATCCTTTACTGCTTACATAAAAGGTGAATCAAAGGGCGAAAATCGCATAATCCTGAGAAAGCATAACTGGCTTCAGTTGAAAGGAAAATTATGACTAGGGTAGGTGTAAGACTGGTATCAACTATAAGGTGTTCAGCCACACTAGGGGGGATCGTAATCTACTATTTTGTAAATCTGTTTTAGAAATTGCATTTTGCAGAATCGATCATTGCAAACCAACTGTCCACCCCACCGGACACTTACATCTGCACTTCCAACATATTAACACTGGTATAAACTCTAAATGTGTTCAGCTACACACTAGGAAATCATAATCTACTTTAAGGTTCTTTGTAAATTTGTTTTAAAAATTAAATTTCAGAATCAATATTTGCAAACCAATTCTTCCCTCCACAAGACCACTTGCTTGAGCACTTATAACATATTTCTCAAACCAAATTAGCACTATGACCTGAAATCTGCAACATTGACTGTCTTAAAACCATATGTTATTATTCCCCAATCTTGCATTTATCCAGATAGATTTCTCCTAAAAGATGCATATAACATAATCTAAAAAGAGAAAACAAGTCGAGATTAACAAGTATATGGAGAATGTTCATTACACCAAGTAAAAGATGTATGTTTACTAGAATTCAGGTATTCTGTCAAATGAAACAAATTATTTAGGTAGTTGGATTATTTGAAGGAATTATACAGGTCTATGTTCCCATTATATTTTTCAGCATAGTAGTATTTCCCATTGGATGAAATCTTTATTCTTCATAATGTAACGAGAACTTCATATTAATGGTAATTTCTTCTCTGTTTCCAAAATAAGTATAACTCATCCATTATGATTATCTTCAAGAAATATAATTCTTTGTTAGGTAAAGTATCTTAATAGTTCCATTTGTAATTATTTTTCCATGTATAAGAATTCAAAAACTTGTGCACGACACCGACTGACCAAGTTCTGAAGTTACCAGATACAGAGAAATGCTTCTTGGTACAGATGTCCGCACAAAAAATCTATCTGACAGATAGTCAGAAGAAGATGTCAGCACTTGTAATGGATACTACTCAATGCTCCAATCTGAATCTTTAATTCTTCTTGTTTGAAGCCAGTTGATAGATTGAAATCTTGCTTAATTTGCATAAACCTGCATGCATTCATTCTGTCACCATAATGAAGAGAATCTTTAGTTTAACAACTCTTGCTTTGACCGATTTAGTCCATTTTGTCAGTTTTGGTATATTTTACATTTTAACTTATTCCAGTTATTTAGTTTTTCTGTTGTTTTAACTGTTCCGATAAGGTAAAAAAAATTCCTTTTATGATAGTTCTGATTTCTGCAAGCTTTTTTAGTCCCCAGAATATTAAGTTAAATGGAAGTGTTACTCAAACCTAATACTTATAGCTAGAAGCTACTAGACTGTTCTACAGTTCTAATTAGCTGCATTATTCTTAACAGCAAGAACTTAGACAACTTATACAGTTCCTAATGGTACTTCAGTCGTAAACCTTATGTTTACTGAGCTAGAGCCAAGAAAACAAATATAAGATCTTCCCCAAATTTCTAAATATAGCAAGAAGCGGTATAACTCCTTGTGTCTACATTTCATGCAATCTTAGATATCAATAGCTATTGGTTGTCCTCAGGCGCAAGAAGACCATACAAGGTCGGGCAACGGAAAGGCAAACACATGCTAGAAAATTATAACGTTCGGAAGGCAAGACCATTATAAGATCATATAACCAATAAAATGAATGATTCGATGATTTTCTAAGCAAAGATCAAATAAGTTGATTTAATTTCAGCAAATCCATCAATAACTCACAGTTCTTTCCGTTGTACCAGGAGGGCCATCAAGAATCTTAATTCGAGCCTTTGTTTCCTCGCATATTTTCTTTATGTATTCTCCTTTGCGTCCAATGATACCACCAACTCTTTGAGCAGGAACTAACAACCTAAAAACATTCTCTCCGGGCCATCCAGGCCATTTCTTTTCCTCAACAACGACTGCATCATTTTCATCTCCCTTCACTTCCTCTGCAACTTTTTCGCTTCCGTTCACTTCTTCTGCATCAATTTCACTTCCGTTCACTTCGTCCGCATCATTTTCATCTCCCGTCACTTCGTCCGCATCATTTTCGTTTGCCGTCAGTTCGTCCGCATCATTTTCATCTCCCGTCACTTCTTTCGCATCATCATTTTCGTCTGCCTTTACTTCTTCTGCATCATTTCCATCTCCGTTTACCTCTTCTGCATCATTCCCATCTCCCTTTACTTCATCTGAGTGCTGTGAGTTCTCGGATACATTGTCATCCTGTAGATTACTCAAGTCCTGTTCCTCAATTTTTTCCTCAGCCATTTGCTGAAACAAAAATATCAAAATTACTTCTCAGGTATAAGGCCACAACCAAGGTTTAACTCACCAACGCAGGTTATAATTTACATGAACGATATGAAGGTTAAGAGTAAGTACATAAACAGCAAACTGAATAATCAGAAACTATATCCATTTTATCAACAAGAAAATTCAAATATCACAAGAGCCTGTTTACCTGTCCCTCGAAGTTTTCCTCCGCCATTTGCTCAAACAAAAATTTCAAAATAACTTGTCAGGTAGAATATAAAGGCCACACCAAAAGTTCAAGTCAGCTTCGACACCAAAACCTACAATAATTTACACCAATGATTAAAGATTAGGAGTGATTACATAAACAGTAAACTCATAAATACGAAGATTCTCGTGATTACATAAATAGCAAACTGAAAAAAGAAACTATATCCATCTTATAATTCCGTGTATCAATAAGAAAATTCTAATTTCACGAGATGTCTTAAGTCTGACAACATCAAACTGCCCCGGTGCAAAACAACATGGACTAAAAATTACACAATCCAGATCCAACATCAGTTCGTTACATATACTGGAACAAAAATATCAACTCACTCGAATCTGTTCTGCCAAAATCAAATAATAAAATGGTGTTGAATTTAAAGAAGTCGAAGAGAATCTTAACTCGATAAAACTTAAAAAATCAAATTAAATGACACATCAAAAACTCCTAACCCCAATTTTTTGTTTCTAAATGAAAATTTTATTCCAAATGAGAAACGAAGATTCTCTAGAAACTTCCACCCAATAATACTCTCACCCATCATTTTCTGCAACACACTAAGGAAAATTCCATCCTCAACTCTCATCAAACACCCAATAACTCGAGCACAGTGCCTTCAAATCACAAATTCTAGCCCAATTAAAAACCCTAAAAAATCATACTTGGCGCGTAAATACAGCAGAACACACACACGTACGTAAACCTAAATATGTGAAATTAAAATCCATGCCGTAAATTTGATGCTAAGGTGCGCAGATACACTTACGTTTTTTGGGGAAGTTTCGAAGTGAGAGAGAGAAAGGAGTGGAGGCTGTGAGTGTGTGAGAGAGAAGCGGGAGATTGAATTTATTTCCGACACTCGGTTAGGTTTTATAGAAGCGGCGAACCAAGTTCCGCGTAATTTAACTTTTAACCCTCCAGCTTGTATGAATTTGGATAACTGGACTGTTTCTAATTTCATATATTGCATTTAGGTCCATACATGAAAAGAGTCCTCCACTTGTCTCCCATGAAATTCTTGGCAAATTACAAATGTTTTTAGATAACACTAATTAGGGATGGGGTGACGAGTAATCATGTACGACGAATGCTAGTTAATGAAACCGAATTATTTTCTAAATATTAATCACTCGAAATAAAATTTGATCGTGTAATCCAAAGTTGGCGGAAAAATTAGTTGTATACCTTGGAAACGAATTTCCCGATTGTGAAAGCGGGCTCCACCAGATAAGTGACGTGTAGCTCATCGGCGCAACTTTAGTAAGTTGTTCCATCGTCATCATAAATTTTGAAATTATACGATTTCGAAACAAAATCGAAATTTTGAAGTAAAAAAGAGGGGAAAGGAAAAGAAGACAATAAAGTTTGAAATTATTGTGTAAAATAACAAAATTTTGGAATTATACAATTTTAATTCTAACAAATCCATTTATAGAGTTCATTTTCAATTTCAATTTCCCCCTTTTTTTCACTTTTCATATCAAAATCTATATTACTTACATTTTATTTTTCAATCCAATTTTAATTTTCAAAAATAATTTAAAATATTAATTTATTATCCTCAAATAGTATACCATTGTTAGGGGTGATGCTTGAAAGCCATTCTTTTATTTAATTAATTTAGTATAGTTGATTTTTAAAACTGAATTTTGTAATTTTCTTTAAGAAAACTAATGTAACTCAAACGTGGGTCAATTGACACGGAACCACTTGCTCCAACCGTCAGATCATCATTTGCGGGACATCTATATTATTTAACTATATGTATATATGAAGAAAAAAAATAAAAATAAAGATGGATGAATCAATGGATTGAACATAACTCACATTTTGTTCAAGGCTTGGAGCCCATATTGAACTACGGAGGTCTCATGAGATCTTATATCCAGTAATTAAATACACCATGTAATTTTAAACCGTAGATCTATATAAATTACTACCTGTTAAACACACATACACATTGGTGTCTGTTATTATATTTAAATTAATAGTGTAAAATTATTTTAGCAGGTGTAGGTTCTACAAAACCCGAATAATACGAGTTGAGTACAAATTGCATCGTTCATCACGGATTCGGTGTATTGAAACATATGAATACAATTTAATGTTTTTTTTTTCTTGGATACAATATAAACATAAATCTGAAAATATATATATAAACCAAAAGGTTGCATGTACCTGGGCATTTGCAAATTCGAATCAAAGATATTGAACCAATAGGAAATTAGCAATGAATTTGGTAAATATGACTTGTGAAGGAGCGTTCCCATTCCCATTTCTGAATCTTCTTTCATACGCCATGCATTTAATGCCCGCAACTCAAACATCACACTCACTAATTTTATACTATTAATAATTTATTTAATTAAAATATTTCCAATCACAAAAATTGAAATTAAAAAAGAGAATAATCAAATGCTTCATACCTGTCGGCATTTGCAGAGGCAGCCGCTCGCTATAAATACCCCCCGCCCGATCAAAACCCTATTCAGCAGTAATTAATTACCCCCCTCCCCTCCCACGCAGCACCACAAAATTAAATGGTTGTAGAAAAGCTTCATAACCCTAGCGGAGGGGCAGCGGCGGCGGCGGCGGCGCAGCCGCCTTTCCCCGCGAAGAAGGGGCCGCATTTCCGCGGCGTCAGGAAGCGGCCCTGGGGCAGGTACGCGGCGGAGATACGCGATCCGTGGAAGAAGACCAGGAAGTGGCTCGGCACTTTCGACACGGCGGAGGAGGCGGCGCTGGCCTACGACGAGGCGGCGATGAGTCTCCGCGGCGCCAGAGCGAAGACGAATTTCACGTACGGCGGCGGCGGCGGCGTTTCGGCGGCCGCGCCGCCGATGAGCGTGAACCTCGGCTATTGGCGGACGCCGGAGTTCTCCCGTCCTATCGCCGAGCCCAAGGAGTCGGCGTCGCCGACGCCGTCGCCGTCGGAGTACAAAGGGTATAAGATGGAAGAAGTAGGGGCGGTGGTGATGAGTGAGCAGGGGAAGCAGATTAGGAGTGAGAAGAATCGGCCGTTTCTATTCGATCTGAATCTTCCGGCGCCTCTGTTTTGATCGCCGGCGGCGGCGGCGACGGCGGGAGGTGAAAATTAATTAAATTGGAGTAGTAAAAAGGAATATTGACCGGGTCTTTTTTTTTTTTTTTTTTTTTTTGTTTTTTTTAAATTTTTGTCTTGTATCAATGTATTTTGCTGCTGCATTTACTGTTTATGTACAGACGATGATTACGAACATTTGACAAAACTTTTTGGACGACTTACTTATATTCCATTATTTTATTTTTCAGTATTTTTTTTTTAATTCATAAATGAGATAAGATGTTATTCAATTTCATTAAACTATTAACAAAATTAACAATATGTTGAAATCACCCTTGGCAAGGGCAACTTCGCCAATAAATTAACAAAAGTAGTGTGTAAATCGTCTACAATAAAGTCAATTTCATCTTAAATTTAACTTATAAATTGCCATTTTTTTTTTCTTTTTCTAGAGTAGCTACTTGAAAATGCACGGATAAACTCGTCGTTCACAAATCACAAATACTAAAAGTAAGTAACGACGGACTGATCTAGAAAATGTTGGCAACTGGGAAGAGGGTTCACTTGGTAATCCTGTACTTAACCGTACCGGAATTTCGGTATACTGAAATTTCGATACTTCGAGAATTTGTATTGTACCAAACCGAACAATTCGATTTGATATGATTTTTTATCAAGTTAAGTTCGGTTTTTTCACCGGTAAAAACGGAAATAAATTGTAATATTTTAAAAAAATATAAAAAAATATGTTTAACCTAATTAAATCTTGAATTTGACATTCAAATTTCAATAATCGGTCCTAAAAACAAAAGACGATTATCAATAGAAGCTAATTTGTAAAAAACAAAAAGAAATTACCAATCTAAAAATATTTTATAATTTGACATGAACTTAAAGAATTTAAAATAAAAGAAAAGAATAAATATTTATTATATATTTCGGTATTCGGCATGTACGATGTACGGGCACCGTATACCGGAATTCCAAAAAATCTTTACTGAATATGGAACCGAATTTTCTGTTCGATTTGATTCGGCCGGCTTACTGACAAGTAAAAATCTCTACAAAGGAGTACAGTTTAATGACATCGTGCTCTCTTACTCCACCAACTAACTAGGCCACCCTTCATAAATCCAACTGTATAAATTAAATTTGTGAACACTAAGAAATAGGGTCAAATTTACCATTTCCTTCGGTAACAATATTGGCTTGAGCTTTTAATTAAGTTTGGTTAAGTTAATGTGAATCCAAATGAATTGGAACTTAATGAAATTAGACTTCCACTTAGGTGAAATGTGCACTAGGTGACTAGTTAAAGAAAATTATATCATTCACTATACATCCATCAAATATAATATTAAATTTTGTTATTTTACTATGGTGCAACAACTCTCAAACCACATAACATAATGTTTGTAAAGAAAATTAAATTTAGATCAAATGACATAAACTCTCTTGCTTTAACTGTTAGGACGCTTCTTATGTGACAAAATCCATCAATATTATGAAATATGAAGTGATCGAATAGGAATATACTATGAAAGGAACTAATAAATATAATAAAATCTATAGTCGAATACTCAATCCATTGTATTTTGGGTGAATCACAAGAACTTATAGACTATTATCAGAAATTTAGTTCTAGTTTAGTAAAAGAAAATAAAAAAAAAATCCCTTCAATTAGGTGCAATTTGTAACACAGGATGATATTAATCAATTGGTTTTTCTATAATACATCAAATTTTAATGTTACTCTTCAAACTATTCTTATCTTTTTAATATGAAAGATTTTGTAAAGGCATAGAGTTAATTATGTTTCAAGGTTACATAAATTAATTGTATTTTTGTGCAAGACTTATTGTAGATTAATGATTATCCTCGAGATAACTCCAATGAGAATTGGTTTCTTGTGGGCACCAGGTTCGGATCCGTTATCCTAACGAGTCGTTTAGTCACCATAATCTACATTCCTCCATCAAATACTTGTCGGACCAAGAGATAGGGGTCCTAGGGGCGAGGCATTTTGCCTTTTGGTACAAGTACACAGAATGTCAGCGCAACTCCAATGGAGAAATGAAAAATTAAATAGTAAAACTTATATTTTAATCCTTCGAAATTCAAACTTTTATTTCCAATGAAAAAATCAATTGGTAGTTATTTTGATATTCAACTTCTGGAGATGTAAAAAGGCATCTTGCGAAAAGATGAATCAAAAAATAACTACTCAAATAACCGATCATAAATTGACAAGTGTCGATTTTAAGTATATTTATACTTATATTTAAAATTTGATAATCAAAATAATAAAACTAGCATCAAAATAGTATTTGATGATTCATTTTGTCATTGAAATTGCTCTGACTTAACCACAATAACTTTTTCTCAATTATTTTTATGTACTATATCCGTTTCAAATTAACTGTCGCTTTGGATGATTTTTTTGCATCATATTATTTGTCATTGTAGAATTCCGATGATGCGTTAATTACTATTTTATCAATTTTGCCCTCTTAATTAATTGGAAGAAAGCGAATGAAAATAAAATTAATAATGTGGATGATTTAGTTAAACCATGATTGATCTCTCTCTTTGGCAGCAAACTAACACATCTCTGCACCACATCGCAGAATATACCATCTATCAGCCATTGAAGCGTAAAAAAACGTGGGTGTTTTGTAGCTCGAAGCCTCAATGCATCAAATCTCGATACCACCATCTCATCATAATGCACAATGGGAGTTTGTACTCCGGTTAGCTCGACGTTAACTTCATCGCATGATTGGATCATATCATTTATGGTACATATATTTTTCCTAAAATTCATATATATATTTATTAATTTTATTATTATGTGCGCAACAATTCAAAACGACATTTATTTTGTAACAGAGGAAGTAACATACACGGGTAAGTAGAGTATAAATTTGGATAATTTAATCGGATTTTATTTTCGTGGACGCGTGGAATGTCGAGTAAATTTAATTGGACATATGTGTGAAAATAATGAATGTGAGGGGTAAAAGAGTCAAAGAAGAAAAGTATGCCGCTCAGTTCAACATCGTTTTCCAGTGTTGACCTAATGAAAGTATGATATATCATTAATAGTTTGGTTCAGGGGCATCTCCTCATATAACATAATTCACGTGTTGTTCTTCCTTACTGATTTTTCAATTGGTTGGTCCCACTTTCTTTCTCATTGCATGCACCATATTTTTAATTACTTGTTTGATTTTTTTGTTCTTTCAATTATTCGTTTTGACTTTTGTGAATTCTTGTTCAATTTTCAATTGGTTGGGTTGGTACACCCTTTGTTTCACAATCATTGATGCAGCAACGATAAAATTGACATGGCTGCAAAATAACTTAAACACAATATCATAGTGGTAGTTACGAATGAGGACAACTGAAAAAAATTGTCGCTTTTCGGGCTCTATCACGAATTGAAAAGGCGGAACGGGTCTGAAGTGAGAAAAACTCAGATAAGAAGAAGCACACGTGTTTTAAGAGACCTATAAAAAGAGTGTCGGGTGAGGATTTTCCAGTTTTAGAACTCTAACTGCCAAGTCGATCGAATTTGAGGAGAAACAATAATTTGTATTTAGAGAACTATAATAAGAATGTGTGTTAAAAATACCGATGAGAGTCGTCGCTCTTTTATCTTCAAGACTGTATCTATACATGTCGTATGGATGGGGTGGTGGGTCCCGCGTTATGTCTTTGGTCAGATGACACGTTTAATTGGTGTGACTACTACGTGTTAAGTATGTCTGCTGAGCGCGAGCTATCTTACTCTCTGCGAGTTGGATCAGCTGAATGGAGAGAGGCCGTTGGTGTGGTCGCTCCTAGTTCTACCGCAACTCATGGGCCTCTCCCATGTCCATGTCATGTTGCAGGTTTTCCACCTTTGTTTCTGACATTGGAACGAATATAGTCACATTCGTCGTCTATGTCTACCCCATGTGGGGCTAGTGAGATGCTTCTGTAAAGTGTCAGTAGACAATGCGAGAGTGAGATTCTTACTATTTGGACTTTAGAGCAATTGAGCCTGTATCAATCGTCTATTCAAGAAATGATTGATGGACATTGATCTCAAATGAAATTGTTGAAGGAGAGGACCACCCAAATTAATGTTTTTTTAGCAAAATACTGAAAATTCTATCAATCCCATTTTATTTTATTTATGGACCATGAATAAATGTGAATTGAATTTTTCAGCAGTGGGAAAAATAGTGTGGTCGTTGCCTAAAATATCATTGATCCATGGTTGAAGACTTCACTATTTGAAAACAAATAAGAACACTATTTCGCCTGATAGAATTTATATTCATTTCACAATATTAATAATCAAGGCCAATTTTTATTTGATAACTTAATTTGATGTCCGATAGATCACGCAAATTGGTACGATCAAGTTTTTATCGACAACTATCTCTTTAGACCACCGGAGTAGATCTTCGATGAAGAGCTCTCCGTCGGGTTTGTTGTGTGGAGAGATTTGTGAAGAAGAACATATTTAGTTTGTGTATGCAGGTAGATGGGTTTTCATTGGAACTCGTGATATGTATATATACATGCTCAATTTGAGATGCTAAATTAACCCCATATCGATATTGCATATTCTCCATTTTAATTGATCTATAGTTTATCCGGTCTTAAGTATGATATTCCTATAGTTCATTTCAATATTTTAATATCATAAACAATCACATTATTTTTATCGAACGTGGACAAAATATTCTAATTTATTGGATTATATATGTAGTACTAAATTACTAATACAAAAGTTTACTCTCTTGAATGCGTGTATGTTGTAAGACCATATTATAAAATCACAATAATTTATAAGAAAATAGCCACTCACAACCCACCTAAGCATCACATAAGGTCAATCCGCGTCCAAGGGGTGAGTCAACCCATGGCTAGGGAGTGCATCCAATTTTTATTATTTATTCCATTTGAAATTCAAATTATTCCCAGAAAATTCTAAAAAAAAAATTCTTCCTAATTTGTCCAAAAAAAAAAAGATCCAATTTTTTTTTCAGGGATGCTTGCCCCGAGCCCCTGAAAATTTAAGTCCACCATGTACTAGTTTTCTGGATTTGCCACTGTCAGCGTCTAAATAAACTCAATCAATCAATTTTACGTGAATTAAGTTCAAATTAAATGTTCATGAGTGAGGCAAATCAACAATCCGATTATAACTAAATCAATATTCCATGAAATCAAAGTGACCTAGAAGTTATGAAAATAAAATTGGAGTTGCTGAAGGAATTTCACCAAGTTCATCTTTAACTCTGGCAGGAAGGCCAGAGATAAACGATGTGGCAGATAGTCTTGCAAACAAGGTTGCATCTATAAATTTTGACAATGTTTTGTATTTTGATACTGCACATATGTTCTTGCATAAACTCTCGTTGAACGATCATTTGTGTACTTTTGGTCGTTGTACTTCGAATCTCTGCACTTTGTCGGTTGTTTTGAAATCGTAATGGAACGATCGTTTCCTTTTATGTTAAAGAAAAAACTTTATAATCTATATTTCACAAATTCGGCTCAATTACACATAATTATATGAATTTGTTTGATGTCGTTAAATCAAATAAATGAATTTGAATTTCGCACATATTTCGTGTGACAGATATCTGCGAGCTTTGTCAACTGAAGTACGAAAAAACATCAAACCGAAAGAGTAAATAGTGCCCGTAACACGAAAGAAAGAGTAATTAGTGAGAAAGATTCGTGATTGACAATAAAAAATATATATATATATATATATATATATATATATTTTTATTTGAAAATGAAAAGAACAAATAATAAAAAAAAAATGAGGAAACACAAAAGTCATGAATCCTTTTACTTTAGTGCTTGTGAGCTTACCCTACTTGCCTAAAATGATAATGTCTTAATATGTTAAAAGAAGAAACTTAATCATAACTCTAAATTTGTCATTTTGTGACCATTATGGCTAAACCCTACATAAGTCGGATCGAATCGACGGTTCACAAATTATGATATTTAACCTTCACTCGAATCTTATATACACGATCGTGATTCCGAAACTTAAATTATGATATTTAACCTTCACTCGAATCTTATATACACGATCGTGATTCCGAAACTTAACGATATGTTTTTTGCTATAATAGTTTAAATTCATTCACATTTATTGATTTTCTTGATACTCAGCTCAACAACCCGAGGGTATAAATTTTTTATCTAATTTTATTTCGGCCACCAAACGAGGATCCTCGATCGATGCCTTTAGAGAACCTTTCAAAACAATCATGGGCATCTAAGAATAGCATATCTCACTTATATAATCCACATAAATGCAAAGAACTTACTACACATTAAATGCAACATACTAAGATTCCTTCATGAACTTTTCTTTTCTCTCACTAAAAACTTTCTTCCACAATTCAATACTAAATGCAGCACCAAAAGTAAATGCTCAAGAAAAAACAACAAACATGCAGAAAGCTTCCAATTTTCTCAAAAAGAACAAAAGTCACTTAAGATTAATCGAATTTCTCTTCTTACAACATGTAATCACCCCCCCCACAAATCTTGCCCCCCCACCCCCACCCCCATGGGAAACTTATGTACACAAGCAATCAATCAAGCCGATTCCCGAAATAGATGTGTCCGAGAAATTAGGTGCAAAAGGACTTGAGATGAGAATACTATTCACGTATTGGCCGATTCGGAAGGCAACTTGGGGTGGTTGTGTTCGCCTTCGTAAGTGACAATTAGCATCGAGGGTTCCTCCAAGCATCTTTCCACGTGTTTCCTTGCCGGACACCCTCTCAAGCTACTACACTTATAATATCCCCTGCACCCGATAGCGAAAAATAAAATTATCATCGAATTAATCAAAATGTGTTGAAGGTAACATACATATCAAAATGCATTAAACTCAATAGCCCGCTCCAATCGGAAATGGTAAAGATTTGTTGCCACGTTTATGCAGTGAGGCCATATAAATCACTTATCGAACAAATAAAACTCGACACAATAAATGTTACGCAAATGTATTCAATTCTGCATGCACTCGACACAACACAACCAAGAAACTGTGCACCGAATTCGGAAATGACGTAAGCAGAACAAAATTAACATAACTTGATCGAAGGAAACAGCTTTAAATGAATTTACAAACACATTCTATAATATAAACGATTACCGGCAATCAGTTGGAAGTCGTAAACGAAGCAGTAAATGGAGAGAGTGAACTAAAGCAATACCTTGGGTGAGGAGAGCCTTTGATTGGTTTCTGACCATATTTCCTCCACGAGTATTCGTCGGGCGGTATATCCGCTAATTTGTTACTTATAGCAGGTACTTTGATAGACCTTTTCACCCGGTGCTTCCTACATTCCCGAAAAAACAATCGAATATTAAAAACCGAAAAAAAAAACCCGGAGAACTGAGGCGACCAAAAACAACAACTACCTCTTCTTCGAGCAATGACATCGAGCACTGCCTCCGCATTTGACACTACCATCTTCTCCCCTTCCGTTGCACCGTCTCTTGTTATGGTACGAGCTCTGATCGGCTGACCGAGCTGCCCCGATCAAACGGAACGAACTTCCATCCAGATTGGCAACGGTGCCGTCCATGCTCAACGAAGAGATAAACGACCTAGTGGACGACATTGTTGGGGTGCAAGTGGAGCTGTCGAAATTGAGGCTGATGCCGCTGTTGCTCCGCCGATACATGAGCTCAGCCTGCTGCTTCAACTGCTGCTGCTGCAGTTGGAATCTCTGCTGCTGTTGTTGGTGGTGTTGTTGGTGGTGGTGGTGGTGGAGAAAGTGGGAGTTTGGTAATGGTGTTTGTATGGCAAGTTGGAGGTTTTTGCCGTGGGAACTCAATTCAAGAGAAGGGTTTTTTCCGGTGTTGGCGGTGGTGGGGGGTGGTGCATTTTCTTGGCTGATTTGGAGGAGGTGGTGGAGGGGGTTTTGTTGGTGGTGGTGGTGGTGGTGGTTGTTGTTTTCTGTTGTGGTGGTGAAGATTGGGTTTTCAAGAAAGATGTTTTGAGGGAAAGGGGTTTGGAATTTCTTGGACTTTCTCACTCTAGCATGGCCGCAATTGGGAGAAGAAGAAGTGAGGAGAGAGACTACTTTCTTGAATTTGTGGACTGCGTCGCCTGTTTGCTCTGCTAAATTCCTGGTTTGGTTTTGATCTTGATGGTGTTTGGATAAGATGTTAATTACTCTGTGGCAACTCTCCACAGCTGAAATATTTGCCTTTTCAATCTCCTCCATTGATTCTCTCTCTCTCTACACAGAAAGAAATCAAGAAACAAGGATAGAAAGAAAGAAGGAAAAAACCCTAATTCCCAAATTAAAAAGGGGCAAAATTGCCCATATGTTATCCAAAGAGGCAAAAACTGAAAACCCAGATAATCAGAAGCTCCATTTATGGCAGCAGACAAATTAGGGCTTCTTTAAAGCAATCAAAGAAGAGATTCATTTCTGCAGCATAAGGGGGGTTTGTGAAAATTAATCAATAACCCAAAAAAAAAAAAAAAAAAAGATGAGAGAGAGAGAGAGAGAGAGAAAATCCAAGGAGCGAAAAAAGAGTGAAAGGTGAGGAAGAAAAGAAATCAAGAACGGAACTTTAGTTGGACTTTAGGAGGAAAAAATGGCTGAGAAAAAAATTAGAAACCCTAGATTCTTTAAATCTCCATAGGGGAAGAGAAATTTTGGGATTGAAAGGTGTGAAAGAGAAGACTTTGCTTTGCTTTTTTTCTTTTTCTTTTTCTTTTTGCCAGTGAAAATTGACACAAACCCCAGAAGAAATCCCTTTTTTTTTTTTTTTTTTTTTAAATTAATTCATTAATAACTCTGCTACAAATTATTACAACGAATATTATACTCGGAATGATAAATATATTGTATTCTATTCTAGAGAGAGAGAGAGTTAGAGAGAGAGAGAGGCATTTGGCATTAATTAAAAAAACCTGCGCACAAGGGAAGCTCAGAAGTGAAACTGCCGTCTCTGTCGCAGATTTCAAGGTGGGGTCCACTTTGGACTTTGTATTCCTTTTTTTTTCTTTTCTTTTTTTCTGATATTTTTATTTTTGATTTTCTTTTTACTAAATAATAATAGTGGAGTAATTGTTAATTATTAACACAGGGGATTTGTATTAGAGCGATGCTTTTGCTTCTTCCAATGCAAGACTTATGTCTTGTCCTTTTGCTTTCAAGAGCATCTCTCTCTACGTGTTATTTTTGTAATTTTTTTATCTTATGGACCAACAGTTGCAGCATCCAACTCAAGTATTGATTTTTTATTTATTTTTTTTTCCTGTTTTTTTTTCAGGAAATATATGGAGTTGATTATCAATTCGACCTGAAAATGTACAAAAATGACTACAAAATGAATTTATTTAATTAAATTTGCTGTTTAAAAAAAAATTAACTTAGGATCTACAAAATGGGCACAAAATATAAAATCGAGCTCCAGCCCAATTGACACAATTCTTGATTTCCACTTAAAAAATTAAACGAAGTGGACCTCAATAAAATAGTAAAAAGTTCCCGGACCTTCATTTATAGGGCAAATTACGGTCACTCTCACAAGATAAATTGAATATATGAAAAAATCATTCATGATTGCATAATTATAATTATCCACCGTGTCCGTAACTATATATTTTCTTACAGATCGATTTATACAGTGTCAAGTTTATCTACTGAAAGATGATTTTTTTTTTAAGACAATATATAGTTTAGAAGGATGGTCGTAATTTGATCTTATCTCAGGAGGTGATCGTAACGTGCCCATTATAACCAGAATCTACACCGTGCATATGCAGTTTAATTGATGATTTTTTAAAATATTAACATAGATTCATTTAAGGCCAAATCTCACTAATGATCTATCATTTTGATACTTAGTCCATTTTAGTCATTCTTGTCTCAATTTTGTCCTTCATCTCTATAATGCATCTCATTATAATCAATTGGTGTATAAATTGTTAATTTTAACGGAATATCCTTAAGGTTGAACGAAATATTCCATTCGTTAATTATTTTTGAAACATTGTGAATAAATAATTAACTTTATAATTTAAAAATAATATTTGCAACCCAGAAAAATATAACTCATAAAAAATAATCATTTATATTAATATAACTTCAAATTAATTATACAACATATTGATTTATATTAATATAAAAACATTCATTTAATTTTTTTTTTGATTTTATGTTAATATTTAAAGAACTAATTCGATTGTAAATATTTTTCTATTGTTTATATATTGTGTACGGTTTATTAAAAATAATTATTAGAATGGAATATTCAATCCATTAGATAAAATATTCCGAAATTTAACAAAATTATACACCAAAGGATTATAATGAAACAAATTTTAAACTAGTGCATACCTGTTAAGAAAAACTACTAAATGTTCATATGTGTGATAAATAAACTAATAAAATGACTAAAAAAATATATCTTAATTGTTTAACCATTCGTTATCTTACTATCTATGTATGCTCTTGCTAGAAATGCCATATGCTCTTGCACATGATATAAGTGTTAAAGTAGTGATCGGCAAACCAACTTGAGGTTGTGGTTTTTTCTATAGTTGTCTGAAACAATCTATTTTGTATTAATGAAATTCATCTTTTGACATTTTATATATATTATTCAATGCATGCGCATAGATATAGTCCTTACATTTATTGTCTATTTTGGATTGGTCTAGTAGAATCGTGAGATAATTTATAAATATAAGTAATGTAACTGTAAAACCAGTGCATAATCGAAGGATTACACCAACAATGATGATACTTGTTTTCCCTTTTGATACTAGCACTTAGTGTATGTGTACCGCATGTCATCGGCGGTATTGTGACATCGACATACATAAGTGGGTGCTTATATAGATGAGTTCACTGAATTTCCTCGCCTTAGAAATTTCTAAGCGGTTTTCACTTATCCAGTAGAGGTTTATATATATGGTATAATTGTATACCATTAATACTTAAACCCAGACATCACCGTGAGTTCACTAGATGACTAGCTATATCGTGAATTATCTCTGAGTCTCCTCGAAGACTGCTCCAATGGCCAATTTCCGTACAGTCTAAAATCTAGCTACTGTAAAGTTTGTGCATTTTAGTAGGGGATTCGCACAATAATAATTCATCGGATGTAATGTGTATTCTATCAGTTTGTAATCCATGATTTTCTATCCAGAATAGATAGTGGGGTGATTATAGATAAGGGTTCCTTTGAATCACACACGGCATAATTATATAACTTAGAACGTTCACACAATTATCAAACTAATAAGAGGTCTTGGTCAACCAATGCCTCTTATTTCATCAGGACATGCCATTGATGAAATCATATTGTACACGAGCTATATCACATGGTTCTTGCAGACACTTCATTTGTATTTAGGGAATCATGATACGTTGTTGCTAGGCACCAATCTTGATTCAATGGGTATTCAACGATTAGATATGTGATTGATCTAAGAAGAGTCTTACCTTAACCGGGACTCTAGGGAAGAGTTTGCCTATGAACAATGTGTTGTTCGAATCACAAAGACTTGAGCGTCGTCAACTGGTTTACACCTAACCATTGAGGGTCATACTGCTTGTGACGAGAAGCTCTTAATAAGACGAGCTAGTATTGAATTAAGTTGTTAATCTTATGTGATATGATCCTAACCAGCTCCAACACAAAGAATTGGAAGAAGAGACAGCATGTGAGTTTAATGAAGTTTTTCGTGTTCATAATGATAAGAATCAGTACAAGGGAGTTGATTGAAGAATCGATGGTTTGGAACTGAAGAAAAGAAAGAGGGAATTTGTTTGACTAATCCAATTCCATGCATCCGAGATTCTCGCTTATTTCTGGCAGTCTTACCATTCGGGTAATAACTCTCTTATCCGAAGTCCAATTAAGGTGATTCTAATTGCTACGGAAAGCCAACTTAAAGATCTAAAACTTTGGTGTTTTGATCCGAGAGAGATTCGGTGTGAAAAAGGTCAGAAATCGAGCTTGAAGTCAACACACGTGCACAGTCAAGTGTCTACTCGAGTTATGAAGAGTGTTCGTATGGTCGACTTGATGTTTGGAGTTTGTATTTTATTATATTACGTTTTAATATTAGGATTTAATATATTTTTATCATATTAGAGTTCTTTGTGGTTAGGATTTTCTTATTTATTAGTTTCCTTATTATAGTTTAGGTAATAGTCATTTTCTTTGTGAAAAATGAGTCGTTTTAGATCTTATAAATAAGCTGCCAATTTGGCTTATTTTAATGGACGAATTTTAATGATTAAATGGAGTTTATTCTCTTTGGTTCTTTAAGAATTGTTCGAACATTTCGGTGGATTCCGTTTGTTCACCCCGACTTATCAATCGATCTTTTGCAATCGATTGTGGCGTCTTCGCATACCAAGGTTCTTGCCTCTTTATAGGCAACGGGTCGCGGTTCCACCCTTTGATCCCTTCTTTGGACGGTCCAGGATTTGAAATTCGAAGTATTGATACCGGGTCTCGTCACGATGTTGGCGTGGTTCGTGTCATTATGATAGTTAGATTGAATCCAAGTTTCGTAACTGTTAATTACGGATTAGAATGAAGAAAGACCGGAGAAATGAGTGAACTTTCTAAATTTGGAAAAAAATCTGATTTAGAAAGTTTACAGTATTGGAACTTGGAAGTTTCTGATTTTTGAAATTGAAAACTTGTGGATGGCACTCGTATTGACAAGAACGTTGTACTCGTGGTGAATATGTAATCGTTATTTTTTTTAGAGTAATCGTTTGGGAGAAACGAAACTTAAAAGGCATCGGACTTAAGTTGCTTAACGGGCGGCTTAAGAAGACCGAGTGTTATATATTAACATCTATGTCGCAAAGAGTTTACATGGAAAGACAACAATTGCATGCATGTTTATTTCGTAGGTCTTTGATTCATATTGTTGCTGAAATTTTCTAGAATAATGTGTTGAACATTTTCTTCTAGTTTAGTAGTTGATTACCATAATTTAATATTTGATTACTATAATTTAATTTATAGTTGATTTCTATAATATATTTAGTAGTTGATTAATGTGATTTAGTAGTTGGTTAAACTATGTTATTTTTTAAATAGATGTTTTCGCTATTTTTTTATTACTGAATTGTGTTGAATGTCACTGTATTACAGATTGTTTTTGTCAATTTTGAAGTTGGTTATATTCATCAACTACTATTTTAGTAGTCGATTTCATTAATTAACTACACTTTAGTTGATTAATATTATAGTCGCTTAATATACCACACATGGAAAAAAAGTTTAAAAAAATGAAGAAAATATAAATTTAATTTTTTTTAAGAAAAAAATTAGAATAAAAAAAAAAAGTAAATAACAAAAAACGAAAAATAACAAAAAAAAAAAAAAAAAAAAAAAGACGAAATGGATGCGTAATGGGAAAAAAATAGTGAAAAGGTAAATTTAGGATGGAAAAGTAGCATGAATTTATCTTAAATGGTGAAAATATGAATGTATCTCTCCCTACTATGCTTAGGGGTTCCGTTTTATCTAAGAACCCCTTTCGTACAAGTATATTTTAGATCTATCTTCAATAATTCTTACCCCTGAACACTTAATTACGTAGCAATTTAATATTTAGGGTAAATTTCACTTTACACCCTTGTACTCTACCTGAGAATTACTTTACCCCCTCGTACTCTCAATTTTATCAATTTACCCCCTTGTAGTTGTACAATTTCCCAATACAGTCCTCTCCTTCAACTTTTGTCGATTTTGACTCTGACGCTGTTTGGTCAGCTCTGTAAATTACAAAATTGTCACTGCCTATAACACGTCGTTTCTTCTCCATCAATATTGTCGTTTCTTCTTCTCCCACCACTTTCCCTTCCAAGATATCCCCAAATTGAAGCTCTAACGTAGCAAAAAATTAAGACAAAAAAATTGATCGATTCCACCAAGTGCAAAGAAAAATATATGAACGTGTGAAACTTTCTTTTTTCTAAACTCGAGAGTTAAAATCGAAAAAAGTTAATATTTTGACTCTTGATCAAACGGCGTCAGAGTCAAAATCGAAAAAAGTTGCAGATAGGGATGTATTGGGAAATAGTACAGGTACACGGGGTACATCGATGAAATTGAGAGTACGAGGGGTAAAGTGGTTCTCGGACAGAGTACGAGGAGGTAGAGTGGAATTTACCCTAATATTTAATCAATATTCATTGACCCAAGAGCGGCGCACCTTATCAAAATGTTGGCCAAGAAACGGACCCCGTTAACCAGAGCCCAAGTTAATTTTGTTGATAACAGTGAGTACTGCTGTTAGCCGTTGCACAAAACGGAGTGGGGGTGGTGCTTATCGTGCGCCGTGGGGTACGTATGATAGCATTATGTGGACCCCGCAGTCAGGATTAGCGTTGACCTCACCCAACACCAAGATGTACCTCTCACGCACGCATGCACCTTCATCATTCCACTTGGCTTACAATATTAATAAATTATCATCAATTTCAAATGCAATATTGTAACTTGTACTTGCAAGTATATCTAATAATAAAAACAAAAAGGTATAAAGATTATAGTAAAATAGTTAAAAATTGAAATTGCGAAAAAATGAAAATCGTTACATAGGTTGGTGTTGAGTGAACGTCCAAAAACTTAAGTTGTTAATATCGCTTATCGTGTTGAATGACCGGCCACTTTAACTAAAAGTTTAAGTTGTTAGTGAAATGTATCATTTAATATTAAGAGTAAAAAACAGTTTGCCCCTAAAACTAATGCCCGTTTTGCGCTTTGCCCCCAAACAATTTTTTTTTGCACGTTTTTACCTAAACTTGTGTTTTTGTTACACATTGCCCTAAAAATGGTATTTTCCGGTGATTTCCGCCAGAATACTAGACATGTGCAAATCACTTGAGTTTGGCAGGGGCAAACTTGTCACTTCACTCATATTCTTCATTCCCCTTCGTCTCTCCCAACGCCATCCTTCATCCTCCATTTTTGACGCAGATTTTCTCCCCTGTGAAATTTCATCTTTCTCACACACAACTGAAGGAGTAGGATGAATTGTTATTTTTGTTAGAGCAATTTTTTCGATATTTTCTGCACTCTCCCACTCTCGATCTACACAATTCTCACTTTTAACATGGAAATCCATCTCACTTTACCTCCAAGATCCCACTTTTCAGCAATATTTCTGGATGAATGACACTCGATGGATGAAGGGGGAATCGCAAAACTCAATTTCATAGTCGAATTGATTATTCGAAAATAATCCTCAATTCTCGAATCTGAAGAAAATAAATTTCCCATTTTATTTCAATCCACTCCCGACGAAGAAATTCTTACATTCTGAGAATATAAAATTGTACCCCAATCCAAAATCCAAAATCCAAACAATAACAACACACAAACATTAAAAAACATTAACCTTCATGTTAAAGCAAACAACAATGGAGGTAGGATGAAGGTTAAAAAACATTAACCTTCATGTTAAAGCAAACAACAATGGTCTGCCCATCTCACAATCCTCTCATGTCCAGAATTCCTGTACAAATTTGAAGAGGTAGGATGAAGGCCAAAAAGGACGGCGAAATTGGGGGATGTATTTTCTTCTGCACTATAAGTGATTAAAGGATGGGGAAGAAGAAGAAGACTAATCAAGGGGAGAAATGGAGAACTTGCTTCTGTGTATTTGAGAATTTGAGAAGAGAGATTACGGAGATGACAAAAAACAAAAAAAATAGAAAGTGAAAAAATAAAAACAGAGAGAGAGGATGGAGAAAAAGAGGGAATGCAAGTGAATGGACAAGTTTGCCCCTGTCAAACTCACGTGATTCGCACATGCCTAGTATTCCAGCGGAAATCACCGGAATATACCGTTTTTAGGGCAACGTGCAACAAAAGCACGAGTTTAGGTAAAAACGTGCAAAAAAAAATTGTTTGGGGGGCAAAGCGCAAAACGAGCATTAGTTTAGGGGGCAAACTGCTTTTTACTCTAATATTAATATCTCCAATACGCACGGCAGACAAATTATGTTTGAAGCATTGCACTAGAATTGTTGGAATCGGTGGCGGTGGGATTCAAATTCAGGACCTTTCATTTTGTCTGACTGGAAGATATACCATATTGAATGACCACCTCAACCAAAAGCTTAAACTGTTATTGAAATGTATTATTTAATATAAATATCTCCAATAGTTCACTATAAGATTGTTACATATTTTGGTCCGAATTCTATAAAAAAACCATTACTCGATCCAGGACCGTTTAACTTACCCAAGTCCATGAAGGAAAAGAATATCCTTCATTAATTTAGACCCTAATTCTCCACTTAATTTCTGCAGCCATGAAGGAAAATAATATAAAACTACATATTAACAAACCTAATGCTTATCCTTAAAGAAACATGGAAAATGTGGAATGAATTAGTGGTTTGGTAAACAAAAAAGTCATGGTGGCCAGCTGTACCATAGAAGACACCATAATATCCAAATTATCACTGCACACACACTTAGTGGAAAACATTAAAACAAAAAGATAAGTGTGCTATTACTAAACTAATTAATTAATGGCCTAATACTTATCAGTTATCAGTAATGCTAATTATTACTTTACTATGTTATTGGCTTGATTACTTCATCTTCCACACTCAGATAAATTAACAAGTTATTAGGTGACACGATTTACTTAAAAAAAAAAAATTCTAGAGAAAAAGATGACAAGATCATTTGCTCAGACTCAAATATACTTTTAGTGGAGAAAACCTCAACCGTAAATCTTTAATTTTGTCTCATTATATATCACCATCGTCACAATCAGTGATGAAGCCAGGATTCTATAACTGAGCGAGGCGAATGTACACAAAACAATAACATAAAAAAATTAATCACATCAACGATTGTTTCAAGAGTCGGCAGTTTAGGATATGTATGTTACGGACTTAAATTTCTGGGGGTTCGAGGGCTGCGCCCGAAAAGGGATTGTTTTTATTTTTTTTATTTTTTGTGTGTGTGGATAAAATAGGTAATTCCAACGGCTAAGTTTTTCTTTGAAATAGAACTTTAGTTATTGAGAGGAGGGAAAAGGGTAAGAATTTAAGATGGATTCGAGGTAGCACTTTACTTTTTGCATGCTAAAAAGCATATAAAGCCAAATCTGCTCCCTTGGGATCATATAAAGACATTTATGCTTTTTTTTTTTATATATATTTAAAAATATATAAATGCATATATATTAGATACACATCGATATTTATATAATTATATATATATTAATGCCAAGAACTGATTATGCATAATAATATTTCAGGACCAGAGTTTATATTGAAGTGAGAAGAGATACTTTTTCACTTTAGTTATTGCTCTGTTTGTCCTAGAATTTATGTGTTTGATGTGGAGTTGATGATGCAGAAAGATCAGCATTTCAGACATTGTGCTGGAAATTTTCAGGCATTATGCAAAAAATGTTTTTGAACATAAAACACAATTTCACACATCTCTTTCAACATTAATTATCCAAAATCATTCTTTTAAAGAAAAGTATCAGAAATTACTAAGTAACAGAAAATCATCACCAGTGACCAGACCAAAGTATAGGCTAATAATTAATTGAAATTTGGACATTTGTTCTTACTTAGGACATTAGAATCAAGAAAGACACCAAAAAATTAAATTGAATAAATCATCACATTTCACTTGAACTTAACTAATCAAATTGTTTTTAGAATCTTATAAAAACACACACACACACACACACACACACACAGTGGGAAGAAGAAAAAATAAACAAGGAAAGTGGAGAAAACAAGATTTGAACTCTTTAAAATCACCTTTAGTTTCTCAGTGAGAAATTATATATACACACACACACACCACAACATAATTTAACTAGATAAAAGAAAGTCAAATTATCGAGCAAAAATTCCTTTGCAAGAAAAAACGAACAGGATCGGGAAAAATGTTTTGTCGTATTATTTCCATTTTCCCAAACAATGTGTTTCTTTGAAAAACTATTAATCAAGTATTATTGTTTCCTTCCTCTTCCTTTCTTGGCTGGCTGTGCCTCTATTTGTTCTTTTACACCGACTTCAGATATATCCGCTGCACAAAATAATTTTATACAGAAGACCTTATAAGAACGGTAAGCACAAATATTTGACGCTGGAAATTAAAAATGAAAAAAAAACCCATCTCGATTTCCCCTATTTTCTCCTCCATCGAGCGCTTCTCCAGACAAAACAAGTGCACAAATGGATAATTTACATTGTGTACAAGTGGTAAATGAGTGTCGAGAATATTTAAACATCGGTGAAAAACGATACCTTGAGGTCCGTTAGCCATCAGGGTAAAGAATATGTTATTGAGCTTCTCCATCTTTCTAGCATCCTGTGCTTGGTCTGTCTTGAATTTTATACACTGATAAGAAACCGAAAAACCATTTCAGATAATGACGAAAGTCGGCAACTTAATGTTTAGTGTGTTATTGAGGTAATCGATTATCCTCTTCGAATTTTGCAGCATCCTATTCACAACATATTTTGCGGATAACGATTGTAACTATCGACATCGTTTTATACAGCTTAAGCACCTTACAACAGTCTTATTTTTTGAACATGCAAAGATGCAAATATGAATTAAATCGGCTGATCAAACTGTTTGACATTTGACAATGACAAGGTTGTTTGAAGTCAATGTACATATATACTGTATTTTTTTCCGGGATAACTCAAGAGCGATCAATATAACCTCAGGCAAAACAAAGAAATCATACAATTGTACGCTGACACATAATGCGAAACTGAAGATAAATGAACGAAAGAAGAATGATATTCATGAAATTGGCTCTGTGTGGTCAATTAGACGATGATTTTATGTACAGCAGTCGGCTGTAAGGTAGAGGTTTGAATTGAAGGAGAGATAATGCTCAAATTTTATGTTTTGTGCTTATTACAGTTTACATAATAACACTCTCTATGTAATGAATGAACAAAAGAAAGAAATTTGAGACGATGAGCCTGTTTTCACAATTTATGAGCATAATCGTCATATCGTTCTTCTCTTTAGAAACCTAAGGGTGAACAAAAAAATGAGAATTCAGATGTCAGGTGAGAATACGTCAACAACTCACTAGCCCGACCCCTAATTCTTACTAAAACAACTTATTTAAGCTCATGTTAATTTGAAAATTAATCTCGTGTGTGAATGTGCAGGAACTCCTCCTTCCCGGTACAAGTAGTATAACGTACCCATTCCCTTTGTCATTGAAAAAATCGAGAAAAAGCGTAATTATGAGTTTTATTGTGCTTTTTCTTGATCACAAGACATGTAGTATACCAAATGAAACATAATACAGTCGACTTGATTATGTTCAAAGACCAGAAGCAAATATAGATAGAGCTAACCAAATAGAGGAAAATGCGATGTACTGAAATTGAACATTTATCGGAAAGTTACAGATCAAAGTGTTGCAGTGATCAAACTCTGAGATACAATTGAATCATTAAACGTGTTGCAGTGATCAAACTCCTAATTTTCTTATCCATCCTTCGTCCACATTTACACAAGTAATTATGCAATAATTTGGTATGCCCTTAGTTAATCAATGTAATCTCAGAGAAGAGAACAAAATAGATTTTCATCGAGTAGCATTTCATTACCAATTTCTTTGTCATCATATAAATGATTAAAAATCTACAAAATTCAGAAAATTTATTTTTCATTACCAATTTCCTTGATGATTGCAGAAACAGAGTTTCGAGGCGTAGCGGAATTAATAGAATTCTCTAAATTCTACACATTCAAACCTAGGTTTTCACACCACTACACCTTATAGATAAGAATACATTCTACAACACAGTTCCAATAATAAACAAATTAAAAAAAAAGAAAAAAAAAAAAACAGATTTTTGGGCAAAAACAGAAAAATACCTCCTTATCATCAGTGACTTTGAGAACCAACTTGCCATCGCAATGCCTGTATTTCGTCGAGTAACGAGTCTGGATCGATCAGAATTGCACGAAAGTAATAGTAAACACAAAATTATAAAATCAAACAAGTGTAAAAAAAAATTAAAAAAAAAATAGAGTAGATGAAATTACTTGATCGGGTTGGGAGCGAAACAAAAGAAGGGATTTTTCTAGAAAATCGTCCCACGATGCCACGTATACCATTCTACTGTGTGTGTGTGTTTTGAGGAGAAGACGAACGAAGCTAAATCGATGGCGCTGGAGTTTTTAATTTGGCTTCGCAACTCAGGCCTTCGGGGCAGTGAACTCTATTATTATGATTTATGAAGCGAGACGACGTCGTTTTCTGTTTCGTTCTACTGCCTAGGGTTTATAAGTTCAAGGGATTTGTTATTATGTATTTGAAATCATTGCATCCAAACATACTCTAATTGAGTTCGTTATTTAAATACTAGTTTAAGTTTGATTCTTTAACAAAACAAAAACCAAACTTAAACACATACTTTTGTTCCATAAGTTGTGAAGTTCGACTAAAGATAATCAAAATCAAGCTACTCGAGCTAGATTGATTTGTTACTCGACTCAGTTACATATCAAACTAAGTTGAAATCAAAACTCAATAAAAATTTACAACGAGTTTGAACTACCATAAACTTGGCTCGGACTTTGTTCGTTTACACGCATATTTAGTTCCACTCTTATTTGCCAATTCGATAGCGTCTATCAAACTAATTCCCGACTAGTATTTATAATATTCATTATTCAAATGTATATATTTCTATTGTTATAACTTACATATTTCTTTGTCATAATTCTCTTTAGTCAAAGTATAGTAAAACTGATCTATACTATGCTAAATCGGGAAATTTTTATCATTCATTTATACATAAACACTCACACATGCATATTAGTGTGCGTGGATCAATAATAAAAATTCACAGTGTGTAATCTTCATCGGCCGTAGCATAAAAATAACCGAGAAAATTAGTGTTATGATAAGAGTCCAAAAGTCGGGACAACCAACTTTGGTGAGATCAAATATGAATCAATAAACCGATACTTCTGAAAACTCGAATCAGTAAATATTTGCTGACACGAGTTCTCTCATGAGAGTGAAAAAATGTTTACCCAAACAACAATACAGACACGTTATTCAATCAAGCATATATATATATATATATATATATATATATATATATATATATATATATATATATAGGCTATAATCAAGAGAAAACAAACATCATATAAGAAAGAAAACATCAACGGAACTCTTAGGATTGTGCTCCCAAACATCATAAGTTACATATATTGTTACAACACTTCCACGAATTCGAAGATCAACTCTCATGCAAACTTTTTATATAATAAACTGGAAATGGAAAAAAATTCAAAAAAAAAAAAAAAACAGAATAGAAATTGCGTTCAAGAATTTGGAAGTCTGCGAGCATAACCGAGCACCATGACAAAGTCCTTGGCAGAAGAGCCGATAGTGGCGGACACTCTGTCGGTAGAAGTTGTTTGAAGCCAAAGGTCAACTAGATTGTTCAGGGTCAATGTGGGGACCACCGTCTGCCCCATGCATTTTATGTCAACCTAACAAATCATCGACCAAATTATTATCACGTAAGCTTATTATTGAGTTATTGTTGCTACAGATACAACCATGGATTGTTCTCTGAAGAAGCTGCTTATATAAAGATATAATTAATTATATCAAAGAAAAGTTATTTTTTTTTTTAACTATTACGCAGACGAACGAGAATGAGGTGGTTACCTCGACTTCGTTAGGCAGATCTAACTTCCTCTTAAGGTACTTTTGAATAAAAGAAACTGGTATTGTCCCATCCCTGTAAAGAACAAAGTCATATAGATTAGCGTAATTGATAACAAAAAAAAAAGAGGTTCTTGTGAAATATGCAGCATGCAAGTCTAAAAATCGAGCTTTATTATGCTACTGAAGTCTGGTGCCGAAGGAGAGAATGACAAGTTCAATTAAAAGTGTAAATTACAATTTCTTCGTCATGCAAAATTAATTCATAATACCTCTCGAGACTTGGGATAAAATATTTAAACGGATCAATGATTATCAACTCAAGTTTTTTAACGCATCATTTTACCAAATAGTTATGCATTGATTCAAACATAAAACGAGACCTGAACTAAGAGGATCAATGAGAAAGGAGTATAGGAAAAACGAGGACATAATTTTGTCCCAAAATGAAAAGTTAAGGCAGGTTACAGAGCTTTTATACGGGTATCAGACATATGCAACTTGAACTAGTACTACCACCCTGTTATTAACCAAGATATTTAATTACGTATAATCGTAAAATCAATAATGCATGAAAACAGAAGTTTGTTCATGGGGTTTATAACTTATAAGACACACGGGCAAAATCTCGGGCTTCTGATTCCAAGCTCAAAAGAATTCAGCAAAGCAAAAGTATATCTGCTTAAATACATTTCTCTAAGTCTTTCATGCAGTCATAAGCTAATAAAAAAAGGGTTCAATGGTTAATCTCTCTATTACTGCTGACTTTTTGCTAATCTTGTTAGAACGGAACTGCATTTGATGACAAAGCAGCTGCTTATCGAGAGACAAATCTGATTAGAGCTTTCAACAGAAGAAAAAAGCAAATTGATTGGTTACTTAGGAGAAAAATACTAGCTAGAAATATCAACAGTCAGAACCACATTAGTACTGTTAACAAATAGAAATAAAAATCTTAGTAAGTAACAATTATCGCATTTTCCATTACAAGACCCTTTTACTGATTTCTATATACCCGACTGAATACACAAATTTTTAGCACTAAAGCAAAGATGTTTCCACATTTCATGCAAAACCAATAAAATCCCAAAAAGCGAAACGACCATTCAAAAATTAGAAAGACAAAAGCGAAGGAGAACTAACTTTATTCTCAAGTAACTTGCCGAGATCTGAGGCAAGGGTGGTGCATCTCCTTCCCTGAAAACATATCACGCAAAATTAGAGATAAACCAAAGAAGTAGTAAAAAAATTAACTATTTTTCGTTCGTTTAAAAACAGAGAAAAATACACGTAAGAATTGACGTAAACTTCTTACGGTTCATTAGAGGCCACTAAGGAGAACCAAATTGGATAATTCCTTCTCTCAGATTTAGCACTAGCAGCATCGAGCATCACCTGTGGCGAAACCCTCATTTCACCAAAATTTTGCACCTTGTGACGTATTTTGCGCATCTTTTTAGGCTTATCAGATTCTAGAGGGGTATTATGGTCACTAAAATTCTTCTCATCTTTAACCTTTGCCTTCTTCCTAAGTTCCTTATTTTTTGTTTTCCTGAGAAGACCCTCCTCATTGTCAAATGTACGCTGTTCTTCAGATTTAGAAGACTTGCTCCCATTCGCTGCTTCGACCAAACAAGTTAAAGGTTTCCACAAATCGACTTTTCCTTCGTAATTCTCAGAATGCATAGATGGCTCGCCCACAGCAGAATTCTGCGAATAATAATAATCAGTAACAATTAAAGATTGGTATTTTTAACATAGGAACACGAAGTTGTTATAGCCCACAATCATACATACCTGTTTCACATTTTGAGAAAGTTTGTTTAACTTCTCCTGTGAGCTAAAGCTTTCAAGGTGGTCTCCAATGGTGTTTGTCACGGGTTTTTCGATGGTAAAATTTGAACCCTTTGAAGCTTTTCTTGCAATGGATTTGGATCTTCGACCAGTCATGCCAGTCTGTGCTGTAACTCTCGGTGTACTAACCACCAAAGATGAGAGCGATCTTTCTTTTCGCTTAGCTGGCAACATAACGGGTGTTGCAGAATTAGGGGCCTTCACTTTTATTCTCCTATGAGGAAATATTTTTGCTCTTACGTCTTGTAGATTATGATCCGGCCTGGTTAAAAAATATCCATCAAATCTCTAAGAAAAAAAAAACAATTGCCCACCAAAAGTAGAGCAAATACGATTGGTCGAGCAAATATGAGGTCATCAAAGACATTTAATGATGTAAGTTTCTTGAGAAACAAGAGAAACATATACGAAAAGAAAAGATTGTTTCTGAAACAATTCGTTCGAATGCTTACTTATCTATTCCAATTTCCAACCTACCTCTATATGGGTTTACAGATCTTACCTTAAGCGTAACTGCTGTACACGAGCGTTTAGCAACGATCGTTATAGTATGAAATATTGCAATTGCTAGAACACATTTTGTTCTCAGTACGAGTCAACCATTTTTCTATTCTTTTACTATGAGAAACTTCTCAAAGTTAACAATCCTATGAGTTGAGTTAAAACTGAAGTTGAGATAAAGGATGTCAGGTAAAGAGCACATACGATAACCAAAGCACATTGTACATAAAACCTAACATTTGATAGTTTTTTTCTCTCGAAAACAGGTTTCCTCTTTTCTTAAAGCAATGTCAAAATATCCTAAATTCCTAATTGTAGCTATGCATATATTTCTATTTATTATAATGGAATCGAAATTTCACATAGATATAAAAGCAAAACTATAGAAACTGACGATGTGATACAATTAATCAGATAAAATCTTTATCAGACGCCAGTGATAAACGAATACAGCTTCTTTTTCAAATAAAACCATTAAAATAAAAAGAAAAATGACAGCACATTACCGTATACGTTTTCCCAAAATATTATCCTCTAAAGCACAAAAACAAAACCAAACATAGCAAATATTTTCGATATTTTTCTATAAAATTGCGTATATTACCGCATAAACCTAGAAATTTCCCTGAATAACTAGAAAAAAACTAGAAAAACACTGTGACATATAATGCTAAAGCAGAGGTGACAAAAGGTAAAAATAACACAAGGAGATAGTTTATATGCATAAAACCTCGTTTGCATTCACTGTTAGACATTCATTCTATGTTATCACATCAAGAAAGGATTATAAGACAGCACAAACAAGTGCATACGCAAGTTTGTGAGTCTGCATGTATAAGTTATAAAAAGAGAAATAATAACTAAACCAAGTTAAAAGAAACCAAAGGAGATATAAGCTGCAAGTTAATCTGACCTCAACTTCTCAACTGGAGCACATCCCAAATTTATATTGCATATTGGACAACACTCCATTTCCTCATCCGAAAGCTTGTAGTATATGCACTTTCTGCAAACTATATAACATACATACAAACAAAAAAAAAAACAGACTTCAAACTATGAGAAAAACATACATACTAAAACCGATTAGTCCAAGGAAAATCGATGAATATGACAAGGTCAAATGAGAACAGAAACCAAAAAAAAAAAAAAACGCCAAAAGAAACGAAGTAGTATTGGCATAAAGCATATACTAAATCAGTAACAAAGTCTATGCTATCAAGAAACTTAAGCAATATTATTAAGTTAAGTTCAACATAACATCACAATGGGAAAAAAGAACACACGACCCACTATCAAGATTGATCAGCCCCATGTTTCAACAATATGAATCAGTGAGTTGGGCCAGAGTTGACTTTTAGAAGCAAATAGTCAAACTAATTCATTTATAGTAAACAAGACAAGATAAGCAAGCAGTGCCAAATATCCTCTTTCAGCCAATTAACCAACGTGTTTCCTTTACAATACAGCAGTACACTTTTATCAAACACCTGAGTGAGGTCAAAATTTTCAATTAAAAAAAATCCAGTCCACACAAACACATCGGCCAACTGGCAACCTACGGAGCATAAATCGACAAAAAAAACAAACGCCCATAAAATCAAAATTACGAATAACCCACACAACGAATTTAACAGGCGTATTCACGAATCGAGGACAAAATTAGGGCAGGACGAGTGAAGGAGGAGTACTGACAAGTGTGGAGGCACTCAATTATAGTGGTGGCATCGCGGAGGAGCTTGTGGCAGAGAAGGCATGTCATGCATGGCACCACCGCCTCCCGCCGCACCTTCACCGTCTGGTGCGACATCTAATTATCTCCGATTCACCTAAAATCGACTGGAGAAATCAAAACTATTCGCCACGTATCTTACGCGGTGCATGCTAGCTCCAGCACAGAATTGATGGTGGTGTGATTTACGTCCATTCCTTCTTCATCCACTGTATCTGCATTAAACCCATAAACAAAACCCCACAATTACTACCGCGGAGGCGTTTTACACAGAGCTCCCCCGCAAATTAAACAAAAAAAAAAAACGGAGTTAGAAGTTGCGGCGAAGAATACACCGGAGATTTGCTAGGGATTTATAGCTGCGAGCACCTTTGAATCTGGGGAGAGGTGATTTGGGGGAAGAGAGGGTGGCGCGTTGTGGGTGATCTGTGCGAGTGTGTGTGTGTGTTTTGGTGTGCGTTGGAGGGGATTTGGGTGTCGAAATCTAGAGAGAGAAAGAGGAGAGAGAGAGAGAGGGTCTTCGTTGTTACAAAGCAGAATGAATGAAACCCAAAAGAAAAATGACTTTATAATAATAATATTGTACTCTACTATATCTGGATAGTTTTGAAATTTCCGAGAGCTGTAACCGATGGTTAATATTTACATTTCAAACTTTAATTAGGGTATGGTTTGTTCAAATTTAAATAGCATTTTTAATTATTTCAATTATTAATTTATTTAATTAAATTAGATTAATTGAGTTTATTATGGTTGAAAATTGGAATAAATTTCCGAATTTCATCAATTCCGATATGATCATTTTGTTTTTATTTCCACAATTTTTCATTACAATTTCTGATTTTCTTTTTTCAAACTTTTTTGGGCAGAATAGGATTTTTTCTAAAATTTTCGATTTTAATTTTTAATAATAATTTCGAAATTCCAATTCTTTTTTGAAATTACACTTTTAGAATCAATATTCTTATGCATTTTATGTTATATGTGAATAATAAAATGGTTTTTTTTTTTTCCGACCAATTTCGATATGAAAATTACAATATTACAATATTTTTTTATTCCAATTTTTAGTATCCAAAAACAAAATTGGAACAAAATTAGTATTAAATCGAGTAATTAATTTGATCCAATCCTGTTCTACTGCACGACAAATTTGGATTTATACTTGCTGCAAAGATAGCCAATATTATATTAATATAATTTAATTTCCAATTATTTGCGGATGGACGATATATTTGCTGTTATTGCCGAAGAATAAAGGGTATTTTGTGAATATTATAGCAACTCAATTCGATTTTTAACCATAGGCAAAATTAGTGAAAAAAGAACTTGATTTTGAAATTGCACTGAGATAGGTCCAATCTTATGAGGAAATTAGTGATAACCCCTAATTTGGTTTTCATAAAATTTTGGATTAAACTGAATGTAAATCAACTACGATGTTACGTATTAATCGACTATCATAATTCTATAGTTGAACAAAATATTAGTTCTTAGAAATAATAAATCGACTATAAGGAAACATAGTTGATTTTTATGAGGATATCGCACATGACGTATATCGGTATATGCCATGCTGATAGGAATTTATCTACTTCAAATTTTGATAAACTTGTTCCTTTTGAGCACAAATGCACCGTTCTTCTATTTTATCGATTTGGGTGTTGGGTTGATGTCGAGATAATGTATAGCGTTTTTCGGCAATACCCTCTAGATCTTCCGTCTCCTACGCAAAGACATCATTGTTAGCCTAGAGAAAACCAGCACTCTGCTTCCACTTTAGGCTCAAGGCATGCTCCAACCCTTGGGAGTTTCATGCTACTGGGGACTAACTCCACACCAAAATGAATCTTTGTCGTCAAGATCTTTAAAATATTTATTTAAAATAATTCTAAAAGTGTATTTCCATCAAACATGACTTGATTACTACAATAAAATTAAAATTAAAAGTGTATTCGCTGAAAAACAAACAAACATCGTTTTATTTTTCATGTTCTTATAAAATACATCTTTCTAACACAAAGACATAGTGACTGCTACAATATTTTTTTTTCTCCTCCCAAAATATAAATAAATATTAATTTTATTCTCAAATTTTTCCCCTAGAACATCTTTCCCCAAGATAAACCAAAATAAAACGCATCCAAACATTGCCCACATTTTTCAAATCTTCCACGATGTAAGTCTTGTGTGGTCATTTCGCTAGTTGACCAACACGTGGTATGTTCAGCTTCCATATTCAATAACTAAGAGATTTCGATGTCGAACCATCCCAAGAATGCATTATCGTCCGCAGTCGCACCAATACTCATTCAAAAAAATCAACACACCACACATAGATAAACACACAAACTACTAATATAAAATAAAAATAATTAAAAGAAAATAAATTGGGTTGCCTCCTAATAAACACTTAACTTAAAGTCTTCAAATAATTTTAGCTATCGAAATTATTATGTCCAATCCAAAGACTTTTAAATTGTGCATCTATCCATTCGATTTACTACCGCAATTGCAATCAATGCGTGGATGGCATTGCAATATGTCAGGGTCCACCTTGACTTGTGGTGCACGTTTTTTTTTTGTTTGCTATCAATTGGTACATATTCAATGTAGGGTGTTCATCAGGTGAACCCTCAAATTGGTCAATGACTCTGCGTAGAACCTCGACATCAAACACATTAGCCATTTTATCAATCACTGTTGATGCCTTCAAGTCTACTACCTCAACGACGAAGAGATCCACAATTTGAATATTACTATATACATCGATTTCTCTTGCTCTAAGACATCTTTGATATTGTATGGAAAAATGAGGATGAAAAGTCTGGTGGATTGGAGCGTGGTATACAATTGTTCACCGTATACGATCACAATCGTAAAATAAACTACTATTGCGATAGTTGTGATCCATTACAATATCTTAAGTTGTTTTCTTTTGGGGAGCTCGGATGGCATGCACAAATTACAAAGTTGGTGCGCCCACAAAAATGTGCCAAAATAGAGGGAAGGTTGTTTGTGTGGGCCATGATACAGTTGCTACAAATCACGTGCAGTAAGCCGATGAATTACTTTGGATTGAAGAATAAGGTTGGTGTTTATTCTGTTGTATATTTCTTTTATTATTTTCCTTATTTACTTGAATGAATATTTTTTATTTACAATGCTTCTGGAAAACATGAGCAATTGTTACAATATTTCATGCAAAACATATTATTGTTACAAACTTCAAATGCACAATAATAATTATTTCTACTTGTTGCATGTTGGCATACTAGAAAACAATTGACAACCGATATGTACGTTAAAATAAATGTCAGATTATTATAGGTCAGAAAAAATTCAGAACGAATAATGAACCTAATCGTTGTATGATAATCTTTAAGTTGATGGTGTGGTTGAACCTATGATATTGGGAAACGAGTTGTTCTTCTGATTTCTTTTGTCGGCGATCACAAAGATTTGCAAAAATGACATGTCAACGCTATGGCTCTTGTCAAAAAAATATGGAAAACTTGATATCTTCTTAACCATGATGTCCAATCCCGCGTGGGAAGAAATCACATCTTTGTTAATGCTTGGATAAAAAACTGAAGACATATTTGCGGACATATACTTAATTGCTCAGGTTTTCAGTTGAAGCTTTAGGAGCTTAAGCATGATATTCTAATTAATATTTTTTTAATGTTGTTACAGTGTATGTTTATGCAGTTTAGTACCAAAAGCAAGGTCTTCCTTATTTTCATTGGGTTATTATTTTGGAAGACCACATAAGATTATATTTCAGGGGTTTATGGTCAGATTATTTTGGTTGAGCTTCCTAATAATTCACATCCATTCATATGTGCATATGTAGTTATACATATGATACATGGCCCTTGTGGCGACTCAAATTCTAAGAGTGTGCGCACGCATGACAGTAAATGTAAGAACCATACAAAAGAAATGAGACTGTCATAAGGTTGTTGTTACAAATGTGTTTCTCAGTAATAGATTTGTTCTGTCTTACTGAATGTTTCTATTGGCCAAATTAAACTATCATATTAATGCAGAAATATGTGTCGATATTAAATTTGTCAAGCACTTGTACAAATATATTTACATGCGTCATGACAATATAATGTTTTTTTCTCATGCATCATTATATGAACGCGATGAAATACATGCATATCAATAAGGTCGTTGGTTATATATGTGCGTGTGAGGCTCACTGGAAAAAATATGATTTCTTAACGAGCGAGATGTTGTGTGCAGTTATCATAGTGCATGTACATTTACCGAATCATTAGCCGTTGCTTTTGGTATACAACAGTCGTTGAGGCAGATTTTTGATAACCCTTTGACCAACAACACTATGTTTATAGATTTTTTTACCTCAAAAAACAAAGATGAATAAAAAATGGAAGTTGTGTTTGGTTGACCTCGTACGATTAGCTTGTTTGAAGGCGTGCGATATATTGAGTGAGTTTGATTTTAGTTAATGCATGTTGCTCAACTTCTTTTGAGTATTTAACGGTTGTCGATGGAAGCAAATATGTTACATTTAGTGAGGCTGCTAGATGTTCTTAGCAATCTGATAAATATGTGGATGATATTTTGGCAAAGGCCTCTTTGTTTTATGCCCCTTATTACGTGTGTGTGCTATTTGCATTACTTATTGTTTACGACATCACTGTTGATGTTCAAATAATGCCCGACAAGTATTACTCTTCAATGTTTGAAGACTTTGCTCGTGAAGGAGTGTTGACGAATACTGTGGTGCTTAGGGAAATTTTTGTCATTGATTTGGTGCTTAACTCAATGGATAAATCTATTATGTTTTTTCAATTTGTTTTTTCTACAATCCATGTGAAGATGACAAATCCAACATGGACTAAAAATATGAATTCTATCTAAAAGTTATAACGGATGATATGATCTTTATAGACTTTGTGAGCACTAAAAACATTATGTATTTGATCAAAATGTGCTTAAACTTGATACTAGAAGTTATGGGTTATTTTTTTTTCTTGATGATATTGATGGTACTGGCAAGACATAATTGTACTGACGGTTGCTTTCATAAGGAGATATAACCTTGGTTGTTGCACTTTTAGGTGTGGTTGCATCGTTGTTGCCGGATTGTCGAACAACGCATTCAAGATTCAAATTACCATTCGATGTTGATGGTGTGACTACGATAAGGTCATTAAACAAGCCACCCTAGCTAGAATGATACAAAAGGCAAAACATATTATATGGGATAAAACAACGATGGCAATCGACATACTGTTGAGGTGTTTGAATTCTTGATGTTTGATTTATGCTATAGTCTGTTTTTCTTTGGTGGAAAAATGGTTTTGTTTGGTGGTGATTTCATACAAGCATTATCGATTGTTGCTGGTGGTTCAAGAGATCTATTGATTGAAGCTAGTTCGGTTAGCTCAGCATTATGACAAGATATCTTGTGATCTCCACCAAAGTTAACGTTGACGCAGCTTTTCCACGAGGTAATGATTACTATTACACATCTATGGTTGCTAGAGATTTACAAGGTCAAAGTGTGTAGTGACAGAATTTTCGGCATCTTGGCTGAGTGTTACCTTCCGAGTGGGAAGCTCGGGCCGTTTTACAAGCTACTCTTATGGCGTTAAGCTTCAAATTGCCTGGCATTATTATTGAGGATGATTGTCTCCCGATGATCGATGCGCTTAATGGCCGAGGTTCTTCACTTTCTTTTGTAAGGCCATATGCCAATATATAAACTAGCTTACGATATTGCTTCGCATGAGACTTTTGATTCTTTGGAGGGTGTAACCCTCTCCCCCTATAATTATATTTACCCATCAAAGAAAAAAAAGTACTTGAGAAAATTCAGCAATACAAACATTGAAAATCATAAAAATGTTGGTGAATGGCGCATGCCTAGCTGAGTCAAAAGTCAAAGGCAAGGACAGTACTTGAATAGGTCAAAAGGTTTCTTCATTCTTCTGTCCACACTATTATTTTCAGACTGTGTATTAGGTAGGTGTACCAGAATTCTTAAATCCTATGTTACTACAACAACTATTGCAAATCAATCAATTAATTCAATAAAATTCAATATTTTAGTAAACAAAAAATAACATACATTGATTTTTTCAGTGCTAATATTAACCAACACTCGCAACAAACATTGCCAAATCAAGACAAAACTAAACTAGATACAAACATACACGCGGTAAGTACACGTCGAATAAATTGTATCAAGAACCAACGAGACCTTTGTGCCGAGCATACGAAATTATCGACATAAAAATCGATCCAGAAGCCAGTACTGTAAGCATCACCACCTAAATAACGAGAGTTCACAAGCATATTAATAAATTATATCGAAGAAAAACCGAAGTTTTAATTAAGATGCGTATTTATAATGTATGTATACCCATTTAAATAGGTGGCCATGGCTTTCCCTCCATGGATATGGAATGTTCATCCCGAAAATTGCTGCAACTAATGAATACACGGACAAACAAACCGTGCCGGAACTTAGAAATAGCTCAAGCTGCACGAGATTAAATAAATAAATTAAAGGGATGATTAAATTCTAGAAGATTGATAGGAAATAAATCCAATAATTAATGTATATATATATTTAATTTTTGTCACACCTGAATCAGTTGATTCCTATGATTGTCCAACTGCAAACGAAGAAGACAACTTTGTCATACAAGAAATATAATACATATAAAATTAGTTTTCTGGTATTACCTGAATATTGATATAATCCTCTGTGTCGTCGATGTATTCTCGCAGCTGAAAACGAAGAAAACGAATAACAAAAGGAAATCTAAATTCTCTATTTGTTTTTCAATACTATTAAGGAAAATTAAATACTTGTTGTAATTTCTCGATTTCGATAAATTCAAAACTACTACACAAAATTGCAACCAAATTAAAGCTAATGCATTGGCATACCGTGGTCAGCTTATTCATCGTGCTTTCTATTTGCATAAAGTAAGCCTGCAAATCATGAGATAACATAATTATTAAATATTAATATTGTATTGAAAGAAAAATACCAAGACATTAAAAATACTTCAAATACAATATTAATTCTTCGAGTAACGGAAAAAACCTCAAGCAGCATTTCGAGTTCCTCGACATTATTCTCCTCTTGGGAAGTGGTTAATGCACTTGCCCTGCTGCTACTTCTAGATATTTTCGAGATTGTCGTCCGAGATTCATCATCATCTGCTGCGAAATGCCAGTTACCATGTCCGTAATCACTGGAACCGGAAGCTGATGTGGCAGATTTTCTTGATAGATAAAGTTCCGCCATGTCATCGTCGTCATCAAGAAGTTGCTCTATTTCATCCCTTACCTGGAAATATATAGTAGATTCAAGTATACTGCTACAAGTCTTTTATTTTCGTAACATATAATAAAAGAGGGTTTATTGCAAATAGTACACATAATTGCTACAAAACTACCCTATGTTATTTTATTGGCAAAACCCCCTACGATTGAACTTTTTTTTAGCACACAACCCCCTAAACAGGGATACTAATTGCTTAAAAATTTAAATCATAGGGGTTGTTTTTAGCAATTCAATAAAACACAAGGGTACTGTTTGCAATGAAGTCAATTAAAAGATACCAATGGAAAAAGTTTGCCTCTTTCCAATTTAAAATTGTTACACTAACAATTCATTTAGTAAATAAATTATAGTCACTCTTAATAGTTAATTTCATTGCCTAGTTCATCGGCATGTACTTCCATTAACAATACACAAAAGGTAAATATAAAAAAAAAAAAAAAAAAGACGAGCATACTTTTTGAACCCGACTCGTCAATCTTGACATAGAACTCTTCATTTTACGCACACGATCCAAGTTGCCACTGGTAGTCTGCATTAACATCCAATCATAACAAGTGTCCGTTCATATGACCGATAAAAATAAAAATCTAATGGAGTAATCATCATTATAAATCGGATTACCAATTAGTACTAGATAAGCTTATTACAAGAATTTGAAGATTTTCGATTACCTTAGCAGTAAGGTCATCCAAAGCAGGATAAGCAGCAACTTCCAACTCTCGAGTTTGTGCATCGAGACTACTACAAACACCTTCTAACGCTACTTCTAGCGCTCGGAATTCAAACGGGAACTCTTCTCACAATTTGATCACCACACAATAATTAGCAACACACACTACTAATAACTCAAAAATAAAATAAAATAATAATAGTAATACCATTATGTTCATTAATCCCAACTCCGTTATTACGAGCTTGGGGCAACTCGTCGTCTTCCGCTTCACCTCCGCCGCCGCCGCCGCTGGCCAAAGGCAACCGTCTTTGCAGTTCTTCAACAATCGGCATTACATTTTCATCAAGTGGATGCCTTAGTAATACCTATTTCATCATAATTCATAAACCACACCAAATTAATTAAATTAAATTAAATGATTTAATTCGAATAATAATAATATTTCGGGTTTGGTTTCGAAAAAAATAAATCTGACCTCATCTGTTGTTATAACCGCCTTGATATGCTGCAATTATCGAAATGATTAAGATAATAATCACAGAGCCCCATTAAAATTAAAAAAAAAAAAAAAAAAAAAGGTGAATAATTAATAATTACCACCTCTAAATTGAGGACGATGGCCTTATCTCTGCCGAGAATAGCAGAAGGGTAAGAAAGGAGAGGGTCGAGAATTCGAAGATCTCTGGCATTAATTGGAACCCTATTCATTATTTCAAACTTATCCAAATCGAGTACTACACCTTCTCCGCTGCGCCCTATCAAAATCCAGCTCCTCGAAATCGCTGCTTTTTTCTTCACCGCCGACATTTGAGTTTCCGCAGTAATAATAAATCCATCTTCCTCGCCCATTTTTTTTTTCAATTAATTAATTTCCTTCAAAAAATTCAAACAACTCAGAAATCCATGGCTAGTGTGTGTGTGTGTGTGTAAAGTGAAGATACAGGAAGTTGAAAACAGGGGGATATTTTGGCGGTAGTAGGGATTGATTTGTATAATTGGGTGTTTTAGGTAAAATAGGGTGGAAGAATTGAATAATTGATGTGTGATGAAATCAGAAAATGGGAAGTGATTAGATATGTGTGAGGTGGTGGAGGGACCATTGAATTTGATGGGACTCGACCAAGAATTGCTCATATATGCATGGATCTTTATATGTTCATTAGAAAAGGCTTGTTTATTCTTGTCAAAAAAAAAATATATATATTTAAATAAGGCTTGTTTCAAAAATCAATATATTAAATTAAACGTGTAAACTCTTTTTTTCTTTTTTTTGGAAGGCAACTAAACTCTTTTTTTTTTTTTTTTTAAATATTATATATATCTGTAGTAAAAAAGTTTGCAAGCCTGCTCGAGAGCTCATGAACAATTGAGAAAAACTCGAGCGGGTTAAAATTCCAAATTTAACTAGCTGATTCAATCCATCTATACTTATATAATAAACGAAAAGTTCAATGTTGCACCTGGTTATTTACACATAGTGAATTTGAACAGTAAATTTAATTAAATAACTATTCACTAAAAACACATACATATTATGAATGTGTAACCAAGTGAGCAAGTGTAACATCTAATTTTCTATATGTATATAATATTACCACTTACCAGCACAACAGTTACGTGGGACGCAGAGTGAATGCCACGTTTGAAATAACTGCCACTAAGCTTTTTTTTTTTTTTTTTTTTTTGCGATAAATTAACTGCCACTAAGCTTACTATATGCTATATATAAAATTTTAATTTATTTGGGTATGCCAATTGCCAACATGCAATATAATGGCACGTTTTTTACACAAGCTCAATGACCAATTTCTTAGTGAGAGGAAGCCTTTCTTTCCTTGTATTACCGAAAATGCCCTTTATTGTTAGGTTGGGCCGTTGGACTGGTTTAGGCCTGGCCGCTGGTTAAGCTCTTAATAGGCTCTTTATGCACTAATGAGAAAAGGAATTCTCTTTTGTTTTGAAAATATATATTCGAGGAGGTTCAATATTTTTTTTTCCCATAGTTAAAAATTCAAATTCAAATTCTTAATTAGTGAGACTTCTCTAGGCAACTTAAAGTACTTGTTTTGCCTTTTAGTTGCCATGACCCCCTAACCTTATCTCTTCCTCTTCCATCCACGCCATTACATCTCTCTCTTTCTTTATCTTTCTTCATCTCTCCCTCTCTCTAAAACTCTCTTGCCAAATTCTAGCGGCAAAAAATGGCTCCAAAGCAGCAAAAAAGAAGGCGGCCATCGGCGGAGAAAAAAAAAAGAAGTCGATGAAGAGGTCGAAGAAGAGGTCGAGATCTGAGACCAACATAACAGAATATTTATTTCTTGGGTACCTTTTTATTTGTTTCAATTTTTGTGTGTTTGTGGTTTGATCAATCGTTTTTGAGTCCTTAGCCGCCGAATTCTGAGGTTAAAGTATCTTTCTCTCTATTCCTCTATCTCCTCTCGATCTTAGTCTGTTTTTGGTATTTTTTGGTGTAAAATTCAGTTGCAGCAAAAAACGTCGATGTTGAGGAAGATGGGCAACAACAGGCCAATTAGGGAGAATCAGCTATGTAGTCATGTATAGTCATATATAAGATATGTAATATTTTTTTAATGTACAGTGATGCTGGTGGTTGTTTTAGTTGAAGAATTTACACATGTAATATTTTGGATATATTGTGAGAATACAAGTTGACCTGCAACATAAAGATTCAAATTATGATTTGTTTTTCGTGAATGTAGATTGAATATTTCATAAATAATAATCTTCTTTTTTTATTAATTTGTTAAATATGAATGAGTTACCCTATATAATTGAAAATATACAATTTTAAGTTGAAAATGTAAAAGCCATATATGAAGCAAGAATATGACTATAATTGACTATAGTCATATATAATTATATATAGTCATATTCAAAATAGTAAACTTTTCGGGAGAAAAACATCACAAAAAAAAAAATTAAAATTATATTTTATCATTTTTTAAATAATTCTTTTAAAAGAAAAAGAAGAAGAAAAATGTTAAATGCAGTTGGTGGAAATGTTGAATGCAGTTATGACAAAAATTGCATCATAGATTTTTTTTTTGCCTCTTGAGAGAATATCTCAAAAAAAGAATTTTAGGGGTGAACTTATCCCTATTTCATATTAATGGTGTATATCAGATGGGCCCATAAAATCAAATGAAGATATCAACAAAAAATATTCGATTGCACGTCAGAATGCATGGAAGTTCTTGCTTGTAATCAAGTTGAAATAACGTACTACTACAGTTAGACCTCTATAAATTAATACAGTTGGGAGTCTTGGGACCATCAAAATTCCATTAATTTAACGAAATATTAACTTATCGATAAATTAATAATTATTAATTTATGAAATTATTTTTATTATTATTTTCTATATACATTTTTTTTAAATATTTGTACGTGTATATTATTCATTGTACTATTAGTTCAATGCACTATTTTATAAAACGCTTTCACGAATGGACGCTCTTAAAGCAACAATGGTATTGAACACATTTTTGTTGACTTATGAGAAAACTATACCAAAAGTTCTAACCATGTTAACAAAAGTGAGGGACGAAATTTATGGTAATTTGAACTTCAACAAGAAACAAGTGATAGTTAAATTATTGTTTATTAATTTAAGAATTATTATTATGCATTATTAATTTATATATTATATGGGGCTTTTTAAAAATTTTGAATGTATTATCTTGTAAATTTAGAGAATTGTTAATTTAGCACGTTGTCCATGAGTCGGGACCGAAAAAATTTATTATCTAAGCAAGGTTATCAATTTATCAAGCCCTGCCACCATGGCTTTGGTGGACGAGAGAAGGAACATGGCTGCCATTTGGGCCGAGCAACAATCTTTCGGGATGGATACTTTTCGGCTGCCAATTTTTTTCCCCTCAGTGAATCTATATGCAAGTTTTGCTTATGCAAATGAGATCATTTCCATCTTCTTCAGATTGGCTGCTATTATTTTTACGTTATTTAATTTCATTAACCAAGCATAGAAGAAGGGAGAAGGTAACGAAAGCAAACTACAATCAATTCTGTAGTCGTCTCTTGAAGGTTCGAATCCAATTACTAGTATCGAAATTCTTACATCCAATATCCTTTTACGTAACCAGGCATTGTATTATTTGAGGCCACACGGAAACAACATTAACAATACATGTATTGTTTTAAAGGTCAAATTACGGCCACCCCTAAGGTATGGCCAAATTACGAAAAAATCGCTCTTGTTTGGGTAATTACAACCACCCCCTTCTTTTAAATATTTTTACATAAAATTTATGTAATTTGGTTATTTACCGAACCAAATCGTATATTCAGTTCGGTTTTACCGATTTAACATCCCTAAATTTACCTCTGCATGAGTATTTTCGCAAGATAATATAGTTGAGGGGGGCAGCTGTAATTATCCAAACATGAAGGGGGTTTTCGTAATTTGAACTCATGGGTGGCCATAATTTGCCCTTGTTTTAAATTGCAGATGCAAGATACAACATAAGATGAAGATGGACGGAAACAACACTTGGTATAAAATAACTAATGTTTCTTTGTTTCTTCACTCGAACATTATAAATCAACAAAACCGAAAACCATTTCTCCGCAAACCAAATTCATGTGAATAGAATCAACATCAAAAATACATATATAATAAATAAACCTTAATCCTCATAGACCAAAAAACCAATTGTAAACAACAACTATGATTATTCCGTCACCAAAATTTGCCGCCCAACGTAAGAGATAACACACGGGTAATGGCTCAAGACACTTACTAGGCATGATGGTAGTGATGCAGTTTGTACAACAACACTTTCCCGGCAGCATTCCCCATCGCCATAAAACCTCCGTTAGGGCTGAAATCCATACAGCTCGGATAATGCAACGCCTGATTAGACGGCGGCCAGTTCGAGAAAACGGTGAAAGACGGAACATGAATCAGCTTCAAGCTATTCTTTTTCATGCGAGAACTCACGGCCAAAATCTGCGCATCGTGGTTAAATTTCACAAAATCCACTTTCGTAGTCAAGTTCTCAACCGCCTTGATCGGCTTCTTCTTCCCACCCAAGAATTCGTCCCTGTTGTAAATGTTCACGATCCCACTGTCCGAACCAGCAGCAAATAAATTCCCGACAGGGGAAGTGCAAAGAGCCGTACCGTTCAGACAACCTTCATCGGTGCCTATGTGGAAGCAAGACCTTGTCCTTAAATCCCAATGGTAAATCTTCCCATCTCCACCAGAGCTCAACAATTGCTGCCCGTCGTTCGTAAACGCTACCGATCTAACACTTCCATTCATTTTAAGCGTTCCGATCAATTCCTTTGTCTTTGTCGAAACCAATAAAATATGCCCTTCGTTGCCAAGAAACGCAATAGTTTTAGAATCGGGACTAACTTCAAAAGATTCCAAGCTCTTCTCATCCCTCCCAGCAAGTGGCCCTATTCTATCCACCTGTGCTTTGACCAAGTCAAAGCTGTAAGCGAACTTCCTCCTTCCTGTTACGATAGCCTGCGAACCATCGGGTAAAAAAGCAGCCTTTCGAATCGGGCAGTCCTCGAGGAATATGCTCTGAATCTTTTCGTTCTTTTTGCCGTCAACTTGAAAGAATCTCAAAGTTCTATCCAACCCACCGACGAGCAGCAACTGCGCGTTCTTATGGAACTGGACAGAGTTAACCGGAGCATTGCTAGGGTCCTTCAAATTAGCATCACCGAGCCTCGAAAACTCAAGATGCCCGGGTAATAATTTCGCACTCCTTTTCAAGACAAGGTCTTCGTTCGTTCTGAGGATGTCTTCAGCATCTTGAAAGCCAGTGGCTACAACCACTTCACTTTCTTTGTCTGAATCTTCATCAGAGCTGTTATAATCTCTCGAATGGGCATCGGGGCGGGCCCAGTCGGTGCCTGGATTCATCTTGATATGCTGAGCTCTTAATCTTGAAACGTACGCAGAGCCGGAAATTACGCTTTCGTCCTCCTCCTTCCTCAGCTTCCGCAATCTATTGACTTTAGCTATGTTTATGGTAGCTTTCTCCTCTTCTTCGTCAACCCACACGGGCTTCCTCTGATTGTCCGCCTCAAGTTCGTCACTTTCACCTCCCATATCCACATCCTCTTCATACACGGAGACCGCGCTATTTGCTGACCTGTCGGTGAAGAACAGTGCAGCGGTGTTGTCCACCTTATCCCTAGATTCCTCTTCGTCGACCTTGCCGAACTCGAGTGGTGCGTACAAGGAGCCGAATAAGGAATTCTCCAGCCTCTTCATTTCCTTCTCCCGTTCAATTTCCATTTGCTCGTCTTTCTCCTTCCGCACTCTCTTTCTCTTCTGATTCTTTACATCTTCCAAATCAACAACCGCGCCACCATCTTCAGCCTCTTCCTGCCCTTCTCCAACAGGGGCAATTTCGTCTTTCTTCGAATCCCTCTTCTTCTTTTTGAGCTCCTTAGGTACGGCATTTTGAGAAATCAAGCTCATATTTGCTGTTCCGCCAAATGCTCTAACCAAATCAAGATGATAACTAATCAATTAACGAAAATCTAAACCAGATGTCAGGAAATAAATTTTACGATCGCGCACCTCCGCCGTTAAGCGGCGGTGGACTGGGTTTAAAATATAAAATTAATATTTTGCAAGCGTGCCAAACTTAAATAAACGACAATTAGCAGCAAGAAGCTAAATAAACTACCAAAATGCAGAAAAGAAAAAAAAACAAACTTTAATCAATAGAATGGAGAAAAACTTACTACGACGGTGACTGTAGATTTTTCAATTTATTTTCCTCGCGCGGAGAAGTTAGCGGGCGGGGGACGGAGGAGAATGGGCGGAGGAAGATGAAATTAGGGTTTAAGGGAATTGTATTTTTGATGCTGAGGTATAACATGTTAAATGGGCCGGGTCAATATTAAATGGCATATCCAATGAATCCGACCCGCCCTCAAAACAAGATGGGTCGTACTCCGTCAACCCCACTTAATTTCCAATTGTTCATTTTTTTTTCATCATTTTTATATTAGAATTTAGGACTACATATATTGGATTAATTTTTTACTGATAATTAATTATTTAGTAAGTAAAATATTTGTTTCATTTGATTAGATCTCGTATTACATCTTCAAAAATAAAATATTTTTTAAGGGTCTTAAGATATAGGTTCATAGTGACAAAATTCATTAAAACTAAATGACAAGCGCTTAATTAAACGTTTGTTTTACATTATTTATGAAATTCATTCCAAAATGGCTTCTACACAAAAAAATAAAATCTACACTAAGTAATATTTAAACAAAATTTATCAAAAACAAATATGCATTATACATTTTAATTTTGCGTCTAATAATTTTGGTATTATTTCTTTTTTACGCAAAACACGGTTTTTTTTCTTCATTTTAGTATATTTTCAGTATTATAAAAATCTATTTTTCCTTTTTTTATATAATATTGAAAATTATGATTTTGTTTCTGCCATAGTCACCTACAGACACCCATAGGAACTCGTAGTAATCGTAGTAATCCATAGAAACCGATAGTAATCGTAGTCGCCCATAGTCGTACTCACAATTTAAAAACTCTAACTTTGCCTTTGAACCCTAACCATCATCCATCCGTAGACCCTCACAGTAAACTATAGTCACTCATAGTCAAACCCTAGATCTACAACCACAGCCGCCATAGCCATCGTCTTACCTTTTCCCCATAACCACTCCCCACTATAACCGCATCCACCACCACCCTGACCGCGTTCATACCGACCGACTCCATAGTTGTTGTAGTCCGTCATCCACGATAGCCGCTGCTAGGTCCACTACCCATCATAGCCGTTTTCATAACCTAGCCCCACAACCAGAGATTTGCCTCAACCAGCCCAGCCATACCCGCCGTTGCTAACATACCCACCTTCATAAACCTCCCACCATACACTTCGCCGCGCGCCACCTAACACTCAGATTTGCCGGAAAAAAAAAACAGAGAAACAAAGAAAAGGGATGGGGTGGGGCGGGAAAAAAAAGGGTGAGGATAAAGAGAGAAATGAGAAATAAATGTGATTTTTTATTAGTTATATAAAGGATATTTTCGGGTTAAATAAAAATCAAAGGATGTGGTTCAAATTTTATTTAGAACTAAGGATTTAGTTAAAATATTCTATTTAAGGTTGTCAACCATATCTAATTAGATTTGATTTGAGGGATGTCAAACATATTACTCCATTTTCTTATTATATATTGTTTAAAAGACTTTCATTTAACAAAATTAAATAGTAATAAGTTATCCCTCACAAAATTAATCACAGAGATAGAGATGCTTCTAATTTAATGAAATATTAGTATTTAATTGTAGGTTATGGTTTCGGTAATGTGTTTCGGTAAGTACATTTTTTGTCAACCAAACATTTATATTAACCCCTCTCGTATAGTCAATAATAGGGATGGCGATGGACGCGTATGGGGCAGGTTTTTGGAAAATTTGCAGTTTTGCACCCACACCCGCCCCCACTAGCAAATAGTTTCACCCATACCCCTTATGTACCTATTTCGGGTTTGGTTTTATTAAACTCTTACCCACCTGTACCCACCGCTCTAGCAAAATTTTCCACCCTTACTTGTTTCGTATCCATTTCGGGTTTGATTTTATTAAACATGCCACCACCTGGATCCACATTTTTTTATATTAATAATTTATTTAATTAGAATATCTCTAAAAAATAGTATTTTATAGTTCAAAAAATATATAAAATTAATAGAAATATGTAAACGGGTTAGATACAGGACGGATATGGGTGAAATTTTTAAAACCGTACCACTCCATTAAATAACGGGGCGGGGATTATCCAATAAATTTGGGCGGGGCGGGAGGGACGGGTACCCGGTGGATCGGGTTAAATTGTCATCTCTAGTCAATAACACATAATAGTAGTTACCGACATAAGCACAATTTACACTGTTGTTGATTCTTGCATTTTCCGGAGCAATTTTTTTCTTCTAGACCATGTTGGCCGAACATTTTCATAAATATGACATTTTTTGGGGTATTTTAGAAATAGAATAACGCGTCAGTATAAATTGCGCGTTTTAAGAAGACGACACGTGTCCGATAGATCTACAGTTCTTAAAAACACGTCAGTTGAAGTGACGCTTCTTAAGATGTTGCCACGTGTCCAACATGTTTTCAGCTTTTTTTTTTTAATTATACATCTTAAAATAATAGAAATTTAATTAATTAAACTGAAAATTTTATTAATTGTTTTCTTTATTTTTATGGATATTATAATGTCGCTGTATTTACAATATTAATTTTTGTATTTAATTTGTTTTTAATAATAAAAATACTAAAAGGTTTAATTAATTTGAAAGCTTTTTATTGCAATTTTTTTGTTTAATTTGTTTTGATATGAATAACTAAAGTATTAAAAAGTTTAAATAATTAAACAACACTATAAATAAATACAATAATAACGTCACGAGGCGGCTCGGCTCATTTAACAAAACCCTCCAATATTCACAAGATAAATTATTATTATTTTGCACAAAATTGTAATTTTTTAATTAAAAATACATACCAAAAAAGAAATAGAGTAATAAAACATAAGCTCAAATATTTTTTTAAATAAATTCAATAATATAATCACAAACTTTGTCGACCCGGTTTATTGAAACAAGAGGCGATCACTTACACCATAATATTCACAAAAGAAATTATTGTTAATTTGCACAAAATATTAAATCTTTTAATTTGAAAATACGTACAAATAAAATAAATGGAGTAATAAAACATAACTTAAATAAAGAAGACAAAATGTGAAATGTAGATTTGAGGAGAAATTTAAAAAAAATTGAATTATATACTTCCAACACAAGAATTTGGATAAAAAGAAATCATGTCAACACGAAGTATCAATCTATCGGACTTCCCGATTCTCCATATTCAACGAGATCCCGAATCTGATTCGACGCTGCTCTAGAAACCAAATGTCCATTATTTAAACAAAGGTTTTACTTTATTCATTTTTAATTGCAATTGCATAAGCTTCATTGTTGTTCCGATTGTGTTGGTTAAAAAATTAAACTTTTACTTGGATTTCAACGAAGAAGAAAGAGAGGTTGTCGCCTAATTTGAAATTTTGAAAGGAGAAATTTGTCTAAAATCCATTTAGAGATTGATTGAACGAATAAGTCCGACTATTTTCAACTGAATCGGTAAGCGGCAACGTTCCTGGTTTTCTTAAAATTAATTATTCACCACAAAATTGCTAAAAGAAATATACATTAACCACAACATTGCTAAAAATATCTAAAGCTTCTATTATTGAAATGTTTTGGGATTTGGATTTAATTATGGACTGAATGGGTGAGTTTAGTAATTTAAAAAAACAGCATGGTAAGCTGTCAAAAAAATATTTCAGTAGCGCTGCACATTGTGTTTGTTGGGGTACAAATTTTTGAACTCCATTTCAAAACTGAACATAATAACAAGATTAATCTATCTACAATAAAAAAAGAGAATAGAGGGTTTCAGATTTTAACTAACAAGAAATATAGTAACACTTCTAGGAGTTGAAAACCAAACAGAAAAGTTGTGAACAACTTTATGTTACAGCTCAGTTTTCTTGTCATTTTTCTCGTCCAGAACCGGCCGACGGTGGCACCAACAGCTCAACATTACGCGCTGTCACCAAAACCTTTGATATATCTTGCCGGAATCACTCAAATTTCTGGCCAAGTCTCTTACCCAAACACCACCCCACATAGATTTAAACTCTCTCGCATTTCCCTCACTCAGTAGTAGATCTCACCCGATCACTGAAGAACGTGGATCTCAAAAATCAAGCGGAGATTCAAATTGTCAGGGTTGTTTTTCTCTCCATCTCTCACATGGCGTTTTATATATAGATGGAAAAGGTATGTTGTCTCTAAAATAGAAAGCATAAAAGAAGCGGCCATCGTCATGGTCAAGCGGCTGGCTGTGTGCCAGAAAATGCAAAGAGGCATTCACCGTAGTGGTACGAACATATGAGAGAGAGAACAAATATCGAAAATTAGGGTTTTGAGAGAGACAAAGGTGTATATCTCGAAGTGAATGGCTCGAATCACTCGGTGTAAGTCAATGATCAGGACAAGACTCTAAAGACTTCTAAGGTTTGACGGAAACAAGTGGGCTAAAGTTGTTGGGCCGCATTAGATAGAAATGTGTTAAGTGGGCTACATATAAACAAGTATAATTTGAATCTGAAAAATCTTTCAAGTAAGAATATTCTAGAAGGCAGAAAGGTTTCAGTATACAGTTCTTTGAACTTATCCGTTAAAGCTTTAGCGGGAAGCCTACTTACTTAACTTTGTAATTAAAAATCAGATAAATTCAAGATAATCAAAGAATAAGCAAGTTCATCAAATTCAGTTTTTTTCACAACATAAGACAAGATACTGGCCTTAACATATTTTTGCTGAACAAGTATACCCTGCATCTTTTACAAATTCTAAAAATCGATTTTCGATTTAAAAACAATAAATAGATTATTACATGAGAAAAATCGTGGCACGATAATAGGCCACGTCTACCTGGACATATGATCCAACAGAATTATAGGTAAGATAGGGAAATCATAGGTAAGATAGGGAATTAACGCACCATTTATATATGAACTCCAATGTCCAAATTCATGCCTAAATCCACGTGTGTAGGAGGCCCACCTTTACTATCAGAAATTTAATACCTTACACGTGTGTGTACTCTATCTCCAATTTAAATGCACTCGCCAACCTTTTACTGTTCTTCTACTGAGTAAACTGCAAATACTACCCATGTGTTATCTCGAAATAGCGAAAACCCCCTCTGTGATAAATAAACTAGCAAAAACCCCCCTGTGAAATTTAGTCAAAGGCAGAATCTCCCCTAGCTGATTTTTTAGACTTGAAATGACAAAATTGTCCCTCAAAATGTTTTTATATATATACATATTATATGTATATTTATTCTTTTTAATTTGTTTGTTTAGAAATTAAAAAAAATAGTAAACAACTAAATTGATTATTTTTTAAATAAAATAATTAAAATATTTATAAAATATAAGAATTTATTAATTGCAAGACTCCAGGGGTATTTGTGTCTTTTTATATCAAGTCAACCCTCAAATAGTTCCATAGGGGGGTTTTTGCTATTTAAATAATTTCACAGGGGAGGTTTTTGCTAGTTTATTTATCACAGGGGGGTTTTTGCTATTTCAAGATTACACAGGGGTAGTTTTTGCAGTTTACTCAGAGAATAGTAAACAACTAAATTGATTATTTTTTAAATAAAATAATTAAAATATTTATAAAATATAAGAATTTATTAATTGCAAGACTCCAGGGGTATTTGTGTCTTTTTATATCAAGTCAACCCTCAAATAGTTCAATGGGGGGGTTTTTGCTATTTAAATAGGGGGCAACTATTTTGAATACTAATTTTTGCTTAGTTGAATACTACCTAGTTGAAAACCACAATTGAGTACATATTTTTAAGTTTTTTCTTACTTTAATACCAAAATAAAAATAAAAGTACAAAAATACCCTTTCATACAAAATACTAATTACATCAATTTTTCTTTGAAATTACCTATTTGAAAACCAAATAAAAAAAAAGAAAAAAAAAATCAAACACAAAAAACTCCCTCCGTCCACGCCGCCCGACGCCGCCGCCGCCGCTCCAACCATCGCCGCCGCCGGACGCCGACGCCAAACACCGCCGAACGCCGCCCACGCCGCCCAACGTCGCCCGAAGCCGCCGCCGTCGTCGTCTTCGAATAGTAAGTTATAGTTGTTCGATTTTTTTTTTCTTTAATATTTATTTAAGATTTGAATGTTTGATATGGGTAATTAGGATTTGGTTGTTTTAGGTTAGAATGATCGTTAATTAGTAATGGGTGCATCTGATTTCAGTCGATTTGAGCATTGATTTGAGATTCGTGGGTCGGTTCTTGGTTCACCATTTTCGACCTGTACATGTCGATTTTCGATGAATTTTCGACAGGTTGATGTCGAAAATTCATCCAAAATCGACATGTAGATGTCGAAAATGGTGAAAGGGTTGAGTTTGGATTTTGTAATTTTCGACAGTTAACTGTCGAAAATGGGTTGCATTTTCGACAGCAACCTGTCGAAAATTCAACCAATTTTCGACAGTTAACTGTCGAAAATTCAAACAAATTTCGACAGGTTGCTGTCGAATTTGAACTGTGATAAATTTTTTTTTTTTTTTTTTTTTTTTTTTTCCTATTTTTATTTGCTTGTGTTTATATTATGTATATTAATTTTTATTTGTGTGTTATTTTGCAGTGGAAGAACCACGTCAACCTCGTATACCTCCGACTGTCTCGAACCGTAAAAAGAGGAAGGAATTATCCGATAAAGGCAAGGGCATACCAGTCACGACCAAGAAAAAGACCACGACCAAGAAGAAGTCTGGAGAGGGTTCTTCGTCAACGAATCCGGTGCCGGCTCTACATTCGACTGTACAAGTTGGTGATTCGAGCAATGAACCGGTCCTAGGTCCCGAGATACCGGAATTGTACACAAAATTTGATAAGCACATTGCTTATCATATTGTGAACGGAGGGCCAGATCGTTCGGAGCGCGGCTCAGAATTTCGAATACGAAATCACACAACAACTTTGAAAGGTTGGGAGCCGGCGCCGTTTATTAAAGAGGTAGTACAAAGATGTGGTTTAATGTCAGTTGTACAGGCATCGTACAACACTGTGGACGGCCATCTACTTAGAGCCTTCGTAGAGAGATGGCAGCCAGCTACCAACACATTTCACTTACCTGTTGGAGAGATGACCATCACACTTGACGATGTGAGTACGTTGGTCGGTTTGCCAGTTGTTGGGCGTACCGTATCTTGCGAGCGTTTGGTCCGTGATTCCAAAACCATTCCCAGTACTTTGATGTTCGAGTTGCTAGGTGAGTACCCGGACGATGTAAACAAGAAGAAAGCGGTCAAGTTGGAATGGTTGAAGGCTAAATTTAGCAAAGTGACCATGAGAGATAGTTCGGAGAAGAGGACATACGCCATTCGGGCGTATTTGTTATTTTTGCTCGGGTGTACTATACTGTGCGACAAGACAGGCAACATGGTAAGCGTTGAGTACCTAAATCTTGTATCTGATTTGGATCGGATCGGCGAGTATGCTTGGGGCACTGCATGTCTTTGCCGGTTGTACGATGAGCTTTCCTCAGCCTCACAAAAATCAACGAACTCGATGGCTGGCTGGCTGACGCTCTTTCAGTCATGGATTTACGAGCACTTTCCTTATTTGGGGGGTGGCACATGAAGACGGAATTCGAGGGGCCATTAGCGAGCCGATGGGAGCTCAGTCAAAGACTACTTCAACGCCTGAACGAGCGTCGTACCTGCGATCTCGATTAGATGATTTGATCCCCGATCAGGTAACATACCACTTTAATAATTTGTTATTACTACTTAAGTAGGTTTTTACATCTAATTTTTTATTTATTTTAATAGGTTATATGGTCACCGTATACGGCTATTCGTGATCGTTTCCCGATGCCAGATTCTGCTTGGTTTAGTGGGATGATATGTTGCATGGACCACTTCGAGGCATATCATCCGGACAGAGTGTTGAGGCAGTTCAACCGGGTGCAAATCATTCCAGGTCGTGCATACATGTCAAAAGATATGTACAAAGCTCTAGTTAGCAAAGGTCGACCGGTCCAGAACTCAATTTTCGTTGCGTACGGCGAACGATTCTCTGATCGGTGGGAGGAGTATTGTCTGGACGAGGAGTCGAGGTCCGTTGAAATTGAACTCGGGGAGGCGGACACTTCGCCGGACTACATGAATTGGTTCCGACCCAGATGCATGTTACAACTGAGTAGGCATGGAGCCCATCCACCTCGACCCCAGGCGGATCGACCTCGACCCCATGAAGCTCGTCCAGAGGGTGGTACCGATAAGGAGGTCCAACTTTCACAAATTTTGGAGTTGGTAAAGGGTACACTTAGCGAGGTGCGGGGACTTGCGCCATCAGACGCTCATACGGTCATGTGGGGGACCCTAAATGATATTGTCAGATTGATCGAGCCGGATGCCCCACTTCCACCTCCTTCGAGGTCGTCGGATGCCCCACCACCACCTCCAGGTAGCTCGATAGGGCCACTTCCACCGCCATCGAGCTCGTCCGATGCCCCACAGACGGTTGTGAAACGCGTATTTAGTAGGAAGAAAAAAATACAGGATTAGTCTTGTATTTTTTTAGATGGATGTTGTTTGATGGATTTTATTTGTTTTACTTGTTTTTTAATTTAGTTTTATATGCATTTTGGTTGTTTTAAATGAAAATATTTTTGATAATTCGAAATATATTCTTGTTCACATGCCACCGACACAGCAAGTGATGACTCGATGGATACACATTGGCCACTGCTTTCATTAAACCCAAATCTCGATCTGTTACAATGCAATTAGGCCGAGGACAACTGGTCATGGCCTCCTTCAAACAACGCAACGCCCATTCAAAATTTTCCGTCTTTTCGTGGTCCAAGTAAGCAAAGGCAATTGAGAACGTCTTGTTGGTACAAGTAAAACCCACAATCTCAAGAAATGGGAGTCCGTAACGATTGGTCTTGTACGTGCAATCGATGACGAATACGTACGGATACGACTGTGCCAACTTAATGCATTTCGGGTGGATCCAAAACAAGTCGGTAATCGCATTCAACTCGTTCGATCTATGGTACGAGAGGTATTCATCTTCTTTCAACTTGACAAACAATGATTGCAATTGAGATCTCCCATCCAATTCACTGAAATTTAACTTAGAGATAGTATTGTAAACTGTCTTCATACCAGTTACATTAGACGGGTCCTTTTGCTTCAACGCTCTTAGAATTGCCCTTGGTTTCACCATTGCTTTCTTCATAGTGTGAACAAAGGAAACATCCTCCTTTGATAATCTTCCGGCATAAGAGTGTCCGTGCAAGTTTTCGAATAAGTTGTGGTTGTGAATACCACAACTAACATCCAATTTCCACTCAGCCTTTTCATCATCCTTGTGTTCCCTTGTCCCCTTCAATTTAAACGGACAATTGCATTTCTTTGAACCGGTGCTCCTTTTTCCCGGTCTTTGATCATCTTCACCTGGTACCTTCTTGCCAACATAATGGCCCCCACGCTCACAACGAACAATCACATACGGTGTCCTACGTCCTCTATCCCCGTCACTCGAACCCCCAATCATTAACACCATTCCAATTCTTTTACATACTTCACGAACCCATGCCATTAAAGCTTCTTTTGTTGGGAATTTTTCTGACGTGGTAAATGAATGGGTGCAATCGATCTACACAAAAGTGTCGAAAATATAAGACAAGTAAATTTGCAACAGGAACCAAATCGACACTTAGGTGTCGAAAATTACCCATATTTTCGACACTTAAGTGTCGAACATATAGGTCACTTTCGACACTTAGGCGTCGAAATCGAAGGGTATTTCGACACATACATGTCGAAAATAAGGGTATTTTCGACCTGTATGTGTCGAAAATACATGGCGAGTTGTAAAAAAAAAAAAATTTCAAAATCGATGTTTTAGCTCAAAAAATACATAAATACATACCTGAATGGGTACTCCTTGCTCGTAAACTACCATTCTATGTACATTTGAGGCCATTTGGCAGTTGTGTACGGTTTTGATTTCTCTTGTTTTGAGGTTTTTTAGGAGGGTTTTTGGGGAGGGAGAAGAAGGAGGTGGAGGAGGTGAGGGGTTTGGGAGTGAGGAGGGAAATGTTTTTTTAGGTTTTTGATTATTTGGTTTTTAAGAAAGAAAAATAGTATTTGTAATATTTTTTGGTTTTAATTTTCATTAAGGGTATTAAAGTAATTTACAATTAATTATTTAATTTCTATTTTTTTGGTATTCAACTAAGCAAATTTTAGTATTCAAAATAGTTGTCCCCATTTAAATAATTTCACAGGGGAGGTTTTTGCTAGTTTATTTATCACAGGGGGGTTTTTGTTATTTCGAGATTACACAGGGGTAGTTTTTGCAGTTTACTCGTTCTTCTACTACTCCAAATACCATCCTCTACATGCAATTATTTTTCGGGATTTGATATTCGCAGTAGTATTTTTACGAATACGGGTTTACATTAATTCACTCTCTACCTCTCATTTTTTTCTTCAGATTTTTTTTTTCTCAAGCTTTTATAAAGAAATCGTCCCGAAACTGATCTTATTGTAACAATTTACAAAAGAAAATGAGTGCATCAGATGAGGATCGAGATACACAATCCAATGAGGTAAAATTTGTTCGTTTTTTTTATCTATAAATCAGAAAAACGTGACTCAAGATCAAAATGGATGCCGAAAAATAATTTTCACGCACAAAGTGGGCGCCCGGTCGGCCTTTCTGCGGCCGGTTTAGGCGCCGACCACTTCTCCATATATATATATATATATATATATATATATATATATATATATATATATATATATATATATATATATATATATATATGTTATTTTATTACTATTGTTATTACTCTTTAACTTTATTTTGTTTCATAATTATTTCAGGAAGAGCAACAAAATTCTTCTACGTTTGAAGTTCACCATAGTGAGCATTTTGCAGTAACGGAACTATTTAACTCGAGGGATGAGTTGATAGATTTGGACAATGCATTGGTAGGTAAACGTCGAGCTTGAGACATTCTAAACAGTAGTTGATGTATTTTCTTTGTATGTAGTTCTTATGTTGTTTGATGTTTATTCTCATTCTAAGCAGTAGTTTGTGTATTTTCTTTTTATGTAGTTTTGTTTTGTTTGATGTTTATGTAATATATTTGTTTGATATATTTGTTTGATGTTTATATAAAATAAAAAAAAGTAAAAAATAAGTAGTAATCCGGCCATAATAAAAAAAAAACATATAAGAATGAATAGTATACTGCCGATAATTTAAAAAAACCCTAAAAATATGTAATAATTTGCAGATAATACGAATTAATTAACTAATGAATTAAATAAAATAAAAAATTGAAATTAACTAAATAAATTAAAAAAAAAAAAAGATACTGAACCGGACGACCGGTCCAACAGCCGGCCAGGGGTTTGCACGTCTGGAACGGACGTACAAACCTCTGACCCGCGTCTGGACCGGACAACGGAATACAGTTATTCCGACAAAGTTGAGCTTAAATCTATGTGTAGATGCTATAAATTGTAATTTTGAATCACCCACCAAGAGAGTTTGAAAAATATAACTTCCACCTTCTTTCACCAATTCTTTAAATTTCACAATTAGGCTTTTTATATGGTAGCATAGATACGCAAACCCTATTACAAAATCGAATAAAATAGTTAGCTCCTAAATTTTGGAAATATAATTAAAAAAAAAATAAGAGGAAAAGAATCCCAAAAAAAAACAAACATCACCTTCTCATCCACAAAAACCATTTAAATGCTCGCAAATTCTATTTTTTCCACCTATCTAGCACTAACAATAGTAGAATTACTCGTACAATTATCTTCCATTTAATACTGATTATGTCAATTATCGGTCAATCAATAATATTGAAACCATTGTTTTGATCATATTAGAAACCATCAACTAACCAATTATATACCGGTTGGTCAGAATTTCAACCCCATACAATAAATTGGTTAAAATTTCATTATGCGTCTGAAAATATGATCGATAATAAATCGGTTGTTAGGTAAAAACCAACCAAGTCCCAGCCCATCCGACATCATGATTCAAAGTGCAAAATATAATTTATCCTCCAAATCAACGTTTTCCAGGTCAACAGAGGACTCATTTATCCAGCCCATACTCTCAATTTCACTGATATTTTTTTTTTTTTTTTAATTTTAATTTTTTATAATTGATTTAAGAAGTGGACCCTATTTTGTCTATAATCCCGGAAAAGTATGCATAGTAAATGAGTTGGGTTTAGTATACCTTGTTTCTAAGAAAGAGTACCTAACCAGACAGGGACACACATTTTACACTGTCTATAATTGCTCAACAGGTTGTACACTCCAGCATCATGAGCTTGTTCTTTCCTTTTTCTTTCTGTAAATGTATTTTGGTACACATACATAATTAATCATTTTTCGTGAGCTTATAAAAAACTAAGGATGTGCTCGAGCTTAAAACATTCGAGTTTGAGCTCGAGTTTTTGTCGAGTCGACTCATCGAACTTACGAGCTGGTGCGGTCTTTTTGGAACAATATATGTACATGGAGAAACAAAAGGGATGATACAAATTTCCAATTCTAAGTTTATTATTTGCGAAACGAGTATGAATTCATTAAAATAAAAATTGTGTGATTGGTTTATAATTTGTAATCGGTTCATAAATTAGTTTTTAAATGTAGGAATATTTGTAATTTCGTGATTGTGAGCGGTTCATAATTTCGAAGCACGTGTTTTTCTATCGGTATTTAATATGTTATTTTATGGAATTAGAAAATATATCAAAAAATTATATTATATATTTTCAAAAACAATAGAAATATTCGGAACTAAAATCGAATCTAAAATCGGATTTTCCAGTAATTTTATAAACCATTCCAATTCCACTCCAAATAAATTCAGAAGAATGGAAAACCGGAACTTCGAAAATCGAAATGAAATATAAAGTTCCAAATTCCGATATTTTCGGATCGAAATTGGCAGAATTCGGAAATTTCATTTAGAATTCTTCTCCTAAGTGTATTCGTCTTTCTATAATTTATCGGATAACCCGTCGGGTGTCGGAGAGAGCTGATGAGCCGAACTGAGAGTTCGATCCAAGTCAAAACTACACCATTCCTTTAATTTGAGTCCATCAAGTATAATAAAACCGGATCACGGCCAACCATTGAAATTAGGGATGCAAAAAAACCCGATCCGCTAACTACTCATGGGTATCCGCTCCGTTTTAAACTCGTTACCGAAACCGTTAAGGTTTGGTAATAGTTTTGGTAAAAGAAATGATAGGTCCCTCTATATTATAATTTATGTGCATAGATCCAAGTCAAAGTCTCAATATTTTAATAAATTAATTATATTTATTATGGCAGAAATACCCTTAATCAAATCAAATTAAATCCCTCAAAAATCTCTCTACCAAATAATTTTCCACAAACTTCTCTCTTCCAAACTTAAACTCAAACAAAATTAACTCGTAAAAGAAAAAATATAGTATGTATTGTACAAACTCAGGTTGTAAAAAAATCACCACCGCTGCAACCGTCGCGCCACTCCCGTAGCCGCGCTTATGACTCTGTGAAATGCAAATAGCAAACTAATAATTAAAATTTGCATTATTGAATTTCAAACAACAATCTACCTATGAATTCGCAAATACAAACAACAAACTGAAAAAGAAAAAAAAAATCAGCATCATCTAATTACGAACAACAAAATGAAAATATGATATGCAATATCTAAATGCAAATAATAACAATAAAATACAAAACAAAAAAATCATACATATCAGAAAGTAAAATGCAAAAAACAACAATAAAATTGTTAAAATACTTTGTCAATGCAAAAACTGCAGTTTGCAGTTTGCAAAAAAATTAATGTTATAGGTTGCTATTTGCAGTTTATGTTTTGCGTTACTTTGATTTTGCCGTTTCATATATATATATTTCTTTTGCTATCTATTGAACCAAAATAAATTAGAAAATACAAACACATATTATAAACTCACTACAGATAAATACAAAATGAGAAAAGCAAAAAAACTCATTTTTTTCAAGTAAGAAGCGATTCATGTTTGTTGTCCGCTTTTAATTCTTTCACCCAAAAATTATCTAATAATATAAAGCTCCCATTTTTTTCCTCCTTCTCTACAACATAATCCCAAAAAAAATAGAATTCCAAAGAGAAAAAAAATTGAACTGATGTGATTGAGAAATGGTATATAGAAAGAAAGAAGTTGATCGGAAAAGAAACTGAAAATATGTTGATGAGAAAAAAAAAATCAGAAAAAAAAAAGAGAGAAACGCGAGATTAAAAGGGAGAGAAAGACGATAGATAGGAAAAAAGAAACATAAGATTGGAGAGAGAGAGTGTGCAATATATAAGATTTGTTTTCTTATTAATTGAGGGTATTTATGTCCATATACTAATTGTTTTACTTTAATTTTATTATTTTTTGGGTCAAATGACATATGCCTATATTCATCTAGCAACTAGGATCTCCATCTATATAAGTTCAGAATAAGGGGTGTCTAGCGAATTTACCCTAGTTTTAATTCAACATAATATAAATAATTTTACAAAAAGGTTAAATAAAGTATTAAATAACCTAGTGAAAATATAACTTTACTACTTCATGAATTACGCAAATACAAAATAAGTTTCGTATTATCCCAGTCAATTGTGTATCCTAAATTTCATATTTAAAAATATATTTTTTATATATTTTATTGGATATTGCTTTTTAATCATCATTTTGTTGCCTTGGAAAATCATTTTTTTTTTGTGAAGTGTCTTATTTCATTTTATATAATTTACTTAAAAGTTTTGCGTTTTTTTTCTGAGAGGTACTAAAAAAATTTTGGCCCCAAATTATTTCATATCACCATAATTTAAATGGCTAATGGTTACCCGTAGATATCTGGATATTGGTGGTAATGGTTATGGTATTTCGATAAAGTTTTTAAATGAGTTTGGTATGATTCTGGTTTGAGCTAAATTAAATGATAATGGTTCTGGTATTACATTTTTTCGAGGGTACCCTCTCCGCTGCCATTCCTAATTAAAATACGAATATTTATACGAGCTCAATATAATATTTAATTTAATAGTAAAATCCGAACGGATGCCATCATGCAATTGGTCTTCCTACAATAAATGTGATCCTATTAAAACACACGCTCATAATAAGTTCAGATGCAACGAACTAGTTGAATATTGATTAGTGTAATAGAAAATGTTTAATAATTGTTGTCTAGATTAGCATAACTAATTATTTGGTGTAATTAACTATACAGCCCACTGTTTTATGACTTAATCAAACTAGATTCAGATTAATCATGTAAACTAATTTAGGTATTTTGCTTTTAAATGGTTTTGCAGTTTGAATTAGAAAATGTTATTTAATACAAGATTAACCCTAGCAAATAGAGCTCCTTCGATCCTACACCCGGTGATAAACACCGGATGAATCTTCTGCTGGCACGTGTCCTTTTTTTTTTTTTTTTACTAAAATTCCTAAAAGTAAACCCAAGCGAGGAAATATATTATAAAATACAAAAAATGACACGTGGCAGCAGAACACTCAGCCGGTGTTTATCACCTATTGTAGGGTCGAAGTAGTCAGCAAGTAGTTTCTCTATGGAGGGAGTTTCAAACAAAATTTAAAATCAGAGTTATTTATTCTTTTTACATATGAAATTTTATTCGAATGCCCATTTAAATATGATAATTCTTGTAATTAATCAAAAGAAAATATTGATTTAGTTTGTGTTATTTTCTATTAGTACCCCTAAAAAGACTCGGTTGCCTCCGAACTCCTGTTATCTTTTAGCCCGCCCACCCTTATTTTGAATTCGGGTTCGTCATTGCTTTGATGCTTTGGTTGTTTTACTATAATTGTTGGAGTTGCTCTAATGACAAAATTATAATTTTCTATATTAACTATATGGTAAATTACGATAACCGTCCATGAGGTTTCATGTAATTGAAAAAAGTTCCTTGTATTAAGATTTAAGATAATTAAAATTACCCTCTTCAAACTAGCTAGCTGTACACAAAAAAACATGAAATGTCTTAATTACCTTAAGAAAAAAAGGAAAATAATTATAAATAACCTTCTAAAGTATGTCTAACTTACAAAAGAAAAAAAAAATCCAGTTTTATTTGTAAAATTACAACTTTTATTCTAAAGTACGCTTAATTATTAAGATTCTCTTTTTATTTGTTTAATTCATTATTATAACATTAGATGGCCATACCCATACAAATATAGTTTTCTTCTTGTCACCTATACAAACAAATTAAAAATACTATTCTTTTATCTTGTGAGTTACTAATGTTTGATTTCACCTGAATTTTATTTTTAAATTTCAAACATTTTGGCAATGTTTGGTTTCATATAAATTCATGTTTTTCGAAAACAAATTCATGTTTGTTAAGTTTTAAGAAAAAAAATCCCAAAACAATTTCAAAAATTTCTCTATCAATCAGACATAGTTTGATTGTTACAGTAAAAAATGTCTTCACTAAAAAAAAAACTAATAATTTCATTTTATCAAATTCCTTTTCTAAATTACACTTTTTCAACACCTTTAAATATAATTTGACTGCTATACAATGTAATTTGTGTAATCTAAAAGTATAAATAAATATTAATTTCATTCTCAAATTATTATATCAAAACATATTTCCCCAAAACAAAATGAAAATAATTCCAAAACGAATCTCAAAACATTGCCTTTCATTTTAAAAAATAAGGGGTTAGCTTAAATATTAAATTATATAGACACATATATAATTTAGTAGGGTAAATTACAACCACCTCTAGGTATGGTTAAATTACAACCTCTGTTTGGGTAATTACAACCACCCTCAACTATAAATCTTCTTACACGTCCATTATTGGTTTCAAATTTAGTGGAATCTTCGAAATTATTTGGAATATTATCACTTTTGTACCCATTTTATCCCATTCGAACTCCACATTTTGAAGCAAGATGATCGTAATATATGTTTTTTGGCTTGTATATATCAGATTGTGGTACATCAGAAACTGTATTTTTACACAAAACGAGTACAAACTAGAGCACATTCCACGAAATCTAGATAATTATGTTGAATTTGACACCATAAGGGTGGAGATGCAAGAAAAAAACATAGTTGAATGGGGTAAATGTAATTATCCAAACAAGAGGGAATTTTTCGTAAATCAACCATATCTCAGGTGGTTGTAATTTAACCAATTTAGTATAAGTGAAATGAAGTATGAATATAGGAGTTGGTCATGTCTACATGCACATGCCATCCCACATGTTGATGCACCCCATTCACTTGCCAAACTAAAACCCTAATTCGTGATGGGGCCCACTAATCAATACCCACATGGCCTCCCTCCACTCATCAACCGACAAGCTTCGGACCCACCTGAGATGGGGTTTTGCTCTGTCTTTATTTCTTTATTTAGTTTCCTCAATTCTATTTTTTTACCCACCAACAAAAATCAAAAGATTTTATTACAATGTTTTCATTAATAATGGCAATGGGAATCCTAATAATATTAAAAAACCAAGTTCTATGGGAAGCCACAACAATTCGGAAATAGCTCATATGTGACGTAAGAAATGTAAATCGCACTAGGTTAATCATGAGAGATGAAATCGATCAGAAAAGTGAATAGTGTTGGTCAGAAGATTAAAACTCTTACGGCGCTATTTTGTTCCAAACTAACTATATTGATGACTTGGCGTATTAAGATCGATTTCGACTAAGCTTATTTTAAAACCTATTAATTCTAACCAATAAACCATTGAGAATTCACTAGAAGAAAAGTAGTTTTTCGGCACTACGAATGTTTTTGTTACGGTAAAAAAACTGTAACGAAAGGTATCTTTTACTACAAGACAATTTTGGAGTCGTAGTGACTGTTAGGATTTATCGTAGTAAAAAAGTATTTGCTACAGTTAATTACCGTAGCAAAGTTTTTGTCACGCCTGTATAAGCTACTAGGCAAATTCGTATAGCAAAAGCCTTTTTACTACGAATTTTGTATCTTTTGTTACGGTTAATGATTGTAGTAAAATGTCATTTTTCTACTAGTGATTAGGGCCCCGTTCGCCTAAGCTTATTTTAAACATTTGATAAACTTTTACGTCTGATAAGCTATTTTAAAAGTTGATAAGCCGCTACGACTTAATCTTAGAATAGAATTTTAAAGTGGTTGCACAATGAGCTTATACACTATTTTTAGTCCTTATAAAATCTTAAATAAAAACAATGGTATGTGTACATTTTAGAAAAAATCTTAAATGTTATTCAACAACTTATTTTTTAAGATTCTAAAATCTTAATTAATTTTTGTACCAACCAATCTACAAGAGCTTCTAAGCTCTTTTTATCTGCTTAAAAGCTTAACCAAACAGTATCTTAGTTATAAGCGCCAAAACATATCTTAAAAATTCGGTAAAATAATATCTTAAAAATTCGGTAAAACAGGATATTGATATTAATTAACAGAGAAAGACAGCATATAAGATCCAACGGACGTGATTCAACCAGGGGCAGAAACACATCTCAGCCGTGGATCTCGAGATGCCTTGATGACCGGGGCAGTTGACGATGTCCCTCCTCTGTTCCCTATTCCCATTGAATTACACTTCAAGTCTGCCCCCTCTTTCCCCGACATCCCTATCTCTCCACATAGCAAACCACAGTTACACATGCACGCACTCATAAATGCGTGCCATCCACGCGCACATGTAAACAGGCCCCTCCCGCCAGCGCGTACGTCCAAAGCACGCGTGGGGACCAGAGGGATTCGGCTGTCTGTGAAATGCATGCACACGGAAAGATTAAGACCCAAACACTGTTTTCTCGGCCTTGCTATAAAACTCCACAACTTCCATTCATCATCAAACATCATTACAAAACATAATTTCAAGATTCCAAAAGAGAAACAAGAAGAAGAACAAGAAGAACAAGCAAAAGTGAATCATTTGAAAAACAAAATGGAAAACTACGAGGCTAACGGTCTGAATCTCAAGGCAACCGAGCTCAGATTAGGTTTGCCCGGAACAGGCAACGAACAACAACAACAAGATCAGTACTCTTCGTCGTCGTCGTCTCATCAACAGAATGTGAAGAACAACTACAACAACAACAACAAGAGATCTTCATCTGAGATAGCTAGTTCATGCGATGATGAACAACAACAACAACACGACGACGGCGCCCCACTTGCCAAGGCGCAAGTGGTTGGGTGGCCTCCGGTGAGATCTTACAGGAAAAACGTGTTGGAGAAGAAAAACCCTGAGTCCAGTATGTTTTTGAAAGTGAGCATGGATGGAGCGCCGTATCTGAGGAAGATAGATCTCAAGTTCTACAACAACTACTTTGATCTTCTTAAGGGATTGGAGAACATGTTCAAGTGCACGATCGGTGTCTACTCGGAGAGAGAAGGGTATAATGGATCGGAGCATGTACCGACGTACGAAGACAAAGACGGAGATTGGATGCTTGTGGGAGACGTACCGTGGGATATGTTTGTCACTTCTTGCAAGAGGCTCAGGATCATGAAAGCCTCCGAAGCTAAAGGCTTGGTCTCCCCTTTGTAGGCGAAACCAAAACAAAGATCTGCGCTCTTGCATATGTTTTTGTGTACAAATTGATCAAGACTCGATGTTTTCTTTCTCGATCGGTTTCTTTTTTTTCTTTTTTTTTTTTTTTTTTGTATTTACAGCGAGTAAAATAAGTACATAGTTTGAATATGATACAATACACAAGTTAATCAAAGTTCGTTCAATGCGATTTCTTGATTGAAGTACATTAGATTTTTCGTGGATCTTCCTTTTAATTTTCACATTTCTTGAACTGATCGATCGAAAGTAATTGAAGACAGATAAATAGTTGATAAATTAACAGCGATTCAGAACATGATCGGACAATAATACTTTCTTGTGATTGTAAAAACTACATTAGTTCGAAGGTGTGGGGATCGGAACAATCAAACATATACAATACATTCGATTTGTAACAACTAATGTCTAAATCAGAACGGGGAGCAACTAGAATGATCCGAGACTGTCAGTACTGGACATAAAATTGGCATGCATACTAGAATTTTGTTCGTGAAATGATTCCATCTTCGAGTCGAGTACACCGAGTTGAGATTTCACCCATGATGGATTATTCCTGCCTTCAACCCACAACGCTTCCCCTGTATCTTTGTGCTTGAAATCGGGGTAATTCGGGCTCCTCTGCACATCATGATATATTCAATAACACGGACTCGAAAATAAAAACGGATAACACGATTTTGTTGTTTTTTTTTTCTTTTAATTTTTTAAATTTTCTTTTAGAGTGTGTACCTTGTTCTTCCTATTGTCCCACCACTCCGTTGGATTAGCGAAGAAGGCTTGCCACAGTTCTTCTACGGTACCGGTGGAATTTGCGGTGCTATAATTATTTTGCTTTTTGCCTATATAACAATCAAATGAAAATCAACTTCAAAACGACCAAGAAAATCGTATGTCAAGAAAAAGGAAGGAAGTGGTTACTTGGTGCGACGGAATTAGAGTCCCCGTTATATAACGGAACAGATGATAGGCCCCTTTCTATGAAATTCAGTTGCTGAACGGTTACCTGTGAAGAAAAAAACAATAAAGATCTAAAAATGAACCAACAATTAAACCTAGGAAAACAAGTTAGAATTCAGGACAAAAACCTTGTAATAGGTTTGCTGCTTCCCCTCGTCACTTTCGACTGTATCGGAGACTAGGCGACCAGAGACGTACACTTGTTGACCTTTCTCTACGTGCTGAAAAGCAACTTGAGCCAATTCATCCCAGAAAGTCAAATTAATCCTGAAAAATATCAATCGGGGAGCGTGCTTTATTCACATGTCTCACAAATTAAGCAATTAGCTCAAAAAATGCTAAAAATATCCAAGCAACGTAAAATATAATATCAACTTAGATACAAATCTATCGCTTGCAGATGAGCATAAAATTATTTTTCGAACTTCAATTAAACCATAATAAAATGTGTAGCCACGTCAGCACACCTGGGGAGATCAAGAAAACGTCACACAAGAAGTCTTCCTATTATCATACTGGGATATCGAAATGCCTCAGTATTCGTTTGTTAAGCTTTTCAAATCGTTTGTTTCTTAAGCTTTTCAATTCGTTTTTTTTTTTTCAGAATTTAGTTTATAAAAGTCTTAAAACTGGAGTCGAAAACGCAATTTGTTGTTATTGTGACTATATATCCGGCTTAAAATAACAAAAGGTTCCTTTCCTTTGCAGATAAAGGACCTCTCATCGGAGCTCGTGATACTATTAGAATCTCGTGGTAGTAGAAAACTAACTGAATACATGTGTTTAATTTGGACTAAATAATATCTCACAGTATAACTAACTAGATAAATAACAGAAAACAGAATCGTCCACCATTGGCGATTTCGGTTGCGCGATAGATATATAAACGTAAGTAGCAAAAAATGGCGAAATTTCTAAATTCGAACAAGCGGTTAATGAGTCAATTATCCGCAAACACAACAAAAGGAAAAAAACTTCGAAATTGCAGAATGCTATTAATCCCAATTTGTGTTCTAACCGAAATTCTTCAACATTCTCAAATTTAATTCAATCCAAGGAATAGTTACTGCTGAAAAGGAAACTTCAAATAAGGGAAACAAATAAAAAAAAATTAAAAACTACCAGAGGGTGTCGGTTTGGGATTTCTTAACGGCGAGGCGGGACCAAGCGAGAACCTTGCCGGAAGGAAGGTGTTTGATTTGAACGGGAGCACCGACAACGCCGATGAGCTGAATCGTATTGCACAGCTCCTTCTTCCACTGAATCTCCGCCGGCCTCGGAAACTGCGGCGGGCCCGAAGAAGCGTACCGTTCGTACTCGTACGGCCCGTTGTTGCTGGTATTGGTAGCAGTTCCGCCGGAATTGTAACCGAAGGAGCATTTTACGCGGGCGGTTGAAGCTAAAGTTGTTAGGGATTTAGAGTTGAGGGAAAGAAAGGGGAAACAGGAAATAGGGCTAGGGTTTTGGTAGATGAGAACTGTGTTCTTTAGTGCTAGAGTTTGGTCTAACGCCGCCATCGCCATCGCCATCGCCGTAGCAGCTGGAGATATGGGGTTTGGTGTTTGGCTACGCCGGTGACTGAAGTGGAAGAGAAAGTGTTGGATAGAAGATTGTTTACATTAGATAGATAACCTTTGGTTTAGCTCCCAATGATTTGAATTAATTCATTTTGGCTTAATTCCACTTTGCACACTTTAAATATACCATTTTAGCATTTTGCACCCTGAAAACAAATTAATAGCACTTTGCACTATCGAAACACAGGATATAATGCAACCCACGTGAGTTTTTAAAGCTAATAAAGCTATTTTAATATTGTTAATGATATTTAAAAATTATATTTTTTATCACAAAAAAATATTTTACGAAAAAAAAACTTTCAGCTATTTTGTTATCAAGTTATCTGAAAATCACATTTTCTTCCAAATGCTTCTATTTAATATTTCCACTAATTACAATAAAAGATCTATCAATCGAATAATTTAGTGATAAAAGTTTGTTTGATTTTATTTAAAAAAAAAATATATGCACTCAACTATATAGGTGAACTGTTTACAATCATTAGTTTTGAATTTAAATTGATGCATTTTTTATTTTTCATATTCGTCTGTGGAGGAATCTGCAGTCAACTATATAGGTGCACTGTATATATATTCACTCTCGTATAAAAGTACCTAACGACTGTTGGTAAAAAAAAATTGAACTTGGGTCAATTGCACAAGCTTACTTGCTCCAACTGCTAGGTCATCTCTTGCGGAACTCTTATTTGTGTATTGCTTAATAATGAGAGGTATACATAATTTCATATACAATTAAACCTCTATAAATTAATACAGTTGGGACTAGGGAAATTATATTAATTTAGCGAATTATTAAATTATCGAGTTAATAATTTAACACGTTTTCACCAGTCAGGGCCGAGAGAAACTAATATTTAATCGATGTTATTAATTTATCTAGTATCAGTTTATCGAGGTTCTACTATACCTCCACACTCGATGCTAAATCAATCCGAATCAATAAAAAATCAAATATAGCATACTTTTATCATTTCAATACTATACTAAGCTAACAAACAAATTAAAAACATATTATCATAAATCGAATAAATTGCCAAGAAATAAATGAAAAAATAGATTACGAACATTCGGTTAATTTATTTTTTCTTGGTGATCTCTCGATTGGATCAAGTAATCCTACGGCATCATCTATTATTCGATTTTTGCTTATAACTTATATGTAGATAAAATATTTTGTACATAGCTTTATATTTGATTAATTTTGTTCAAATCCATTACAATTTGTTTTATACACTTAATAAAATTATTTTAAAAGTAAAAAAACATGTAAGATAATAAACGATGAATGAACATATATAGTCGAGTGGAAAACTGTATTTCACTTGGACGTAGAAAGACAATAATGAATACGGGGCATACCGAGAGTAGAAATAATACAAACTCGAACGTCTTAGAGATTATAATTATTGAGACTGATACAAAGTAGCGATCTCATAAAAAATTAAGGATTAATTAATAATCAATAAGATTATTATTTTTACTGATTTAACTCATCAACTCACATATAGGGACAATAAGGGTCGTTTTTTGAGAAATTGGGGGCCCTAGGCGACTTTGAAGAATTTGTAAAAAATGGGCCCCTATTTGTATTGTACATTATACATATTAATTCATTCAAACGAGCATGACTGGACAAATTTTTTTGATTAGCATATAAGAATTTTAGGAAAAATATGACTAAAATATTGACAAAGTTAAGATAAATGAAAAATTTATGAGATTCGGAGCAGAGTCTCGAAGTTTTTTTGAAAATAGTACAAAAATATTATTGAACAAGTAAATATATGTAACATTTGTTTAAATATAATAAAATAAAATATAGTATATTTTAACTTTACCAAAACTCTTTGGAGTTATTGAATAATGCAAAGATTGCCGGAAAAAAAGTTATAAAAGTTTGATAGAAAAACTCAATATCTAACTAACCGGAATTGATCTAAGACATTTTACATTAAATGCTAGAGTAAGTGTAAAATTTTCCAACAAATACTTAAACTATGTAAAATAATATAGTTATGGTTATTAGAATTGTTTAACTATTTATAAATTTTAAATATCATTTAATATTATGACTAGTATATATAGGGTAAATTACAACCAATCCTGAGGTATGGTCAATTTATGAAAAAAAACCCCTCTTGTTTGCATAATTACATCTACCCCTCAACTATTATTTTTCTTACACCTCCATCCTTATGGTGTCAAATTCAACATAATCATCTAGATTTTGTGGAATGTGCTCTAGTTTGTACTCGTCTTGTGTATAAATGCAGTTTCTGATGCACCACAATCTGATATATACAGGCCAAAACACACATATTATGATCATCTTGCTTCAAAATGTGGAGTTCGAATGGGATAAAATAGGTACACAATTGATAATATCTCATATAATCTCGAAGATTGCACTAAATTTTGAAACAGCAAGGGTGGACGTGTAAGAAGATTTATAGTTGAGGACAATGGTTGTAATTACCCAAAGAGGAGGGGGGTTTTCGTAATTTAACCATAACTCAGAAGGTAATTGTAATTTACCCATATATATATATATATATATATATATATATATATATATATATATTAAATAGTAGAAAACACTATTTGGGGCCCCTAATTTTTTCTAAAAATCGGGGCAAACTGCCTCTCTTGGCCTATAGTCAGAACCGGCGCGGGGACAACTATGGGATGAAAAAGAACCATGAGATCCAACCATAGACATAGTAGATGGGATCTAGGTCGATTTGGTATTAAAGATATGTTGGAAATTTTCAGTATTACACTTTTTTTTTCTTTTTTTTTTTTATATATTTAAATGATTTAATTTAGATTCTCAAAATTAATTTTTGATGAATAAGAAATTAATGAATCCATTTAGAAACGCCAGACTTGAGAAATGATTGAGGTGTTTAAGCATTTATTAAATAGAATATGTGTTTAGTTAATAAGAAAATGTGTAATAATTGTTCGTAAAATTATTTTCATTTGTGGTGTGACTTTTAATCATAACCTTTGATGATCTATAAATAGATTTCAAAAATATACCATTTGAATCATTCATTCATTTACATGGAATTCAATTCACAACTGAATTCATTTATCATCCAAGCATCTCATTGCATATTGTCGCAATTATCAAGTCTCATTTCTTCATGTCTTATAAAAGTCCTAAACGTCTTTTTATTCACCGTATTCCAAGAATTGTTGTACTAATTTGTTGGAATTGAAATAGTCGTTATGTTGTGGAGACAATTGCCGTAAATCAAGAAGCACTGCACGGGACAGATTTATCTTAAATGAAAAAACCAAGTTCTTGCCTCAACTACATTTTTCATGTCAAACTTCTACCCAAATTTTATTCGTATCCTATTTCGAAATACACACCCGAATAACAATACAAATGATCAAATATAAGCAATGAAATGTTAAAATTTGAAGATATCATCATCATCACCACCATTTAACACTACCATACACAACAGATGTTCTGTTATATACTTAGGACAAATTTCTTCTCCATAGAACATGGGTTATATGTATACATAAACATCTATCGCAATTCAGATTCTTTATTATAAAATTATATCTACTTTTGTAAATTATTATCATTATTTTATCACAACGTCATTATTCTAGAAATTTTGAAGCCTGTATTGTGAAACAAGAATTAATTTCATCTTGTAATTAGTTGATCAAGAATCCTGAAAACCGTACCAGAATCACAGTACTTAGGTTCGAATTCGAGCAAGACCCTTTTATCATGGGATCCCGCCTGAACCATCGCTATCGTCGTATACAATTCAACCTCAACAACAATAATAGTTATTATTCATTATTGCAAAACCAGTAAAGTAAATCCTACTTTTAGGGACAAAAGTAAACATTATCTACTCTTAACTATCAAATTTCAACTTGCACTATCCCCACTAAGCAAAAGTGCTTTTATCACTCACCACTAGTCTATATGTATATATATATATGTGTGTGTGTGTGTATATATATATATATATGTCCCACCATTGAAAGAAAGAAAAAAAAGCACAGCATATCAAAGAGAGTTTTGACTTCCCTTTCTTGCACCTGAATCTTTGCAAAGAAACATGAGGTGTACTGCGTTTTATATTATTTTCTTGATCGTATAGTACAAAACCCCTTTCGATCAAGGTCTATAAAGGTAAACTAAAAGGCGAAACCATGGCATCCGACTAAGATTTCAACTAATTGGGAGTGGGAGAAAAATTTACAAAATTTTGGATTATTTTATTCATCCAATCCAATACACATCACGGTGTCGTCAGCGCACACGCAACGCGTCGCAATTAAACATAATAATAAAGTTTGGAAGGGCTCGGGCGGAATCATTGCGGTATTATATTTCACATAATAATAATTTATTCATCAATACACATCATGACGTAATCAATATACACATAGTAACATATATAATACAAAAATAAAAACACTAATCTCGAGTTGTTGCTTACTTGTCGGAGAAATTTATGATAGGGGGTCGGATTCGGGTTTCACGTGTGAGGTAGCGTCTGTAACAGGTTGTGTGTGGTAAATAGCCGAGGCGAGAGATATGGGCATCATGCAGAGTGCCTTGGATTGAAGAAACTGCATTGCGGCCCCAACATTTTCTTCCATAAGCTTAGCCACCTGTCGCTCTGTGCCGTCGCTCGACCACTTCTCCCAAGCTGGCTGAGCTCTTCCTCCGCCATTGCCGCCTTCTTCCTTCACAAGCAAAGACATACATATACATATAATATATATATATATATATATATATATATATATATATATATATATATATATATATATACACACACACACGAGATACAATATATAAAAAGCAAAGTCATGTATCGATTGCTTTGTTACCTCCATTGACAATGTCGAGATGTCCGTCACAAGCGGTGCCACTGCACCAGCTCCTCCCAATCTACTCATGCTCAATACCTGGAATCGGCATTTTATAATAAAATAACACATATTACGATAATAATTTCAAAATTTATTACTTAAGTAATGCAATCCAAGTAAAATACCAATTATTTATTTTTAAGGAAGCATATTATATATATTATTTGCGAAAATTCTACAGCATTTTTTTGCATCATCAAGTTCTAAAATATTGAACGTACGGCATATGTAGTTCTTGACTGAATAATACTGGAAGTGATTTCAATTGGCCTACCTTCAACTGGAGTTTCAAGAACTTCACATAATCGACAATTTCATCAAGCATAGCTGCTCTATCTGTCTGCATAGAGAATAATTGAATTAGAAGACAAGCAACAATCTTCACTTTATGCAAAAAAAAAAAAAAAATGACGTAATTTAATTTCTTTGTATGTAAAGGGCAACAGAAATTCATATCCGGGAACAACCACAGACGAACACACCCCCACAGATGCCGTTGGACAAAAGCATATACCACCACAATCATTTTAAATAAAAGGTGGTAAATATACATTATTTATAATTATAATAAGGAATTCCAACTTATTTTACTGTCAACAAAAAGCACAAGTTTGAAGTACCGAGATTCTGTATTAGTAAAACGGACCTTATTGACATTGGGAACTAATTCTTGCAAAGCTCGTATTCTTTCAGCTATCTTCTCTCGGCGCAACTGTAAAGAAAGAACAAAATGTCTAATCACGGGCTCTCGAATTACGAAGGAATCATCCAAAACAAGACCGATTAAATGACCGGACAAAAAGAAAGTTAAGATTCCAAAAGCCATGTTCTAGGAAACTATTATGCATACATACCCTCTCAGCTATGCTGTGTGGATCTGTTGCTTGGCCTCGTCGAGCCCGTACCCTCGGTCGATTTGCGGGTGGATGAGCCATTGTTTGAACTGTATTTGCCATTGGTTGTCCATGAAAACCCTATAACAAAAAAAAAAAAAAAAAAAAAAAAGAGGAATTCTACTATTAGGTGATTAAATTAAAAAAATTAGGAATTTTAATGTGCGCTTAAAAACCAATTGCATCATCAATCAAGCAGGATGATAATTTAGCTTCAGCAGTCAATTATTGAACTGATGCATTTTCCGGCGATAATCACCACAGCTCAATTAACGCCGCCGTAACTGTTATACGGCCAAAAGTTTAAAATTACCGGTTTCATAGAAGAAGCGCGGGAATCAACGGCGTCATCACGGTAGAATCTCTTCCCACTCCCCGAGGCGTCGTTAAACCCTCCCTTCCCTTGCTCTAAGCTCAGACCCAACGGGAACCCACCGCCGCCGCCTCCTCCACCACTTCCAACCCCGTAGCCGCCGCCGATGCCGAGCCCGCCGAATTGAGCCGAGCCGCCGCCGGAGCCGAGCTGAAGCAGCATCGATGCCGTCGGGGCTTCGTTTCCGACAAAATTAGACTCGACTCCGGAGGCGTAGTTCGGAAACGCTAAAATTTGATCGAGGAAATCGTCGGAGGGGGTTTCACCTGGATTGTTCGCCATGGATGTATGTATGTATGTATGAAGCTTGATTGAATTTGAACAAGAGAAATGGAAAAATTGCAGCAACTGCCACAATTTGTAAATACAGAGTTTTAGAGAGGGAAAATTGATAGGCGAGTCGCAGTGTTGTTTCTTTGAACTTTTATAGTGAAAAAAGCAAAGAGAGAAGAAATTAATTGAGTATAAAATGCGGGTTCTCTTTTTCTCGCCTGAAAAAGGGTCCAATTTTGAAAATAATTCTGCTTTTGTCGTCATTCGTTAATTTTACTTCTATACCCTTCCACACGATTACGAACTTGGGGGTGGACTTGATAGGTTAGTATATCAAATTGTTTATTGCATTATCTTTTCAAACATAGGTGAAAAAAAGATACAAGTTTCGTAACTTTTAGGCAATGTTCTAAAAATCGGGCGGCCGAATAATTGGTTTTCGAGGTGGAGGTTGTCTCAAATTTTTACGATTTTAGTGTAAATGTTTGAAAATTCGATTCTTGTATGTAAGAAAGTTTTAGGGGGATTGAGGCGGTCAAAACTTTACGGCGGGTCAAACTTTGGTGGCAAAAATCAGCCAAAAATCGATTTTTTTTTTCAAAATAAAAGTTGGGATTTTAGTAAGATAATAAATATGAGTTTATGCTTTATTTTATTGTTGAAGAATACATTTAAATTCAAAAAAATTGCCTTCTTATTCATATATTATAAGGATATTTATGTATTCTGATCTTATTATTAATAAACTTTATTATGTTATTAGGATATATACATTATGGAGATATAACTATGTTTAAATATCTTTTTATATATGTTGTGAGTATTTATAAATAATATCTAAAAATAAATTATATTAAATTTTAAAAATTGATTTATTTCTGATTTATCACCGCCGCACAAATTAATCGTGAGTCCGTACCTAACCGCCTCATACCCGATTACAGCTTTTTACAACCTTGCTTTTAGGGTCAATTTTAATTGGAAGGATTTGAATGAAATGATTTCAAATGAGATTTGATCTTTAAGGTAGTATTTTTACAATAATTCACTATCTACATTTCTTTCTCTTTTTAGAAAAAAAATCATCTCAAGCTTTTATATTAGAATTCACATCTCATTGTAGCGATTTACAAAGGAAAATGAGTGTATCGAATGAGGATCGAGATACACAATTCAATGATTTAAAATTTGTTCGTTTTTGTTCTATAAATTGGGAAAACGTGGCTCAAGATCAAAATGGACACCGAAAAATGATTTTCACACCCAAACTGGACGCGTAACAGACCGATCCTCACACAAAGTGGGCACCCGGTCAGCCTTTCTGCGCCCGGTTTGAGCGCCCAACGCTGTTTTCCGCGCTCGGTTTGAGCGCCGACCACATATGCATTTTTTTTTATTATTTTTATTACTCTTTAACTTTATTTTGTTTCGTAATTAATTCAGGAATAGCAACAAAATTCTTCTGCGTTTGAAGTTAATCATAGTGAGCATTTTGTAATAACGGAACTATTTAACTCAAGGGATGAGTTGATAGATTTGGACGATGCATTGGCAGGTAGACGTCGAGCGTAGGATATTCTAAACAGCAGTTGATGTATTTTCTTTGTATATAGTTCTTGTGTTGTTTGATGTTTATTCACATTCTAAATAGTAGTTGATGTATTTTTTGTTTTTATGTAAATCTGTTTTGTTTGATTGTTTACGTAATATATTTTTTTGATGTTTATGTTAAAAAAAAAAAAAAAAAAAAAAAAGGTAGTAATCCGGCCTGGACCGGGCACCCAAAACCTCCGGTCCATGCCTAAACCAGACGTCCTCCCTCCATTTCCACACCCTAAACATGCGTGGAAAAATCGCACATAATCAGCAAAATAAACCTCCCGAATAATGCAATTTCTTGGGGTTTCACACGATTAACATCAAATAAACACATATAACTAATTTAGATGAGAATTTATCTTTAATTTAGAGAGATTTTCGAACTTGGGAGGATTTGTGAGAATTGTTTAGGGTTTTTGTGAGTTTTTAGGAATTTTGGTTGAGTTGGGTGGTTTTAGAGAAAGAAAGTCAATAATAGACGGAATGGTGTTCGTAATTTAGTACCGCGGAAATTATTTCAATTTTCAAATTCATAATAACAAATTCTTCGGTATTATTGACTACGATTGGTTCAAGGAAAATGATGAGTAAAAATTTGAAATTATTAGGTAATCTAATTTTCATGTTTGGTTGCAAGATAAAATATTAGGTAATATAATTACTAGGAAAAAATAAGAAAAAAATTACACTAAACCTAGGAAAATGCATTTTCATGCCATGTTATTCTATTCTTCTCTCTTCTCTCTCCTTTTTTCCTTCTTTTCTCTCCCCCCTCTCTCTCAGCATGCATCTCTCTCTCCTCCCTATCTCTTCTCTCCTCTCTCTCCTCTCTCTCTCTCCTCTCTTTCTCTTCTCTCTCCTCTCTCCTTTCTCTATCTCTTATCTCTCATACACATCATAACAATAAATTATTAAATTAGGGCTCGTTCGGTTACCTATATTGGATTAGATTGGATTACATGAGATTGGATTAACTCCCTACTGACTAATTAATTTTTTAGTTAGTAGCATGTTCGGTTTGTTAGATTAGACTTTCTATTAAATTTGTTAAAATCAGTTATTATATATGAATTGTCTATAAAACCACTTAGGGCTCGTTCGGTTACCGCTATAAGGTTCTACTGACTAAATAGTAGGGGCTAATAACATGTCCGGTTGGTAAGATTCACACTTTTTCAAACCCGCTACTAAATTCAAAGCCCGCTATTAAATGCTACTATTTCATTAAATTAGTAGCACCCCTCCCCCTGAGATTAATTTAATAGGGGGTGAGTTTTCACGCCATACCGATGTGGTTGCCGCAGCGGGGCTGACACTGCCGTAAACTAAGTGGTTTTATAGACAATTCATATATAATAACTCGATTTTAACAAATTTAATAGAAAGTCTAATCTAACAAACCGAACATGCTACTAACTAAAAAATTAATTAGTCAGTAGGGAGTTAATCCAATCTCATGTAATCCAATCTAATCCAATATAGGTAACCGAACGAGCCCTTAGTTTACAATAATAAAATATAATTTTAAGGATAAAATTGTATTTTTCCTTTTTAGTCACCCCCTATTAAATTAATCGCAGGGGGAGGGGTGCTACTAATTTAATGAAATAGTAGCATTTAATAGCGGGCTTTGAATTTAGTAGCGGGTTTGAAAAAATGTGAATCTTACCAACCGGACATGTTATTAGCCCCTACTATTTAGTCAGTAGAACCTTATAGCGGTAACCGAACGAGCCCTTACATTCATATTCACAAATTTTTTTTCCTTTTCAACCATAACATTTTTTTTCTTCTTATTTTTCAACATAACATTTTTTTGTTTTTTTTAACATTTTACGTCTATGATAGAAAATAAAATTACTTCATTTAATAATTATTGTTATTTTCACTCTTTTTTTCCTAGAAACCAAACAAAATTAAGGAAAATAATTTTCCACAAAGTCATTTTCATCATCATTTTACTTAGGGACCAAAAACAACTGGGATTCCAAAAGTCATTGATTTCCTTTTCCTTTACATATTCGTTTTCCTTATTCTGAAATCCATGAACATTTCAGAGCTGTTAGAATCCGAGAGGATTCTAATTTTGGTTTTTCAACACGTGTGAAAAACGTGTTTAAAGCTAGGGAAGTTTCCTTAGTTCTTTAAACTCTTATTTTGTCATAAATTTATTTAATTGCCTAGGTGTTTTGTTAACAAGGAATTTTCTTGAGAAAGACTTTCCTTTGTTACACAACTCTTTTTCCTTACGTGAGATTACAACTAACCTAATGGGCTCTTATCTTTTGTAGGGCTCTTCTATTCAACTAAGGAAGTATAAATATAGGAGCATCATCGTTTTTGGAGGCCGTCCCTTTCGTTGGAGAAGAAAAATTATATTTTTCTGCTCTTATTTTTGCTGCTCCCGGAACGTCTTTGATCGAGAGAAGTTTTTCACAGAAAATATTTTTCCTCTCGTTTTTTATTGTTCCATCGTGATACGTGATTTTCATAGAAAATATATCGGCTTCAAGGCTTTGTGGTGAAGACACCAAGATTCAAGGAGTATCACAAGTTTGCTTCTTCTATACAAAAAGAAGATCGGTTCTTCGGGAGAGGGGCTTAAACAGATCTCCGGAGGAGATCGATCCGCCGACTGAGGGATTCAGCATTGAAGGGAGTTCAACCGTGCGGAGCAAGGGACGTGCTGCAAATTGAAGATTTATAATTCAGTGTAGTATACAAGAACGGCGTCAACAAAGAGGGAGTCTTTGTATTTTGATTAAGTCCTATTATTGTATTCGTAAAACTAAAAATTAGTAAATTTTATTTGCAGGTCCCCGTGGATGTAGGGTACAATTGTATCCGAACCACATTAAAATTTGTGTCTCGTTTATTTCTGTTTTTACGAACTGCTTCACGAACTGTTGCAACACTTCACGCAACAGTAACGAAAAACTGAATCTGACACAAATAATTTATATCTGCACGAAATAAATTCTAACAAGATCCATTTGGTTTGAGGGTTTTGGGGATGGATTTCAAATCTCCACCCCTCCCTTATAGTTATAATGGAACGACTAATGTAGATTTCGACTCCAATTTAGAGTAGTTTCAAATCATTCCACAACATCCCTTTCTCAAATCAAACCATTCCATCAAATGGACCCTTAAAGAATTCCAAAGCAACTAGCAAAGTTTCTCATTTTTTTAGGTTTACCCATCAACAAATGTTAGATAAGATTTATACCAAATTGTTAATTACAATACCCTATACTTTAAGGCTCTAATTGGTTTATGGATTTCTAAATAAGAAAAATGAAAATATAAAGGAAATGAAAATCAAAAAAGATTTTTGAAATCCGAGTTGTGTTTGGTTCATAAATAAAATGGCGATGAAAATGGCTTTGTAGAAAATTATTTTCCTTACTTTTATTTGGGTTTTAGGAAAAAAAAAAAGGTAAAAATAACAATGAATTATTAAATGGAGTAATTTTATTTTCTATTCGAGCCATAAAAAGTAAGGGAAAAAAATAAAAAACAAAAATTGTTATGTTAAGAAAAAAAAACTATGAATATGAATATAATTTTAATAATTTATTGTTATGATGTGTGTGAGAGAGAAGATGAAGAGGAGAGAGCAAAGGAAAAGAGGGAGAGAGACGGGAGAGAAGAGATAGAGAGGAGAGAGAGAGAAGCCGGGCTGAGAGAGAAGAAGAAAGGGAGAGATAAATAGAAGAGAGAAGAAGAGAATTACATGCCATTTTTCTCATTTTTATTTGAGGAAAATGCATTTTCCTAGTTTTAGTTTAATTTTTTTCCACTTCTTTCTCTTAAAAACATTACCTAGCACTTTACCTTAGCTTGCAACCAAACATGAAAATCAATTTACCTAATAATTTCACACTTTTACTCATCATTTTCCTTGAACCAATCAGAGCCTAAGAAAAAAAATTATAAAGAAAGTGAAGTATGTCGTTTTTAGAGCTCCGTGCTACGTAGATGGGAATAAGGCATGTATTGCAAGCTTCACTGTGAGATGCACAGACCCACATTGAATTCCGTAGTAGCTATTAAAATTCTCGAACCAACGGACTTCCCTGCCCGAAGCATATATTGTTCTCCATTGCCTGAAGTTCGTTCGGGACAATGAAACATGGAGACGCAGTGCAGAGGGCACGGAACGGATTTTTTCTTTTTTTTTTTTTTTGCAAGAGAAGACGTTCGATGTTTTTTTCTCAAAAAAAAAATAAAAAAAATAAAAAGAGAAGTTCGATGTTTGTTTGGTACGAGGATTGAATTGTGGGACTTGGTCTCTCATATTGTTAGAGTGTTCTTGTCTCGACTCTTGACGATATATAGTGCGTGGAGATATATGGATGTTTGAAAAGACTTGCAAAGAGTCAAACTAGTGGACGACTTTACAAAGTCAAAACCAAATGCAAATGCAGGCTTTTCCCACGCCTTTTTTTACTTCTAAAAAACAATAATCCAATGCTAATTTGTCTACTTATTTAAAAATGATATCTTTTTTGAGAGATATCCCATAAATATAACCTTAAGTGTAATTCAACCTAAATTTTAATGATTTGGTCGCCAAAAAGTTATCGACGAGATTGCTATTTAATGCAGGCACACAAATATCTTTTTTCAAAATCATACTAATTTGAGGACACCAAATTTACCAGAACTACTGTGCATAAAATACCACGACTTTCCAATATGACCCCAAATCCATTTTATTAAAAATCGACAATTACTAAATCCACTATTCATTTCAAATTTACAACTTCCCTGTAGACTCATATTGTTTGAAATAATAAAGAGAAGATAAACTCATATAATGTTTGAAAGAAAATATACATTTATAAAGTATGTTAATTTTCAATATTTTTTAATTGTTTAACAACACTTATAACACATTTCGTAATCGAATTTTAAAACGTGAAAAAGACAGTTAATTGATTGTGTTGTTTGAATTTTAACCAAAAGATTCTTATGTTCTTTAGAATAAAATTATTATTTTAATTTTCTTTTTAATTTGTTAAAAGTAATTCTAGTGTTGAAATTAATATTTTGGTATTGTGAAAAGCATTTTAGGTCCGGCAAATAGCAGCCCTTTCACAATACATGCATTTTGATATGTTGCCTAAGCGAATTCAAACACCTGGAGTATTGATTGCATCATTGCTCTATAAAAAAAACTATGCTCCTCTAAAACTAAAATGGATTACTAGTAAACAAAACTAACCTGTAACATATATCTATCTACTCAATTTTTACCATACAATTTACACTTTTATCTATCCCACCCAAAGAGATCGTCGAATCCAAACCCAAGGAAGCAAAACGAGATCCGATTATGGCTGAATCTTGATACCAGATTGAAGACCAGCTTGAACTTTGTTTGAGAAATGTCCTTCCAACCTGCAATTCGATTTAGACCCATAAACGACAAACGAAAACCCAATAAATATTTATTACAGATATAATAAAACAAAGAAATAAAAGTAGAGTTGTTCGTGCCTGGTTGAACATTTGTAATAGATGGTGTCTGGAGAGTTGTAGGTACGCGCATTGGAAAACATTCTCCGAACATCAGCCACAAACATCTCAAATGTCACATAGTACTGCTCCGACTCTACCCGCTTTGACATTGTTTTTAGGTCTGCAGGCCAGACAAATGCAATCTTTAGCTTCACAACCTCATAGAAACACATGATGTACGAGAGGCATACAAAACAGATATGAGAATACAATGTATAAACTTATGGTACAGAGAGTAAAACAAAGCAACAGCAAACTAACTTATCACTGTGCAATAATGATAGATACTAGAATTGAATACGAGAAATACTTCTGTCATCTTAAAAAGCTAGAACAATATCGTTGGCAAATTGTCATTGTTATCAAAGCAGATTTACATATAGATAGATAGCACTGGACTTCCTATATTTCTACATAACAAAACATATTACTGAACCAAATATAAAGACAGCAAGTAAAAGAACCAAAGAAATGGCAAGATACAGGCCCCGGAAAATCTGCAGGTCTTGGCTATTTTCCGCTCTTTATAAAAGATAGTGTATTCTAATTCAGACAGATTCCTGAATCGACTCTTTAGGTCAGAGAGCAAATTATCCACAGTTGCCATGTTTTATTTTAATGAAATTTGAGAAACATCTAAAATAATTGAACAACGAAAATGCTGGGCAGGGATTTATAAATAGAGGACTACGAGCATAGAGCTGCAACCTAAACTAGCCAAAAAGTAGGAGTTCGACAAGATAAGTAACTCCCCAAAACAAGGAAGAATGTAGATTGCTAAATATAATATAAATGAAATAATTACCCATTGGATCTTTAATGATTTCATAGTAATCAGGGACATCCCGTGCATCAACAGGTTCCTTGAATGGCCAAGCATCGGGATGGTCATGCATTGCCTGCTCAAATTGGATGACTATCAGTCGTGGCACTAAAAACAAGATAACGTACAAAACATCTATACATACCGAACTTCTTATTAAATCTGTTTAAATGTTATAAAAAACACAAGCTTTGAGGTGATTCAGTTAACAATAATAATATAGCACACCAGATTCAGCACCTCACACAGCAAAAGCAGAAAAGGCAGCAACAAGGAGAAATCCAATAGGAAGCATTACACCACTTGTAATATAACAAATGACCACAAATTCATAAGTCACGCAGAAGCTTAATCTAGTTAGTTGAAGTACTCAATGGGAAATCGAGATAGCAACTCTTTTACAAACACGGATAATTATAGAAAAGCTGTTGAATCCAAATATAGAAATTTGAAACATCTTTTGACATGAAGATACTAAAATCCAACTTGGACCTAGTATGGAAAAACAGCTAATTAAACAAGAACAAGACGACTTACCTTTATAAGTGAGCGCATGAACGCAGTCAATGATTTCTGATGTGAGGTAGCATCTGTTGACAAGGTTACTGTTTTAAATCGAGAATGACCATACTGTTCAGTCGTCCAGCCAGCCTCTCCTATTAATGTTAGGTCAGAGGCAAGTTTAAATTACGATTCTAAATAGTAAAATGAAAAAGGAAGCAAAGAGTCAAAATGAAATAAAGGACATTACGACAAAGCAAACTAACAAGCAATCAGTGAAATCACAAGTAGAAATCATTAATTACGTCAGATGTTTATCTTCAAAATAACCTGTAACAGAAGGATACTAATACTACAGTCGGTCAGCCATTATATCAGTCAGCTTCAGATAGTGAAGTTAAAGCTGCTAAATTGAACATACCAATCACCTCAGGAAATTCAATTGTTTCACTAAGCAGGATTCTAGTTTCTTTTTGCATCTGTAACTGTACAGATATTTCTCTTGTAAAAAGACAACAAAATAGAAAATGGAGTACTACAGCAAAGCCTGCGGAATCAAAGATCATAACAAACATATAAAGTAAGCTAAGGCATGACAAAACAACACATGTGAAGGTAAAGTAAGGACCCACTCGAGCCAGGTATATCAATATAAATTAAGATGGACAAATAAAACCAATTAATGTGAAGGTGAACGAAGGACTCACTCAAGCCAGGTATATCCTCCACCTTGATGGTTTTTTTGGGAATGCCAGCTTCCTTCTGAAGAGAACAGTTAACACCAGAATAATACTTAGAACAGTACACCAGTATTACAGTATGAGAACATGATCAAATACTCCTACTTCAAAGCAAAAACAGGAGTCAAGTGTCGAGACTAGAGATAGCGCATCTCCAAGAATGGCAAAATTTATGATACTTAATCATAACAAACTACATGGCTTGACGAACAAAATGGTACTTAATCAGAACAAACATTTGTTTGGAACAGATGAAAGATCCCATTACGGTTGAAGAATAAAATCCATACGCACTAACAGATAATCTGGTCGAGAGCTTGGATACATTCAAAGATATAACAAAATATAGAGGTTATACAGAACCTCAAAGTAACCAACCTTGTCTAAAATAACTGTGTAGATGCTAATAAATCTAAGAGACAATAAGTCAGGTGATGGATGCATCATGCATATACCTTCTGAAAATCGATTCCAGGGTAAACAATGTGACAATTTGAGAGCTCTCTAATCTTTTCATCGATTGCCTAGCAATAAAAACACAATAAGAGTCAATTGCAGTTGTTTTACCATGATATTTATATGAAATAGCATGCATCAATTAAGAATGAGTGAGAAACTTGTAACTGTTCAGCCATATTATTGGCTAGGAAAAGAGCTCTACATACTCCACCACTAATCAGCCTAACCCCACATTCTACAAAGAGATCAACAAAGGACGGAACACCAGATTGTCTTACCTGCCTCTGACGGCGTATCATAGTTGATATATCAGTAAACGGAAGCTTTGGGTCAATTCTGCACTCCATAAGAATCCCACCATCGTAATCTTTAATATAGCTGCAACAAGAGTAAAAATTTAACAAGTAGGCACAGTAAAGTTAGAAATTTGAGCTTCAACATTTTGGTACAAAAGATATTTGCTGTCGCACACAACGACCAATATATATATATATATATATATATATATATATATATATATATATATATATATATATATATATATATAGAAGCAAATGGAACTATCTAATTCATCCCTCGATTTATGGTATGTTGAGTTATGCAAGACAAAGCAACACCAGTTCTGGGGCTATAGTTTATAAAGAGGTAAAAAAACCAAATTTATAAAAACTGATCAAACATACCCATGCCATCGGTCTCTCTCCAAGTAAATTTCTTTTGTGAAACCCTAAAAAATAATACACAAGTTAGAGGCATCTCATAGATGGAACTGAATTATATATTAACAAAAGCCATCAGGAGTCAAATTTTAATATCTTAAAACACAAATAGCAGAGATTTACTCTCTAAAGATCTTTTGAACAAATACCAATCCACAAGTGATACAACTGTCAAAATGTTGCCAATTATGGTTTGGAGCATGCCCATCTAGGACACCCCTCCCCCCAAAAGTTCCGAATTTTCCTGGACATAATCTACACCGCTTCACTATATCGTACTTTCGACTAATCTACATAAGAGAAATCCCTAAGACCTATTTTTTCCCCTACAGTGAACTCGATAGAAAGTCATCCAGTTGACCCATAACAACCAAAAAAGAGCTCTTCACATACAAATCACTTAGTTTCATCTTCAAGACCATACTACAAAAATAACAAAAGACATTGTACCAGCACATAATGCAAAGGATACATGTTAACGAGCCGAACTTAATTAAGGTTTTGGGTTATTCCTATCACAGTGTTGCATATGTTGCATAGACCTGGATAACTTTTGAAGTTTATCTTTCAAGCCCGTTTATCTGGTGTCACAGACTAAAATAAACTTCATCCTGATTCACCTAGGCAGTAATACCTTTCGGTTTCTTAGCTCTATAGTTCTTCTGACAATACTAGAGCAGATGTGGATAACAGCGTGAGAGGTGAGGGCTCCATATAAAGGATAACACTCAAATATACCATGCTTCAGTTACACTACACATGAGCACAAATATATCCATGTAGGAAAGATGATAAACTGATTTTTAAATCGATTATTGATGATGAAGCTGTAACCTCACCTGCTTGACAAAGTAACCCACAGCATTATTATCAGCGTATGTGAGGAAATGCGTTAGGCCGTCGACATCACGTGCATGTTGCTTTAAATGATTCATAAGTCTGGTGCCATAGCCTTTAACTTGCTCATCTGCTGTGATTGCACAAAAAGCTATCTCCCCAAATTTTTGGCTACATTTAAAGTTCAGTATTACAAACAAAGCAGTGCACATAGACATACACTTACTTCAAATTAAATAATCAATACAAATATCGCCAAGTACATATCAAAATCATCTTCTATTTCTTTTCATTCAGATTGATATCAAAATTACCCGACCAATCCGATAGGGTTCGGGTCAATACCCAAAAACCCGAATGCCCATCCCTAATTCTTACACCATAAGGTCCATGATACAAAGGTGACATTATCAAGATGTATAATTTTGAGAATAGAGTAAGTATAACAATAATCTCACTGAACAAATATACAAGAGAATATGGAAATCCAATTTCATATGACACTGACATTTTATAGAGAGTTAACACAACAGAAAGGTACGTAATGGTCTTCAGATAAGATAAGCAAAAGACAAGATGTCAAATGGTACCTAAGGTAGGGGCGATACGTAATACCACCAACAACCAGATTCCGTCTGACAACCATCACAGACTTGTGGTTTCTGCAATATAAGACCATAAGAGAAAATGAGATAATTCCTTTAATAACAAGAAAGCTACTACGGAAACTACATAGCAATTATATAATAGACAGCACAATAAAACCAACTTATAGTGCAGATCCTGAACACACCAGCCATGATACTTGAACTTTGTAATAACTAACAGAGACCAAAATTTCAAGTATGATTATAATAAGCTTTGACCAGAGAATTCATGTATCTAGACAAAAACATATTAGGGATCTGATTTAATTAAAAGTTTTGATTTCCTTCCCAAAACAATTAAACTTGAGAAATGTATAGATTGAAGGTTGGCATTTAACTATAACCAGCAATATGACTTACTTCATCAGAATCAGATAACGGAAACCTAATAAAGTTTGGAAGTTTGTCCTAGAACTGATTTTCAACGAGCATTATGGTAAATATTTAACTAAGGAGAATCTGGATTCTAGAATGCTCTTATGGGATTCTTTCACTTGCTAATATATGTAAGGAAAATAGTCAATATTATGTAATATTGCACCACTAAATCACCACAGGATATAATGATCAATAGCTTGAAACTAGCTGCCCTTTTTAAATCTATGAAAAATAAAGCTATACTTCCATAAAAACTTCGCAGAAAAGGTACAGAACTCAGAGGCAAACCTGTCCATTACAAGACGAACAATGTATTCTCTTGGCATATTAGGAAGTTGTCTGGCAAAGATGTTCTTCAATCCTATCAACCTGAAAATCGAGTTTTAAGTTTTTTGTGCAAAAAATTAAGCAGATATTGAGAGCCAAAAGAAGATAAATAAAGAAAAATTATTGCATGACATGTAGATATAATACAGAGTTCAAAGAAAAAGCAGGAACAATGTTTTCATCAATACCATCATTTGAATGACACATAACTCTGGCAAATGTAGATTTAAAACACAGTTCGAAGAAAAAGCAGAAATATTACCAGACCATGTGTTCATCAATACCATCATTTGAAGCACATACAAATCTCAGTCTTCCTGCTTCTTCCTGCAATGATTGATAAAATTTGATCAATATAAACTGCTTATAAATAGTTATGGGTGGAAAAATAAATTAAAGATGAAGTAATGAATAAAATTGATGCTGCCATTTAAGCAGCACAGGAATTAAAAATAGGCATCAGGATCCAATTTATTAAGTAAATTACCAGTCACCCCAACATATTCATGCAAACTAAAATTGAATGTAAGTATTGCTCAATTATTATCGATGTGATAATGCTTTATGTGTTACTTATCAACACCAGGACAGTCAATTTTCCTTTTCTTAGCTGAATAGCTTCGGTAATTACAACTAACTTGTACGTAACTCCAACTAACATGTAGGCTCGCACACATAATGGTAGAAAATGCAAATGTGAAAGCATAATCTAAAATACGATTAAGAGACGGCGATTATAATCTGAAAGAATGATTTCTTGAGTCACCGAGATTTTTCTGGTAAACCAACACCAGCAAAAATATAATCAAGCCCATCCCTAACTTTTCTACTCAAACTTATCCAGGTGTTGACTACACTCAACATTTTTTTTCCACGGCTACAACAAATCTGACAATAGTGCAAATGATGGTTAATAATGTATCCGATTCCATAACTTTCGCTACAATTATTTTCCATAGAAAAACTGAAAAAAAAAAAGTGAGTGTTAATCTGCAGCATTTTTCAAAAGAAGGATAATACATCAAACATGTAAATTCAAAGATATTTATTCAGCTGAAACATGCATGTATGTACCACTCTACAGCATTTTTCTGAGTGAATGTGAATAAATCAAAGAGATGAACTTGTAAGTAATTTACTAAGTTTACTTCGATTTGAAATTTGAAAAAAATAAATAAATAAAGTAATATACTAAGCTTACTTCTCTCTTCAAGCTCTCCTCTCTGGCACTGTAAGCCCCGCTAGTTTGTATATTATCGGTAAAAATACTCTTCACTGTATCCTCCTTCACCACAATGCCCGGAATCGAACCGTTGCCACCCGTCGCCACGGGAGCGCCTGAATTATTGGTATTAGTATTACCATCTTTCGACACGTCAGCAGGTTCAACCTTCACCGAATTCTCAGCTTTGATCTTGGTGTTCCTTGCGGTGGGGGGCCCACCAGCATTGGTGTTCTCCAGCCGAGAAGAGGTGAAATTGCGCATGGAGTTATCGTACTCCTCCTCCTCATCGTCCACCACTTCCTCGGACTCGTCGTCGGAGTCGGAGTCGGCGCCGCGGACGCTGATGCTCTCCAGGTCATCGTTGGAAGTGAGCGCGCCGTCGCGCGTGTCGGAGAAAGAAGGGGGGAACGGCAGCGCGTGGTCGTCGGGCTGGAGTTTGCGCTTGTGGATTGACGACGTCGCGGAGGCGGAAGCCGAGTGGGAGGGCGACGGCGATTGGGAGCTCCGTGACCGGACCGGCGCAGTTAAATGCGACGAATGCCCGTCCATTGATAGGGTTTACGGTGAGTGAACTGCAATTTAGGGTTTTCACAGAAGAGAGGGGGGAAATTGAAAAGATGAATTTTGCAATTGAAATGTAGGAATCAGTTAATTAGCTTCTTTTTTCCTCATTTTCTTTTTTATTATATAATAAAATTTCTTTTTCTTTCTAATTTTTTCTGTTTTCCTTTAACTGAAATTTGTTAACAATCAACCGTTGCCGCCTTGGTCCTGGGTCCTCAATTAATACTCTACATATGAATTAGCATTTTCCATTTTATTATAAACTACACAAACTCTTTTACACCATAGTTTAGAAATAGTCATTGATCCTGACTGAAGTACACAGCCCAAAGGATAAACTTTGTTGAGCCCATCTGGGAGAAGGCCTATGACCTCAACCCATGTAGGCCCATTACGGTAGGCGCCCCTAAAGGTTTACCTACGACGAGAGTCCCTATTTTGGCAGCTCGGGCTAGTAGATGGGTCGATGCTCGGCGAGCTCGAGTGCCCGCGGAGCGCTCGCGAAAATGGGTGCGAAGGGCCCTATTCTAGGCATTATTGGCTATGGCGGGTATGGAGGGGCGCATTAATTGACACTCATAGACATTCCTTGTGCTCTCATGGGCGGATTTATGGTGCATTGAATGCTCTGACACCAGCATTTAATGCCCGAATGACTGAACACCGTCGAAAATGGAGGAATAACGTGTGGAAAAGACTACTCCACATAATCAAGAAAGAGTGGTCATAGTCGTTTTGAGCGTGATGATGGCTCGGGGTATCAGGAAAAAGGTTGAGAAAGGACGACGTGAGCGGCGGAAAGTACCTGCTCGCCCGGGATTGGCATAAGATAGGGACCAAGATATTATAAATAAGGGGGACACACACTAAAAATAGGTTTATCTATTTCTTTCACCATAAAATATTTAGGTCTACCTTAAGTTGCTCTTTGTCTACCACTGACTTGACCGTCGAAGTGATAACTCCGGGGTCAGTCCCGTTCTTCTCTTTTGCAGCATATTCACTCGAGGTGGCAACACATCTTTCAGGCGGATCGGTCATTTATACCTATAATATAGAAAGGAATATTATTTTATTTTAAAACATACTTTTAAGTTTTAACAATTTAATCCGTCTTAAAAAGGGATATGTTATCTCCAAAAACGGATCACTTGTGTGGTCCTTTTAAGAAGTTTGACCGGTTACAGAATGCCTTGGAGAACAGAAGTCGTTCTTATTGGAAATATTAATATTAAATGATACACTTTACTAATAGTTTAAGTATTTGGTTGAGATGGTCATTCCTGAGTTCGAATCCCACCGCCACCCATTTCAAATATTTCAAGTGCAAGGCTTCAAATGTAATTCGACTTAAACTTTTGGTTGAGATTGTCATTCAACAATTCTGTACAAAAAGAGAAAATTAAACTGACGTCGGAGTTATTATTCCAATGGTCTTTTGGTTGAGATATCATGCAACAATTTTGTACAGAAAGAGAAAATTGAACTGACGCCGGAGTTATTACTGAACTTACGCTGGAGTTATTATTCCGATGGTCAAGTAGCGTACATGAGTCTCCCTTTTGTGAGTGGGATGGTGATGAGTGTTCATTTTGCATGATTTTCACTTATCAATTCTTCGAGTTTTGGTCTTCGTTTGTCCGAGTTTTCGGCTTTATTTGTACTAGCATTTTTCCCCCGTGCGATGCACGGGATATTATTTAAATAGTGCAAAAAACTAACAATTTAATACATAATAAGAAAATATAGTACACTAATATAGTAAAATTTAATAACGTAGTATTATTCATATTTTATATAACATTAGATTTTTTAAATCTTACATATTAAGATTTATAATCCAAATAAATAGACTAAGATTTAACAAATCAAATTTCTAGCTATATATCTTAAAGTTTGAGATATATTGATGAAAACTAGGAGATTGATAATTGTTGGAAATTATAGCTAAAAAAAAATAGTAGAGAAAAAAATATTAAAAATAAATAATTACATAAGTAGCAATAAGATAGGATTCTTCACGGTTTAGTTTTAATTAAGATAATTGTTTAAAATTATAGTTAAAAATTAGTAGAAAAAAAAAATTAAAAATAAATAATTACACAAATATCATTAGGGTTTTTTAGGGTTACCCAGCGTTTCTTTCTTTTATATATAAGATATATTATGTTGTTTTTGTTTTATTTATATTTTAGGTAAAGATAAGCTATTTTTGCCGATTCGAGACGATTTTGGAAGCGAAGCCGAGAATCAAACCAAACACGTGCAAAAGTGCATTCTCGCGGATTGTGGCAGTGTTTGGTATTTCAAGCATAACTTTTGCATACGACCTCCGATTGGGCTGATTCAAGTGTTTTTAGAAAGATAACTTCAAGGGCTACAACTTTTGTGAAATGCACAATTGTCGAATTCGGGTTGACAAAGGGTGAAAAAAGTGTTTGAAGTTGATGCAGAGGCCAGATCTCGATCCAGAATCACCGGATTGCGATCTGGTGGTAAATTCCAGTAGCAGCGAAAAGTTGGGGCAGATCGCGATCCGCACTTCCTGGATCGCGATCTGGGAAGGTGGTGCGCAGTTTTCGAGGTTACCAGATCGCGATCCAAGAAGCCCAGATCGCGATCTGGGCACAAAAATCGAGACTAGATATTTTTCTTTGATTTCTCACTATAAATAGAAGGTCTCTTTTTCATTTTTCAACCTCTCGACTCTCTCTCGACCTCTTCTTCGGTTTTTCTTCGGTTTTCGCCAGTTTTTCTTCGGTTTTCGCCAGTTCTTCGCAGGAAGCTTCGACGAGGGTTTCGACTCGGGTTTTTCATAAGCTTTTTCTTTACGTTTAGTTTATGATTTCTCGTGTTCTTCATTTGAATGCTATGTTTGTAATTAACTGAGCATTTTCTTTTAGAAAAATGAAACCTTGTATATATTGATTTTGATTTCCAGATTTGTGATTTATTTGTCGTTCTTTGATTATGTTTATGTTTTCATGTATTAAATGCTTTCGATTGTTTGGCCAACATTGAATTGATTGTAAATGGTAATGAACTTGAGAGAGGATTTCTCGTTTGATTTTAGGAAAACATAGCTCCGGTTGTGGAAATGGAGATGTGATGCACCTCGGGTAGCCCTTAAGGACTTGACCTAAATGTGCTCTTAATATCAGGTTCTGAACGGAGACGTCGGACCTGTGGGTAGACTCTAACTACACTGGAGACGGGGGCTCGTGTATTTTAGTGTCTGGGTTAGCGAATATAGAATTGACATTAGATTCGGATCTGTAGATCTTTATCGATAGAACACTGGTGGATTTTACCCTAGAAGCCATCACACGTCGGAATTCCTCGCTTGTACTGGCGAACCGTTGTTTTTATTTTTGTTTCATTTTAGTTTCATTTCTCCCCATTCTTTCGTTCGTCTAGATAAAGTTTAGGATAGTATAAATACGGTACTTAGTAGATTTAGGAACTTAATTCCCTGTGGATCGATATCTGGAATTCACTATTCTACAAAACCCGATACTGTACACTTGCGGTTATTCATACGTAGGTTTTACGCGTATCAGATGGATCCTTATTTATATACCTTCATCGGATTTCAAAGGGCTCGAAAAATCGAATTGGTCATCCCAATTACCACTCAAATTGCAATTTCTGCCGACTTTCCGCACGTCTCATGATAATCCAGACCATTATTTTCACCGAATCGTCGCTCTAGCCTTGCCCCTATGCATGTCCTAGGGGTATGAAATCATGAGCTTCTCCAGTTTTTCAACGGTCGTCGGATACTCACGCATTAAATCAGGGCTGGTCCTGACATTTTTGGGGCCCTAAGCGAATTTTTAAAAAAATAACCATTTTATGATTAATGCTTATTTAACTTGATAAAACAAACAAAAATAATATATTATGACATTAGTTAATGAGGATTAAAATGCATAAACCTGCACTAGATATTATTGAAATTTTTATATTTATTTTTATTATTATCTTTTATAATTTTGTTTTAGTTGCACCATAAGTTATGAAAAGAAAGACGAATTATCTCTCTTTTTTTCGCTAATGATGGATGGTAAAATATTAAATTTGATGAAGTAAGAATTTTTTTTTTCATCTCAATGCTTGATAGAAAATTGTACTATTAATTTGAGCCTTGATTGAAATAGCCTCTAAAACCCAATTAAATATTGTAATTTATAAAAAGCCCATTTTAAATTACTGAAACACAGGATTATTTATATATGTATATTTACTTTTTTTTATTTGGGGGCCCCCTTAGAAAGTGGGGGCCCAAAGTCATTGCTTGTGCAATATAGGCTCAGGGCCGGCTCTGCATTAAATGCATGCCAAGCATTTAATGCGTTTGCCTGAGCATTAAATAAGCTTGTGAGAATAATAAATGCAATTGTCCTCTCGTCATGATCTGAGCTCAGTATTAGCTTGGGAGGTCATCCTTATTTACGCGGTTTACGAAGACGGGCCTTCCAGTAGGGCTTATGAGCATGGGCCTATTTGTTTTATTAGGCTTGTGTGGATTGGACTTTCTTAACACGAATTAACTAGCCTCCAACTCCAGGTCTACTAAACATGCACAATGTATTAAAGCCTTGGAGTAGAGGCTCAGAGGCTTGTAGAAAGCAAGGAGACGAAAATGACGCAAAAATCTGAGAAAATCGGACAAAAATCCATGCTGCCTTATGAAATCTTAGTCCCATAATTATGGAGGAATCTCGTACCCAGTATGAGATGAGAAGAAAAGAAAGTTAACAATCAGCCTTACGAGACCACTGTCTCACTTTTCAGTGCAATTTATGAAACCGCGGTTCGAGAAGTATTTTCTGCGGAAATTTGCTGAAAACTTGGCCAATAAGTTTAAGTATAAAAGAAGGGTCTCTAAGGCAAGTTGCAGAGGACTAGTTGCACGAAAATTAGATAAATCTTGGAGCAAGAAGAGCGAGAAGACGGATAAAACGATGATGAAGATTTGACGAGTTTTCATCATAATTCCTCTTTTGTTCTGTTTTTCTCAACTCATGATGCATGTTAACTGTTTTATTATTCTTCTTTGAACAACATGAATAGTTAAACTCGTAGTCTAACATTTCGTTATTATAACACTATGCAAGT